CGAATGTGACATTTCGTTTTAAATAACTTTTAAGATGACAGGGAACACGTGGCAACTTTAGTTTTTCTTATGGGCGCCATTTTTAATTTTGAGATTTTAAGATTACGTCTTTTTTCTCTTTACGACGATATATCACACATGGTGGTTCAGTATCACATTTTTCGTAAAATACAATTTTTAATTTTTTGGGAAGAGTGCTTTGGAAAAACAAAACGTTCTTTTATTGTGAAGAAAAGTTTGACAGTTTGATGCATATGTCCGGTTGCAGCGTAGGCATCAGGGAACTAGATGTGTTGAGAAAATTCGATTTTCATATGAACAGAATTGAACCTTCGTTTTGCAAGAACATTATAATTCAAATTAGAACAAAATGCATAAGAATAAATAATATTTTAGCAATAAAACTAGCACAAACGTAAATTACACTACTTGAAATAAGTCAACCTTTTGTTCACAACAAAAGAACGTTTTGTTTTTGCATAGCACTCTTCGCAGAAAATGAAAATTGTATTTTTAGAAAAAATGTGATACTGAACCACCATGTGTGATATATCGTTGTAAAGAGAAAAAAAGACCTAATCTCAAAATGTCAAAATAAAAAACGGCGCCCATAAAAAAACTAAAGTTGCCACGTGTTTCTCCGTTATCTTGCAAGTTATTAAAAAGGGGATGCCATATTCGAAATCTCCATTAAAAAGTGTCTGAATAATGTGTTAATTAGAAATGTCTAGTACAATTAGTTGACCATGAAAAAGTTAAAAATGAAAATCAGAAATTTTCGATTTTTTGCCATATTTTCAAAACTATTGAAGATATTATAAATTTATTTTTAGATTATTATTCAGCACGAAAATTCGCAACTGTGCCCTAATTTAACCAAGTTTCTATCTCTTAAGATAAGCGAGATCCCCATAGTGGCACTCGAAAAATGGACACCGTGTATAAACCAGGATCAGAAAGGCAAACCGTATAGCCCAGTAAATCTATTTTAGGTCCTTTTTTTCGATTTTTCCCTCGGTTTTCCCTCAATGTTTTTAAAACTATCAATTTGTTCATACCACTAGGTACTTATATTTACAAAACGAAAGCTCATTAAATTTCCCACAAAAAAAATGTGTAATAGTATTAAATAACAAGGGATTAAAAAGAGTCTTTGTTCCTGAAAGAATGGCTTTAATATAGATATATGGATTTAATATAGTCTTGAGGGAGCAAAACCTAGTTTATTAATCCAGTGTTACTTATACCACACACCTTATACCCAATACCGACCGATCCAAATCCATTTCGAAATTAATATGCTTTTTATTATAAAAAAAAGTAAGAAAAACCCTTTTAAAAATATGGAGAAGAAAGTGACGAAGCATATGAACGCACCTCTTTCATCCCTGAAGATGTCACTTACTTGCTGGTAAAAGTGTGTGAAATATTGCATGCTCATGCTTACAAAATTTGTGCGACAACTATGGGTATTGGAACCTGGAGGAGGTTACAGGTCAGATAAATTTGATAAAAATGAAAATAGACGACTTTAGAAGATCGAGAATCGGTGCTGGTAGTTATTGTTCGAGACACAAAAAGTAAAGTCAAGAGCTTTTACCATTGTCGAGGAGCAGAAGAACTAAATTAGTTATGTGGCACTAGGAAGTATATACATCGGTTTAATACGAACGAGGTGCCACATAATAATTATTTATATTTTGCACAATTCAGCTTAATGGAAAATTCCTAATTTTCCAATTTTCAAAAACTAACTGACTGTGATTTTCATCTCCATTACGTACTTATATGTAACATCCTGTGTAGACTATGATCAAATTAGACAAAAGTTACGCTATTCAACAGTTACCATCATGCTGTAAAGAAAATCCGAAAATTTCGATTACTTCCGAAGATATGCCAGAGAAACCGAAATTTGCCGATTTTGTTTTTAATTTTTGCTGATGTTATTTGAGCAGATACAGAAAAATAAAAACACTTTCTCATTGCCACTGTTTGAGCTCTACAAGACCCCGTTGAAGAATATTCAATACAACGTTTCGTTTCGGAGAAATTACCAACATTATTTTTTTCGAGATTTTTTTATATTGCACAAAAAAAAACAAAAGTTGGAAACTGTTGGATGCAACATGATGGTGCACCTGCGCACAACGCCCTAATCGTGCGGGAAATTTCCTGGAAAATGAAAAATATGTTCGATATAGGTATCTCCGCACGATTAGGACATTATGTGCGGATGCACCATCCTCCAGGCTCCAAATATGCTCTAGACACGTTTTATGGATTATGATGTTCTCCAAGCAGTTTGTTAAAAATGCCTTATCAATCATATGGAAATGCAGCGTGTTTAGGTCAGTTTATGTGTATTAATGTCTCTGCGCGCAATTGTAACGTACAAACATAAATTATGTAAATTAAACGAGGTAGAGTATCTATTTGTAACAAGGCCAAACTTAAAAATGTGCCTGTGCGTTCCGATAGGGAAAGGCTTTTCATCGCATGTAGCAGAAATTTTCGATTAATTTCTTTTGAAGCATTAACGAAATAAATGGCCCCCAATTAAAAATTTCACGACTCTTTTTTGCATTATAACTCCAGTGAAAATAACATTTTGAAGTAAATAAGCAAATAAAACAATACTCGGCCTTGATTTTTACATACTTTTACGCGGTCATTTCATTTTATTCGTAAAAGGCGACGATCAAAAGTAATTTCGAAAACGGCGACCTAGCAGAACTAACCTACTTCCCGCATGTTAAGAGCGAATAACTAACATTCTATCGACGATTTATAGTGGGCGTACCGAATGTTACAAGTTTGTATGTAATTAATTGCGTAAGAAAAAGAACGAAATTGTTGTTACCTGTATCGGTCCAGCTAGCGCAGTCTTGACACAGCATTGACCACTCAAACTGCAAATCCTCAAAGCTGGCCATTTTTTTCCAAAAAGGGCACCCCAAGGAACACGCGCCCCGTACTTATACCGCGCTTTTAAAACCAACTTCTTTCACGTAAGGATTTCAATCACTGATTTTGAATTCACATTTGCACTTTTAGACCGGTACCCGATTATCGTTATTTATGTGTGGTCGAGTAGATTAAAGTAGAATTTGAATTTGAACCTCATGACACTCCAAACTGATAAGATAATTTTTTTGTATATGAGATTACGTTTATTTCAAGCGGTCATCAGCAGGTGAATACATCGACCCGCTTAAGACGCGGGCACCAGTTCGATCGGGAGACCGTGAATACCTGTTTTTACAATCTCTTGTAGAAACACACTCACACATGCACTGCACATTCCTCCGATAAAAGGAAAAGAATGGACGGCCGCGGCTGTAACCGCGCCTCGACTTTTCGCGAAATGAAGAAAAAATAATGTGTTGATCACTTTCCCCTTCGAAAAAACACCGCTAACGTTCTTACCGTCTGTGTCTGCAAACAAGTGCTGCACGGGTATTAAGCAATTGCTCATTTGCGTTATGCGTATCATAAATGCAATTAGGTAATTTACATAATCGAGCAGTAGACAACAGAAATATGAATTAGTGAATATTTTTTGTTATAAGTTGGGAAAAACCTAGGCGAAGCCGTTAGTTCCACCGTGGTTGCCAAAAAACTACACACATTTTGAGACTTTTGAGTAATAAGTAGGTCTTAAATAAGACATTTTAGACCTTTGGTTTATTTGGAAAATAATGTTTATTTTAGTCATCTACTTTTGTCTACACTTTTGTTATGGGCCATATAAAAATAAAGTTGATGATGATTTCTCTGAAACGAAATGTTATATTGAAAATATCTCAATGGTATCTTGTAGAGCTCAAAAAGTGGCAATGAAGAAGTGGATTTTATTTTTTTGTATCTGTTCAAACATTAGAAAAAAATAAAAACCATATCCGCAAATTTTGGTTTTTCTGGAATGTTTTCAGAAGTAATCGGAATTTCCCGATTTTGTTTACAGCCTTTGCGCAACTTTTCTCTAATTCTCTAAATCAATCCATCTCAGTATCTTCTATGATTTCGAGATCCCTACTCATTCTTATCATTCACATTCTTATTATCTTGGACGGTTGATTGAAGGAATCGAGATAGAGGCGCAATGCCATACTTGAAATTGTCGCGAAAATACAATCTGAGATTTACACGGCGCTTATGGAATCTCAGATTCCGACGGCAAGTTTCTAGTTGGCGTTCCAGTACGTTGGACAGAGAAGGGAAGTGCTTAATAAGAAATAAATCTGTCTTATGGTGGTTGCCCCTCTATCTAATTCCTTCAGCGTGATCGTAATTGATCATTGAATTTATAACTATTGTACTATGTGATATGTCAAATATATGCAGATCTTCTGATGTTTTTGATTCCGCAATTCACTAGGATAATGACCGTTATATAGGAATGAAACTTTTAATTTTAGGATTTACGATAATTCAACCGGTTAAGCCGGGTTGGTAGATTTTGCTATGGCTACAATTATTGCCACAATTGTTTCTATGGTGATTTCTACTAATCCGGTTAAAACGGTTGAATTATCGCAAATCCTCATTGATACCTACTTAGTGTATTTACATGAAGTTTTTGAGTTTATTCTTCATTTAAATTATGTTCCTCATTCGCCATTAAATTGCATCATGAACGTTTGTAATTTTCATTCTCATGTATTGGATTTTTACAAATATTGCTCATTCTTTCATTTAACCTTTGTAATATTTAATGTGGTAGTATGTAGATATATACAGAGATTTTTTTTCATAAACATTATTTACTGACTTATTGTTGTATTAATTGAACTTTTATTTTTCTATAATCAATTATGGCGCACTATGTTATTCAGTTTTGTTCTATTAATAATGGTGTTTGACATTAAGTTATTAAGAAGTTTCATTTAGCACCTAGTAATAGTCCCTAGCCTGGTTTTTATTGATTATGCGCAGCCTTAGCACTTTACTAAAACCATTGAATAAGTGCTTATTCAAAACTCAACTAAAACTATGCCTAGTAATTAATTAATTATATTTGTCACAGCAACATGGCATAATTGAACATAAAAATTAAACGATTTAAATGAATACAATTCAATTATCTAATTTCACAAATCCTGACGTATTCGAAAAATATTTTGCATTTGCTTCATTCACTTTCACCTCGGCCGCTTGCGGATTGACAATTTCAAGTCCCTACAAGTAAAAATGCATTACGGATGTGCGAGTTTGAAGAAAAAAACTGTTTACCTGCAGAGGAGTAAAGGCAACACTGGATGCTGTACCGGAAACTTGTTTTTTCACTGTGGTACTGCCGCCCCAAGCGTGCTGCTTTTGTAAATTTTTTTGCAGAGTCTTCGATATTCGCACCTTTGTTTTCTCATCAACTTGCGGAAGACGTATTCTTCCCGCACCCGACTTCCCTATAGTACCACGAGTGTAACCTAAATCTTCTTGGTACGCGTCATCCTCAATATCGGCGAAATTCATTCTATTGGCGTGCTTCCTGAATTCGGTCATCGCGTACCGTTCTTTCATCTTACGTACTCGTTTACCACCTCGCTTTTTTCTTGGTGCTTCCACAGGTTTCGGGAGAGGTTTAACAAACTTGACTGGCGGAGGTTCTTGGAGTTTGTCTAATTTTTTTTCTATTTCTTCCCGGAGCATTTTGCCGATTCTTCCGTCTGTACTTTCATGACAGGAATCTACTCTTGCGGCTAAAATCGATTTGGCGGCAACCAGTCGAGCAGCTTTCCTCCTAAGATCGGGAGGCGAGTTTTGCACAATCTCCGAATAGTATACAAACCCAGTGTGGGGTAACATATTTGTCTGAGAGAAACCGGACAAACTTTTTTTCTGCTCCCCTAAAATTAATACATTGCATGCGGGTATTTTAGAGAGCCGTGTAAGACCACCAGCAATGCCCATTATTTTCGCGGCCGTAGATGCACCGATAATTGCGGATATATTAGGAGCAATAAATGCCATGCGACTCTCGACATATTCGTAAATTTCCAACTTGCAATTATTCAACTCGATTGCGATATCACAGGCTTCGTCAATTTGAAATTTCTCAAATTCTGTTAGTAGGGTTCCTTGGGTGGTCGAAGCAGTTACCGATACCACCATAATTGTGGCCTGTGTCAAGTATTGTTGTAAAATCTCGTTATTTTTTGCTTGATCGAGATCATTACCTAACTCTTTCACTGTCCGCACATACTCCAAGGGACTTACCACGAGCGAATCGAGCTCGGGAAACCGCTTTTGATACTTTTCCCGCACGAATTTGTGAACTGTCACAATTTCACCATCAATATCTGCAGCCATATTATTTGCTTCAACTATAAGTTGGTATTCCGGATCGGACTCAACGGGACCAATAATATCGGATGCCTTACGTGGTTTACTACCGTAACTCTTAATCTGCTTCATAATAGTGCGCAACTGATCCGAATTCCATAATTTGCATAATTCCTTTACCGAATTAATTTTTGTTGTATCTTCTTCCATTGGAATGATGATTTTGGGTTTTTCTTCTTTAACTTCGGACGCATCCTCCGCATCCATTCCTTCTTCAAATTCATCTTGATCATTTTCTTCTAAATCTGCTAACAATTCGTCGGCCAAAGACATGTTTTCGTACTTCTTTTAAGATTAAGGTTTTAATTTAAACGATTCGTATCATATCGTTCATGTAGGTTAAGTTTTATATTTTTTGAGGTTATGAACATTTTCGATACGCCCACAAATAAAAACTTTATATACACGGTGTTTCAAAATGAACCACAAATCAGAGAAAAACCGGATTGGCATCCTCATAGTCCAAGGAGTAAACGACGAATTTGCGGTTTGTTTTTAAAATAATTATTCTGCAGATGTTCAAACATCTTTCCAGATTATTCAAGAGATTAAAACAAGTTATCTGCAATCTCTAGCCTTAAGCAAGCCAACAAGTGACACTTCCCGCTGTAGTTCATGTCACTCATGAGTAGGTGGTTTATCTGTACGGAATAGTTAAAAAAGCCACGCAAGGTTTTGGAGTGCCGGTGTCATCTCGAGTAGCTGACGTGTAGTCATTCAAAATGAATTTTGTAATTTTTGTAATTTTTTCAATTTTATCTGTAGCAAACGCTTCAGGAAATACGTTAGTATTATTAGATAATCAAGTTATAAAAGAAACACATTCCATATTTTTTAAATTGTTACAAGGTAAGGTAAATTAGTAAAAATTTGAGGTTATTATTTACCGGCCCCTTCTTTCTTTAGATCGTGGCTACCAGCTAACATTTAAAATTGCCGACGATTCCTCGTTACATTTATCCAAATATGGAGAGTACTTATACGACAATTTAATTATATTTGCTCCTTCGGTCGAAGAATTCGGGGGATCGCTGGGTGTCGATGCCATAACGCAATTTATCGATGAGGGTGGCAACATTTTAGTAGCGGGAAGTAGTACGACCGGCGATGTTTTACGTGAGCTTGCGTCCGAGTGTGGTTTTGAAGTGGATGAGGAAGGCGCTTTTGTTATTGATCATTTAAATTACGATATCTCTGATAATGGGCAGCATACCAAAATTGTTGTCCCGTCTGATTTTCTTATCGACGCACCGATTATTGTGGGCCAACGCAAGGAGATAGCTCCTCTTTTGTATCGTGGCACTGGTATTTTGGCTGATCCGGAGAATCCGCTTGTTCTACCATTTTTAACAGCAGATAGTACTGCATATAGTTACATACCCGAACAGCAAATTAAAGAGGTAGGTAATTGCGCAGGGAGAAGATTAGGCTAAATGATTAATTTCATATTGCAGTATCCGCACGCAGTTGGTAAAAATACAGTCTTAATTGCTGGATTGCAAGCAAGAAATAACGCACGAATTGTGTTTAGTGGTTCTTTGGAGTTCTTCTCCGACGAATACTTTACTTCACTCGTGCAAAGAGGAGAGGTATGTTTTAACCCACACAAAAATTACGGAAGTTAGTATCAACTTTTAGCAAGGAGCCAAGGTTCCCATTTCGGGTAATCAAAAAGTGGCATTATCGATAGCCGATTGGGTATTTAAGCAACAAGGTCAGTTGCGGGTGCGATCTGTTCAGCATCACAAACAAGGAGAAAAAGCTCCTCCGCAAGCATACACTATTATGGATCAGATTGTAACATGAACCCCCCCCAATTTAACATTTACTGATGAAATTATTGCAGGTTTACACTATTGAAGTGGACATTTTGGAATCGGGCCAATGGAAGCCATATAACACTGACGACATTCAGTTGGAGTTTGTTCGTATCGATCCATTCATACGCACAACACTTAAACGAAAAGTACCCGGCAAATATGAAGCAATATTTAAAATACCGGACGTATACGGTGTATATCAACTGAATGTAGATTACGATCGTGTGGGTTATACACATTTATACAGCAGTACACAGGTATCTGTACGGCCTTTACAGCACACACAATATGAGCGTTTTATACCAAGTGCATACCCTTACTATGTTAGCGCATTTTCAATGATGGCGGGTGTATTTTTGTTTTCATTTGTTTTTCTTCACTATAAAGATGAGCCAGTGAAAACTAAGGGCGATTAATTAAGTATTTAATAATTGTTATGTGAGCCTGTGTTATAATGAATTATTGTTATAAATGTAGTTTGTCATTTTTTCCTCACGTTTCATTACTTCATACAAACAAATAAATAAATTCACAATCGTAAAGTGTTTCTTTTAAGTTATTATTTGCTTGTATCCCTCTTTTTTAAAAATGTGGAAAAATGCTTCACTCTAATGCGAGGGGTTACCCACTCAGCGAAAAAGTGTACCGCGGGCTAAGATTACTTCGAACTAAGCGAATTCAATTGTACTAGTTACATAAGGTCAGACTAAGATGAGCTTTACTGGACTTAGTCAGACTAAATTGGATTAAGTCGAACTAAATTAAACTAAATCGTACGCGTGTGCCTCATCTTGCACTTCAACAAGTCGCCGAGTAGAAAAGTCGAGAAAGGTTAAAGTTTTGCTACATGAAACATTATGAGATTTGTTGTATGTGAAACCACAGAAGATACGACGATGGTTAAATTATAGGGAACAGTTGTGCAATTGAACAGTTATTATGGTGTAAAGAAAACCAGAAAATTCCGTTTACTTCCTAAGATATGCCAGAAAAACAGAACTGTTTTTATTTTTTACCAATATTTTTTGATGTGGTGCATAAAAATGATACATACTCTATTGAGAAGCATTTCTTATTATGAATACAACAATGAACAGCACACAAACAAAAGTTTCAATCTATTGGTTTCAACAGGATGGTGCAAACCCCACAATAGGTGCCCTAATCGTGTGAGAATACCCATCGGACAAATTTCCTTGAAAATATGTCCAGTAGGTATTCTCAAACTGAAAAGTGGCAATGAGAAAGTGTTTTTTCTTTGGTATCTGCTCAAATATTATAAAAAAATAAAAACAAAATCGGCAAGTTTCAGTTTTTCTGATATATCTCTACAAAAAATTGTAATTTAACCATCATCTTCTACGGTTTCAAAAATTCCCATGACAGACATCCTCAACTTGAACACAAAAGCAGTATTAAAATAAGCACTACTCAGTTATCCAAATTCATTCATTTTACAAAGTACAAACATCCCATCTGTGGAAACTGGGAGATTTTCCAAGGGTTACTGGATGCAAAGGAACACTTTATTTCAACATCTGCGTACAGTCAATCAAGTTGGTATCTTATTTCTCAATAATGCAGGTTCTTTTCATATTCAACATGTCAAACTGTTTGACGAAGTGTAGAAGAAAACGTATTGCATTTATTTAAGAAAAGATTTGAGTAATAGAACAAAATTAGTAAATCTCTCCCCAGGAAAGATTGCCGGTCACAGAACACTTGATCCCAGTCTACAATCTATGTTTTTCTAAAGATGTGAGCGACTTCCAGGATAGTATCGTGTAAATGTTGAACAAAAAGACTTCGTTCAACATTGGCACGATCGTATTCTGGAAGTCGCTCGCATCTTAAGAAAAACATAGATTGTAAATCGACACAAGGTGTGCTGTGACTGGCAATCTTTCCTGGCGAGAGTTAAACGTTTTATTTCAAGTAACATGTGATGTTTGCCGGGTTAAATGTTTTTACTTCAAATAGTTTTCATTTTCTTTATCAAAAAAACAATTAGTTACATCACGTGATTATTTACCACCTCTAATTGAACACTGGGTGATTCCCAAGTAAAGCAAATTATAACTGAGAAGTCTATAGAAGCTGTCATGTTTCAACACGATATAAACGACGATATGAACGTAACTAATTACATGTACATGTGTTAAAAATAAATGGTATCATTTAAATTATGGTAGTATTAATTAATATTTCACATTTTCTTCACGATTGTTTTTTGTTTCGCGTATCATACTCTATGGAAAGTGCTACAAGCAATTTAAATCTTCCATCAATTATAAATAATAATAATAATAATAATAATTGTACTAAATAATAAAAGTAATAAAATAAATAAGCAAAGTTCCCTCTACCCAGTATTTATAGCCACCAGTTGGAATGGTGCAATCAACAAAACAAAAATATGCTGCAAATTTATGTAGAAACGTTTTTAATATGAACTAAATTATTACAGAAACATACTACATCAAAGATATTGAAATTGTTACAAAAACACGAAGCTGTGATGGTTCAGAGTTTAATCCTAAATCGAATGATAACAAAAAAAAATTTCCCCTTAAATAATGCATCTACTTTTGTGTCGTAGATCCGTTTTCTTTAGGTGCCGACTGACTGCGAGATCTTGACTTTCTGTCACCTGTTGCTGAACGGCTGCGTCGCGCAGAGTCCGAACGTGAATGTGATCTGGAACGAGAACGACTACGCGATCGAGAGCGAGACGCACTTCTGGATCGACTGCGCCGATCACGAGAACGGCTACGTGATCGCGAGCGAGATCTGTAAATACACCGAAATAATACAACTTCAATAAGACGGGGGCTTAAATAAAATTAATTTTAAATAATCTATAAGTAGTCTATGTAGAAAATGAAAGTAAATTGTATCTTGTCCTTTATGTATCTATGGAGATGTAGAAGAACCATCACTATCTGTAGCGTCTGTTGATTCGAGCTTTCAGCTACGAACTAAACTGGAACAATACTCACCCTTGCTACGTTTAATTTTTTACCAATCATTAATATTTAAGGAGATTAATTTGATTAATTAAATTTTTACCATGTCTTTGAGCTCGTGAGATGTGAAGTGAACAGTAGGTAGGTAGTAAATCAACTAGCGTACGCCCGAAAGAGCTGATAACTCACTGGCTCACAGTAGTCTTATGAAAAAAGTAGTCGTGTGCAGAGCTCATCGTAGTACTCTACCTGGTGGCTGTCTACGCAGTCAGTGGGATGCAAACGCGAGACGTGAACGATTCTACTATATACCTATAACATGGCAGTACTGTCAGCCAATCATCTCCATTTATACAAAGCGTCTTTATAATTGCAACTAGTTATGGAAATTTAAAAAAATGTAATCAAGAGGGGGCATTCAAATTATAATAATTAATTTACTTATCATTGTAGACTATGTTACAGAGATATCAAGAAAGATTTTGCAAAACCCCAACAGTTTTTAGAGTTGTGAGAACATAGAACACACCGGCAGCAATCACTGAAGGCCTATTTCAGTCATCTAATAACAGGAAATAAGTACCTACACGATGTTATTCAAAAAGACCATCTCGCTCTCTGTATTTTTATTATACTTCATTGAAATCACTATTAATGAGCGACAAAAAAGGAGCTCATGATTTTGGACTTGATGACAATGGTCAAGGGAGTAACGGATTTTTTTGGTCAATACTTGTCGACCAGAAGTGACCTTGTTGCTCATATTGGTGGTTTATTTAAATTTGTAATCCACTGGGGGTAAATCCACAAGTTTGTTTTTTAATTGGATCATTTTTTTAAATTATATAAATCAGGATCAAGGGCACAAAGGCAGTTTAAACTTTGCTTGGAATGTGGATTTCGATTATTTATGGTGTTGAGCACATTTTTCAGTGACTTAAAATAACATAAGAGATAACTTAAGCGCTCACTTGATTTTATAATTCCAAGGCAACAGCGATTTTTCAAAAAAGCATACTTTTATCGTCCCTCATTTTTGAACTTCCGAAATTAAGAAAATTTGAAGGATGATTTGTATGTACTCGTAATTTTAATCTGCACAAAAATATCTAAAGTAATTAGGGAGAGAATATTTGACCACTACGGATTTAGCATTATAATAACCACTCCTGGCTAGAATATTAGCTGAACAAACTTGTCAAGTCTGTTAATTCCAGTTGGAAAAAAAAAACAAAACACACGCAAATTTTTGAACTTTTGAAGGCGTAATTTTCAAAAATATATTTGCGTATGTTTATAAAGTAGAGTCATTACTCCAATCACTTCCAAAGTAGGTAAAAATATTCTAAAAAACAGATTGTTTAATTATGGCACATGCACTGTATGTATGGTACTGCTTTGAAACAGTCGCTTGGGACCATTAAAAAAAATTAATTAACTAACATGATGAATAATAAACCTGTTGTAAAATTTTGAATAAAGTGGGTAAAAATGACTTGCATATGTACACAACAGCAACGATAGTTACAAATTGTTCTATCATTAATATGCGATATTTAGTTGCCTTTTGCCATAATTAAAATTGTCATTGTAAAAATTGTTTTTAAGTCTGGGAGGTGACTGTAACAGAATTTTGGATCTGGATAAATATCGTCATAAATCGCTTCTTAATTTAATGTTACTAAACTTGCTTATTGCCTTGAGAAAACTACTGTAAATCGTTTGGTATAGATTCGAACAAATTTACAGGGTGGCTCTATATAAATTCAACTCTGATTAACTTCCCCCTCTCAACAACATCTAAAATGCACCAACTTTACATTTTCTAATGTGAAAGCCCGCCCAGTTGCAATGTACATTGGGACGCAAACGTCTTCATTAAACAAAAATGAAAAAATGGTATTAAAGCATTGATCGTTGAAAATTTCAAATAAACAAATCGTGAAGCTCTTTAAGGAAAGGCTCATACCTGCGACGATTGCGCTTGTACCGGTGGCAATCGCGCGCATAATGGCCTCGATCGCCACATTCATAGCATCTATCATCTGGATGAAAAGGTCTTCCGCGAGATCGAGGAGGTGGACCTCTGTACCTACCACTCCCCGCCTTTCCGTTAGACATCTCTACGCGAGCCCGTCTTCCACAAATTGTACGCCCATCTACATAGGGCAGAGTTAAAAGCACATCTCACCAGAACCGCACTCACCTAAACCACGTATAGCATCTTCGGCGTCCCGAGGGTCCTCGAATTCGACAAACGCAAAGCCAGGTGGATTTCGAGCGACCCACACGTTACGCAGGGGTCCGTAGTAACCGAATGCGTCCTCAAGTTCTTGCTTCGAGGCGTTATTACCTAAATCACCCACGTATATTTTTGTTTCGGAACCGTAGCGCGACATTTTTTTCATGTATAATGAAAAAGGTGAAGGCGATCGATAAAGCAGTGTTAAGGACGCACCCCGGGCGTCACCTCCACTCTCGGAAACTACGCATAATTTGACGGTTAAGTTTTACAGATGGGCGTAAAAAGTAAAATAATTACCTGTAACGCAATTGATTATAGCTTTAGACAGCAAAAATCGGCAAGATTCTAAAGGAAATTGGGATTTAACCACAGCGGTTCACTCACCCTAACATTAAAGCTTCAATTCAAAGATTGCCAACCGCACAACAACAAAATTACCAACACTCTTTTTATGTTTGTTTTGAAACGAATACCATTGGTCAATTTAAATCCCGCTTAATTCAAATTAATGACAAGTTCACGCAACAATTAAATGCAGGAAAATTAAATACAATTCAAACGTATTCCGTCAATTTACTTATCGCGCCACGAAATGAGATTGTCTTTATTGCGACAATATCCAATTTGAATATGTGTAAATTATGAAGGTCATATTGCAAAGTTCTAGTGATGGTACAAAACTAGTATCTCTCCATAATTATAGGCGTGGTTCAAGTTCATTTTGAGTAAACTAAGCAAATTACACAAGGTAATCATATCCTATTTATTATAGTGTATTAGATATTAATTAGTTAGGCACATTTGCTTAATTCTAAAAATATTGAATATACGCAGAACCGGATTACGCACATAGCCCATGGGCCATCGGCCCCTTGACCGCACCTGCGAGACGTAAGGTGTTTTCTCTCCATCATAATTCTTATAATTATTATTCAATTAAATTTGATACGCTTTTGGTTAGTATAGTTTATGTTCGTAACAAATATTATGTTGTCCACAAACCTATGCAGCTTATCCGCAAATTAATTTGCCGTTGGAGTATTTGATAGATTTAAAAAAATCATAATTAAATACATTATTGCGAGGTTCAATTAGATACCAACTTCAGGAAGGAAAGTAGCAGAGGTGGCAAGCAGTTTCCTAGGTGGGGCTTAAGAATTCAAGTAAAAAGGTTTTGCCCTACGGCGAGTAACTTCCGCGCATCTTCCGTGAATTGCCCAGTACTTTCGAAAAGGCCATAGCTATGTGCGCTATATTTTGGTTACTAGAGAGGCATCTTTGGTTAAAATTTCAAAAAAATCTCGCCATAAATAAAAAAGTTAAGAGAGAAAGAGAGAGAGAAGCATCTATGGTTAAAATTTCAAAGAAATATCTTCATAAACAAGGAAGTGTGGTTATAATTTCAACAAGATATAAGTTGACTTTGCGCAGTTTAATCGTCAAGATTTTCCTTGGCTCAGGTGTCAGAGCTATACGCTACCGAATGCAAAAATAAACGAACTAAATATCTTGAAAACGTACGAGTACCTAGTTAAGGGTTCGGACAGACGGACGGACAGAGAAAGTGGCTGCAATAGCGCACCCAAATTCGTTGGAAAGTGCGCTAAAAACGATCGCGAAGTTTTTATTCAAAATAACGGCAATTTTTGATTTTTCAAGTTATTAAGGTTTACTGAGTATCCTCTCCAAATCAACTTTTTGTGTTCTTTCTTTTTTAAAGGCTAGAACCTGGATGTATCATCATGATAAGAACCAGACGATTTTTTAAATTTTAAGTGTAAATATTTCTAAACTATCTGCTGATACCATAACAGTTTCATTGATAGCATTTGTTTTTGTTCAATGTTTACTAGTCTGTTATGGTAATGTCATTTAAGTATAGGTTTACAAATTCGAATAATAGTATATTATTCAACGAGTGAGAAAGTTGGCAATTATTCACGAAGATAAGATTTGCGCCACGAGTCGAAGACGAGTGGCGTAATTTATCTGAGTGAATAATGCCTTTCTCACGAGTTAAATACTATACTTTTTCTACTTGTATTCAATAATTACAGTAATAATAACATTATGCATAATGGTTTTATTATGTCATCAAACAATTGACAAAATCAGCAATGTACGTAAAATACGGAGAAGTTAGAATTATATCGTCGTCACTGCTCATCATGCTTGCACTACTGTCCATTTTCACGTAATTTTCACAAAACTGATTTCTCGTAATTTGTTTGATTGACATTAATGTTTGACAGCGATCCGAGATCTTGATTTTTGCTACACATATGTTTCCAAGGCAACCCTACAATGTGAGCTGAAGAGTAATGACAAACTCGGAATACGATTGGCTGACAACAGTTGAATAATGAAAACATATTGAATAATAGATAACTTTCTCAATTAAAAACGCATCAGTATTCTACCTATTATTTAATATGAGTAGAAAAAATCACATAATTGCAGTATTTTAAATTGATATAGGTAGGTAATCATTCCCAGAATAGTCAAAATTTTCCTAATTTGTTTACACAGTTGTACAGTTATTGGAGTTAATAACCACAATCCATATCTTCCAGTCAACAACAAAATATATTGTGATGTAATTTTACAATGATAAGTAAGGTCAAGTAATCTAAAAAAATAAACATTATCTTATCAACGTGTGCAACTACGAAATACCTTTACTTAAATTAGAATAAATCAGTTGATGAACTACAAAACCTAGTTTTAGAGCCATGGCGTTGGATATGAAAGTGTTGCCTATTGAATGTAAACCGTTACATGTTCCACCCCTTGAAGAAATTGCAGATGGTATGAGTGCTAAATTTTGACTCGTTTACATGCAGAGGTTGTAGTTTTAAACAAGGGACTGAAGAAACATTTTCAAGATGTCAAAGTTGAGGTGGTCAACTGCCCTGATCTTACACAAATGCCTTTTACATTGGCCAATAAAGGTTTGTCGAATAAATAAATTGAAATTGGCTTCAAAAATGAAGTCTCAATGTTAATCTAGGTTTAAATGGTAACACTCATATGATGGATGTTGGAGGACCTCCTTACCTTGTACCTTTCGTACAATATGACAAGGTGTATGATTTGTGCGATATTCCCGATGTAGTAAAAATGAAGTCAGCTTTCATAATAGGAGCAGGTGCAGGTCCACATCCCTACGCCACCGTTAATTGTGAGGTAAAAGTTTTACAATGCAAATACTTTGCGAAGCATAACATTCCCACAGGCAATTATGAATATCAATATCGAAAATAGTTTAGTCAAACAGCAAACTCGTATCGTTAAAGTGAACCAAACAGACGGAACGCCTGTGCAAGAACAACTCCCGACAACAGAAACGCGCTTCGCATTACTTGGGAACTTTTTCATATGCGAAGGAAAACCTGGGCAGGTAGTAGCAAGTCTTAAATTAAACTGGTGCAGTGTTAGTTTAGGTTCTGCAAGTTCATGTAAAGAAGCGAGTCGGCTGCATGGATTTCATTGCGAGTATACGAGGTGTACTGGCTGATCATTACGGAAATCGAATTTTAGGTAACCGTTTTTAATTTTTTCATTTCTGATTATCGGCTTCCCTAATTATTTTAGAGATAAGGTGTATTTAGGTATTTTGTATAGAAAAAAATTACAAATCCATGCATATACTATAGTTTTTAATTTTTTCAACTTTGAAACCAAGAAATTATATTGCTAAAAACTGGCGCTTTTAAGAAAATCAGTGGTGCCATGAGATCAATGAAAGCTAACTAATGGCAAATGCAGGCGCTTTTGTTTTTTTTCCATAATTCCATGGCATACATGACTTTCTAAACGCGACAGTTTTTTTCTCTACAAAAAACCTAAAAAGACTTTATATCTAAAATAATTACGGGAGCCAATAATCGGAAATTAAAAAAATGATTATTGAAATTCCTATGGTGCGTTCGTCAAGTCACCACCTCGTACAGGCGACCCACGTTAAGCAGACGCATTAGCACAATGCGTGGTGGCTCAGTTGAGGCAAATTCAAATATTCCCAATGGCGGCGTTACTGGTAGAAATTTTGGCCGAACGTTAAATTACTAAGAGACGGCTGCGCGCTGGTGCTTCAACTTAACGAGAGTCGCCAATACGAGACTAAAAATTTTGCATTTTCATTATAGGATTAGGTGGTACCTTTCTATTGAGGGAGGGAAAAGCGAAGCAACACGTAATGCCCCACTTTTCGGAGACAGCTATAAACTCCGACGATGAGATTAATCAGTGGTTAAAGTTTTACGAAATGTCCGCACCTTTAATCGCCAACGGCACTCTTATTACCGGCGATTACGTAAGCGGGAGTTAACTGTCTCACTTTTTCAATCCTCATTTTCAGGACCTCGATTTGCGAGTGCAGCATTTTCACAGCTTCAGCTATCACGGAGAAGGTGGCCATTATCATATCGACACCACGCCCGACACGGTCGAATACCTGGGGTACTTCAATTTAGCCCAAGATATTTATCGGGTCGATAAACCTGAACACACCCATAAAGTGGGAAGAGATTAAAATTGTCAATAATAAATTCTATGGGTTTAACTTTTTTTAATTGTTTCAGTCCGAGTCTTCCACTTGGTATTTAATTGGCTGTTTACTCTTTGATAGAATCACCTTTAAATCGCAGTTATTACGGTTCCACACTTCCCAAGCAAGGAGGTGTTTTTTTAAGCTTTCTAATAGCCAAGATGTGTAGGTGAATTCAATTACGGCAATTCCCAAGACGGAACTGAATCCTATTATTTGTGGTGAACCAAATCGTGTGCTCGTAGATTTTGTTGCGGCAGTGCACAGTACAGACAGAGTATACGTGGATAAAACTGTTGCTGCAGTATAAATAACGAAACCAACCAAATCTAGCGCCATATCCCAAAATCGTTCACCCGGATTTAATATGAAAACAAGAACCGATTTTAGTACCCCATATCTACGGGTAACAAGTTTTAGAACGTTAACTTGGATGGCTAGTAAACCTAGGTTCTCGAACTATCGTGTAATGGTATTTGCATAATTCGCAGTGACTGTTGGAGGATTCCTTCAACCACTTTTCCAGGCAGTCCATATGGGCCAATGCTATCGAGCCACGACAGCGACATGGCGAAAGTAAATCGCCGATACTCTCACCGCCATGGCAAATTCTGCAGATATTAAACCAATCGGAGCTATCCTAAAAGCATCGATTACGGATTCAGAAAGACGGAAACCTTCGCACCCTTCTGTCTACCACCGATATGTATATATTGTTACGTTTGCACTTAATATGACCTCCATGAGCCGTACTATTGACTGAAAGTAGTGGTCGCGTCAGCACCTCCACAGGTTTCAATTTTTCATCCGAACTCCCATCACTAATAATCTCTGCTTCTTCGTTTGACTCCACGGATGACGAAGAATCGGCTGCTTTAGATGAGAAATAAGCAGTGTCCGTTAAAATTCGTCGCTTCTTTAAAACGTCATTACTCTCAAACAACTTGCTTAAATTATACACACTCGAGACAGATCTTTTCATGTACGGTCCAACCGCTTGACTACTACTTTCACCCTCCAAGTCTTCCACGTAAGGTACATTTAATTTTAATTGGCTCGCCGCGGATTCACTTAATACAATGGAGACGACTATCTTTTTCTGCTGTTCTTGAGAACGTGGCGAAATGTCTGTGTTTTTTATTGCGTTATTAGTCATTCCCAAGAACAGGATTTTTTTATACTTTTATAATTTTTTTGGGGTAAATGTCAAATTTCCTTTTATCATTAGCATTCTTGATATTACAGATGTTTTTTGCAAACGGTAGGTAGCGACTTTAGACAAGGACAGAGGTAGTGACAACACCCGCCGTCGTTATTTCCTATCCAAGGCAATTTGCTGTGGTTAGCCGCATACGCGATTCTGCCCTTTACTTATCTAAAACAATTTGTTGATTTTTTCGAAATTCACCTTTTTAATTAATATTATTTTATTTCGAAATTGAAAGCACACTTGCAGCAAATAATAAATTTGTGATACTTGTTTACTTTCTGGTATACTTTTGTTTTTTATTATCACAGCCTACTCCGATATATACCTAACCATGTTATTAATGAATGGGTAGGTACTTTTGTCAAACTATGGGGACAGCCTTTATAAAATTTGAAGAGAACACAAAAGACAATCGAATAGCGAAATAAAATAGTGGTAGTTCCATTTGAAAAAAAAAATAATTATGGCATTTTGAACATTGAAACAAGTAAAAATATGCACGATGTTATATTTACCAAAATACATTAATTATTGACATCGTAAAAATGGGACACCCTGTGCATTCAAAAATAATTTCTGTAGATCCACAACCATATACAGGGTGGTGACTTGAGTAACGCATCAATGTAAAATTCATAACATGCGATTATTGGCTCCCCAAATTATGTTTGAGCAAAAATGTATTAAGGTTTTTTGTAGGAAAAATTTTTTACGTTAATCAACCGTATTAGTTTTCAATTGTTTGCATAATAAAGATGGAAAATTGGAAAAATAAAACCCCCATCTTTTTCAATAATCTGTGATGCCATGGAATTTTATAATACAAAAACTATGCCAATATCCGCCATGCCATGGAATGTCAGCTATATATTTCTTTATATTATTTTGTACTCTATACATATTAATCTGTTGTTGTCCTGTAATTGGAAAATGTATTTTTTTTCTGTTGGACATTAATTATTATTATTATTATTATTATAAAACAAATCAAATTCTATCAAACAGTATTTATTTAGAACAGCGAATTCAACATAAAGAAAGACCAAATTACTAAAAACGGTTTCCTAATATAACAATTACAATAAATGTTCAAATAAGTCACCATTAACTGCAAGACAAAAAGCAAATCGATCATACAATCCATTTCGAACTGCTACTAATTGACAACTGGATATCTTTTTGTTTTAGAAAATTCCATGGCATCACAGATTATTTATTTTTCCAATTTTCCGTCTTTATTATGCAAAAAATTTAAAACTAATACGATTGATTAGCGTAAAAAAATTTTTTCTATAAAAAACCTTAATACATTTTTGCTCTAAAATAATTTGGGGAGCCAATAATCGCATGTTATGAATTTTACAATGAAATCCGTTACGCAAGTCACCACCCTGTATAGTTGACATTTGCACAAAAGATTTTTAAAAATATTTTTTACCAGGTATCAGCTAGAAAAGACCGATGCATTGTTGCAGGTATATAACCAAATACTATAATATTGAATCAAATATTTTAATGGCTCTTTAAAAACTGGGAAATTTTGTTAATTGTAACATTTGGCTCTTCCGTTTCAATAGGTTGCCGACCCTGGGCACAGTATATTCAAAATGTGTACGTACAGGAAGCAAGTGACGATTTATTTAGTGAGTACTTATATATAAAAGTGCACAGGGTGCTCCAAAAATAATGATTCTGCAACTCTTAAGAGAACAGAAACCCCAGTGTGTTGACAGCAGATGGCTAATAAAATAATTTTATTACTAATCATTATAACACAGACAGTAATCGGTAATCTTTACATCAAATTAGTGTATCACAAATATTTAAGAAAAATTCTACTAATTACCATATTTATCACCAGCATTTGAATTTAATCTAATACCATTTACATACAGAGTTTAAATTTTTAAAACATAACAATTTGCAGAATTTATTTCGACCTTATCGTAACTACATAATAATACCTACACATAATAATTTTAATAACTCACGCTTTAAAAGTTCGCACCACCCTACTGACAAACTGCCGACAAATCGGACATTCTGCCAGTTGTTTACCGCATTGTATGCAAGTAGCAACGTGACCGCATTCTAGCAAAACACAATCGAGTGGCGCGTCCATGCAGATTTTACATAAATTTTCAACATTGGCATCTTCGAATGCTACAAAAGTCTCCGTAAAAAAAAACATTTACCTATTAGTAAAAGCAAACCTTTATCTTTGTACTGATTATTGTCAAGCCACAAGCGTTGTGCACGATCTAAAAGTTCTGACTTCTCGACGCACCCTTTAAAGTCAACCCTATTCAAAGTTAGTAATTCCTTCAATTGTTTTATAGACAACTCATTCAATTGTTCTATGCTATTAAAATCGGACAGTTTTGGATACTTAGTTGGTGGCGTAGGTTCCACATGAGTCGCTTGTTGGTTCTTAAATTATGTTGAAAACTTATTAAGTTGTAACCCCTACTAATACAATTAGCAAATCTGTTAATACCATTATTTGATAGGAGTACCAACAATTGAACAAAGGATCAAAATGATATTAAATTTGGAAAAATCTATACAATGGCACTAGTTAGACCACCAAAGTAGATTTGGTCCTAAGATCCCATTTGATGTTGTAAAATAATGGTATAACAGATTTGTCCATTGTAGCAGTAAGGATTGCAACTTGAGCTGGATTCACATGCATACGAAATCCGACGATACTGTAATTCGAAAGGTGTATGATTGGTCAAAAATTTCAAGCCTGACATTTGAAATTGTTGACCCATCACACGCCTTTCGGATTACAGTATCGTCGGATTTCGTATGCATGTGAATCCAGCTTTAGACAGCCTCTCATTTAAAACACTTACGCTTGAACTTGTCGGCTGAGAGTTATCCATATAGGTCTCGGTTCGTACGGATGTGTTGACAGAAACATTGTTTTGTTGCCCGAACGGCACTTCAGTATTGAGGAAAGTGTGAAAAGTTTGGCCTTCGAAGGCAAAATTGTTTTGCTCGGCCTCTTGAGGACCGATCTTTCTACCTAAATTGTGAAGTGTACTTTCTGCGTAGCCTACAATTGACAAAATTCAGGATTTCATTGTAATGGTTACGTGAACTAACTTCGCATGTTGTTTATGTTGGATTTGAGTTGATTGATTTGGTCTTGGCCTTGTGCTGCGATGTTGGGCACGGAACCGCTTAAAACCGATGCCAAACGACTTTGATTTTTTTTATTACCTGCGGGAATTGCACGTCTATAAAACAGTTCAACTAGCTCAGATTTCTCTACAATGCGATTTGTTTAATGGTTTTTACTCGTCAGTCCGGAATCTGTTTACCGACTAAACCGTGAGTGGATATATGATTCTTATTTAAATAGTCTTGCAAATCTTTCGATCTCAACTCCATTAACTTTTCCCGTTCGGGAGGTCTTTTGTTTAAAACCACGCATTTATCACAGTATAAGACTCTGCAAGGAAAACCTATAGTGTCCTATCATATGTTTTCATCGTTAATACCCTTGTGTTTTCCTTAAACACTTTGTACAATAATACATCTCACAGTCGGAACACTTTATTTTCCATGTTAGCAAAGTGAATTCCGTGTTACATTTGGTACAGGGCATTTTAACTTTTGTCTCACTACAATTTCCTACTCTCAATCCATTCTTGAAATGTATTCAACTTAAACGACTAGATTGCTTACTTATGACATCAAATCATTCGATGCAATGACTCATCGATTTAGAGAAATGAGATTTTTAAAACGACGGGTAAAGCATTAAAATATAAAATGAAAAAAATATAACTAGCATAACATGACGTTATTTTGTAACCTAAAACGCAAATGGTGCTTGGTGGTGGTTACATTACCATAGCTTCAAGACGTAGTGGTTAAAATTACGCCGATTTCATAAATGCAGTAGAAAATTGCAAAATCTTAATCGTCTTTAAACGATGCAAGTTTCATTGCAATTCTTGCCAGCAGTTCATTGCAGCAATAAATTCCACGAAAAATTGCATGGTGTAATCACCGCATCTTTTTTGAATAATTACTGCAATTTTCGCTTTACTGCTGCAAGAATTGCAATAAAAATTGCATCGTCGAATATGACTTTTGTATTGCAGTTAATGGTGATTTATTCCAACATTTATTGTAAATTGTTATATTAGGAAACCGTTTTTAGTAATTTGGTCTTTATTTATATTGAATTCGTTGTTCTAAATATAACACTTTTTGATAGAATTTCATTTGTTTTATAGCACACATTCCATGGCTTGACGGATATTGGCGTAGTTTTTGTATTATAAAATTCCATGGCATCACAGATTATTGAAAAAGATACGAGTTTTATTTTTCCAATTATGCAAAAAATTGAAAACTAATAGGGTTGATTGACGTAAAAAATTTTTTTCTACAAAAAACCTTAATACATTTTTGCTCTAAAATAATTTGGAGAGCCAATAATCGCATGTTATGAATTTTACATTGAAATCCCTATGATGCGTTACGCATGGAAAAAAACGAAAAAAAATGAAATTATACATTCAATGAATCAAAGTAGATGTACCATTATTATCTATGCACTTTCGCCATTTTATAGCTAGTTTAATAGTTCCATTGCTGAAGAACATGGGGACGAGGGACCGAGAATCGACAAAATTTTTGAAGGTGGCGAAATTTCGAAATAAGTAATATCAGATGGAGCAAGTTCTGAGAAGTATATGGTGGGTTCTGAGCAGGGATTGGAACCGGAACCGAAAAGAGTCGGTACCGGATCCGCTTGCCCTGACTTATTGATACCAGTCCCGTTATTATTAGTGCCAAAGAACAGATATTTTTCGTTTTATATTGGTGCTCTTGAAATTTGGTTTTAAAGTGTTTGTGTGTTAAAAACTTTTCGTAAACTCAACATACTGGTTATTATTATTAACATAACATTGGTATAGTAAACGTAATCGCGCTCATGACGTATGACAAAAAAAGGTTGCTGGTCAAGTGTAAACTTTGCCATGCTGAGATTTAGGTAACATATAATATTTTATGAGTGACAAATACGAAAGAGTACATACTCTTTGCTAATACCAAAAATAAAGGTAGTCGAATCAGAAACAGTACAAAGAACACCATAGCTCAACAAGATGATGCTCACAGATTTTCACTGCGAGGTTTCGTCTTTGAAAAACTATCATCAACTTCATATTTTTTATGGACCAGAAAAAGGTATGTGCATACTGTATTGAGTAGCATTTTTCATTACGAATACAACGATGTATGGTATAATATGATTCTTTATTATGTCATTTAAAAGAACCATCAATGAATTATTTTGATATTTTGTCAACGCCTACTACACCAAAATGTTAAAAATTGTTTATTAATTAAGTCACAAAAAGGCTTCTTATTAAATTTTTAACATAACATAAAGAATAATATTGTGCCATACATTGTTGTATTCGGCAAAAAAATGCTACACTATGTACTTTTTTCTCGTGCATATGAAAATATTGTTGATGATGGTTTCTTAAAGACGAAACGTTGCAGTGAAAGTCGATGGCCACGATCCTGTAGAACTTAAGTGCCGATAATGAGGAAGATATATTTCTTTTGTGATACATTTTCAAACAGGGTCAGAAAAAATAAATACGAAATTGTTTAATTTCAGATATTTTCGAATATCTTTAATTGGAACTGATCGGAATTTTAGAATTTTACTTTACTAGGCCCTAAAATACGAAACTTTTTTTCTAATTTACCCAACTGTGTATCTCTTATATGATTCTACAGAGGTATAGTACGAAACCAGGCCCGGCCTATAGTATGGGTCCCAACCATAAATTGGAACCGGTACTGAAACCGGAACGGATTCCAGGTATAAAATCCTCACTTGAAACCTAAACCGTTATTCAATAAGTTATGATCCGGAACCGATACCGACACCGTTACTATTAGTAAGTTGCAATTGAACCGAAAAAATATGATTATGCAAAAGAATAATGTAAGTACTTTAATTTTGTGTATTATTTATTTTCTATAATTAATAATAATAAAAAACTGGAACCGGAACCGAAAATTACTTAAGCCACAGATCCGGAACCCTTATGGCCGTTTGCACCGACAAATTTAAGTGGTGCTTAGCTTAAAATCCATGGCAACCATTGTCGCAATAATCGTTGCCATGGATTTTAAGCTACGCTTAAGCTAAGCACCACTTAAATTTGTCGGTGCAAACGGCCATTAGCAAATAATTATATCTAAATAGTGCGGAACCGGAACCTATATTTCATATGAGTTCCAATTCCAACCTTTGAGTGAGATATCAATATTAGAGAGAGAAGGAGTAGGGTGTGATTATGTAATATGTACTGTACAACATGGGTGTACTAAAAAGCCTTAATGCCCTAGTATATTTTAAGGAAGGTAACAAAAGTTTAAGTAAAGAACAACTGGAAGATTATTTCGAGTACAAACTTCTATTTAAACATACAAAAGTTTTCATGAAACAATTTATTCCTAAACGAACGCTCCCTTTATATTTCAACTGCAAACCTTCCTTTAAAAACGGTTTAAATCGATCTTTGTGTAACAATTATACATGAGGTATATCAGTTATTGCTAACGTTCCTCATCTTGGAAACAAAAAAAAAGATTCAATTCATAAAATAAATCTGTTCTGCTTTGGTCTCTTCATAAAATCGGTATGGCTATAAATTCGTATATAACTCTCGCCAGGAAAGATTGCTGGTCACAGCACACCGTGCGTCGATTTACAATCTTTGTTTTTATTAAGATGCGAGCGACTTCTGGAATAGGATCGTGCTAATGTTGAACAAAAAGTCTTTTCGTTCAACATTGACACGATACTTTCCCGGAAGTCGCTAGCACCTTACGAAAAACAGAGATTGTAGATCGGGATCAAGTGTTCTGTGACCGGCAATCTTTCCTTGCGAGAGTTATAGTCATAGCGTTGAGTGAAGGATAGATCCTTCACTCAACGGTCATAGTGTATAGTAGGGATGTAACGGAAGCAGTTGTATCGGAACCGAATTCGGAAGCGGACTTTTTCAATTTGGTTTATCGGAACCGAAATCGGAACATTAAAGAAGAGACATGTCACATCTTAAATTACAATACCAATATGTAAATAGAACAAATTAAGTGACTCGATAAGAAGTAAATTATACTCAAGGAACACAAGTGCAAAGGTAATCAACAGAAGGCATGAGTTCCCCACGCCACAAGTATAAACATATTTGTACGCAAACGCACTAATTGTGGCAGCACCGACCCTGTCCATAAACCTCCGATATAACATCGGATTAAAATTTGTCGGAACCGAAATCGGAATCGAAAGTGCAAAATTAATCGGAAGTTTCGCTCTTTCGGAATCGGAACCGAAGCTCCGTTACATCCCTAGTGTATAGTATACCATTAAATAAGTAATACTTATTCAATGAGAGTACCTATCAAGTAAAGTGATTGATGCAATGAGAGACGATTTCAATGAATTATTGCAGTCAATACACGTTAGTTAAATTATTGGGTATCGGCTTCCAGACACTCATGCAGGTTACATTAGTTTACTTCAAAGGCAAATTTTCATGACTGGTTAGTCTCTTTATCAGGACAGGACTACAAAAAGTCAATACAATAAATTAGAATACATTAAAATCTATACTTACAATATATTAATTAAAATTAAGAGTGAAAGATGACATAACAATTATAGATATTAAAATTTGGAAAAGGCATGGCATGGCCTACATAATAAAAAATGACCCTCATATGTGGTTGACATGAAAGTGACAATTGATAAATATTTATATTGTTGGTAACACAAATAGTTCAAAGATGGCGTTAATACGGCGGGAATTTGATTATATTTGAATTTATTTGAGTAAAATTTTATTAAATTGGCATAACTATTAGTATTACTTAAATTTTGAGTGTCCAACCTAAAGTTCATTGTAGAGTTAATTTTGATATAAAACATTTCCAAAAATAACCTCTCACTGTAATTAGTTGCGTTATCAACAATCTCCACCTCGTTTTAAAATTCATTACATGATCCAGCTGATTGCGTATTGTTAATGCACAGGTCTCTTTTTGAAGTTTACAGTTACTTTTATGTGCTGAAATTCTGGTTTTTAGCCAATTAGACGTTTGCCCTATGTAACACAATTCACAATTTCGACATGGGATGGAATAAATTAAACACTTAAGTTCTTTTGGAATCTATCCTTCATTTTTGAAAATAAGTTATTGACAGTTTAGGGGGTTGTAGAATGCAATTTTTAGTGATTCCTTATTTTTATAAAGTGTCTTTATGTTATCGCTCTTAATTTTAATACCTAAATATATTGTAAGTATAGATTTTAATGTATTCTAATTTATTGTATTGACTTTTTTGTAGTCGTGTCCTGATGAAGTGACTAACCAGTCATGAAATTTTGACTTTGAAGTAAACTAATGTAACCTGCATGAGTGTCTGGAAGCCGATACCCAATAATTTAACTAATGTGTAGTAAATCTAACGGCAAGTACTCCTTGTGGTGATATTGCAGTCAATGGTACATCGCCAAGAAGGCAATCTAAGATTTTTACAACTCACTTATGGCCGTTTGCACCGACAAATTTAAGCGAAACTTAGCTTGTGGGCGAGCTTAACATCCATGGCAACGATTATTGCGATAATGGTAACAGTGGTGGTTTCTGACCACATTAAATAATAAGGCATGTAAATTAAGTACACCTTTAATTAAAGTAAATCTAAACTTAGTAAACAGGTACGTTTATGTTGACGTTTAGTATTATACTAATGTGAATACATTACACGCCCCTTCTTAAACAAAATAAAAAAAAATAACATTTCATTCATTGGTATACTTCTCGGTATACTTAAATATTACAAATTTAATCGGTCTGGTATTTTAACTTCTGGTATAATAGTCGCTCGTCACAATCGGGTTTGTCTCACTAGAAATAGTGCCCACTTTCACTTCAGAGTTTCTTCGCTCATCCGTCTGGGATTGATCTGTTGGCTATTCCGCTGGTAATCCGCTTCACCTATGCGAACTATGTAGTCGTTAGGGCCTGATTTCTTCTGCGCTATCACACATGGATTTTAAGCTACCCTTAAGCTAAGCTCCGCTTAAATTTGTCGTTACAAAAGGCCATTAGCACAGTATACGAAGGTCAAAGAGAAATAATTCGCGATCTTTCTATTAGTTAAAGCAAACATCATAATTATGATCTTTACAAGTTACACTACGCACTTCACTTTTCCCCCACTGCTGGAAAAAAGACAAGCATGCATAGAAAAGAAAAAAATCCTACCTTTATAAGACTGTCCTAAGTCCTTCTGCAATCTGAAACAATAAAGAACAAATTTAAGTTAAACAATTAACAAAAAAATGTGTTTTTAAAATGAATCGAAAGTATAAACGTTTAAAAATCTTCTCTTAGTGGTAACTAAGACTATTTCAAAAGAATTTACACAAAATTAAATAATAAATTACCCTTTAGTGTTTAATCTTATTAGTTCAGTCTCTCCAGGAAGGATCACGACCGCGGACTACTGGCATGGTTCTCCCTGAACTCCATTTATCAACACCTGAAAAGTAAATAAATACACATTGAAAACAACTGGTGGTTTTTGTGTCGCATCAAAAATGAATGTCGCAAATTATATAATTATTTTTTGCCTAATCCTCACGGTAGATAGTCAAAAGTCAATCTTTGCAATACACTATGTATGATTTGAAAATCAGGTTTCGGGATTGCTTTTCCAACAATCAAGCTGGTTCAAATTCCAGAATATCGGAAACTGCCAGAGATAGGCAGGTAGTTTAAATTTGGCAAAGTTGCGTATTTTGATGCAGCAAAATGCACTATCAAATGACAAAAAACAAAAGTTAATGATGGTTAATCGGAGACAAAACATCAGACCTAAAATTGAAAGCTAGTATCTCGTAGAGAGAAAAAAATAATGGGTCATTTATTTTGAAATATCTTTCTAAACAGCTTCGGTGTAAAATAAAAACAATTTTGCCAATTTTCATTTTTTCTGGATATCTCCGAAAGTAGTCGGAATTTTTTAAGTTTCAAAACGGCATTTTGTTAAGTATCAAAATACGCAACTTTGCCAAATTTAAACTATGTATTTATGTCTTACAGTTTCCGAGATCCCCATGGGGGCCCTAGAATTTGAATCAGCCTGTATATTACACTACGTTGAAAAATTAAAAATTTCTGGACGATCCAAATCAATGCATGTTAAAGACAATTGTGGCACACTCACCTAATTTGTCGGCGTGAACCCTCCATGATTCAGCATGGGCGAAGTTACATCATCAGATTAGGGGGGGGGGGGGGCTAAATCCTTTATTTTTTATTGTATTTTGCCTTTATTTTTGAGTGGGCATTTAACAACTTTGTTCAGTTCAAAGGCAAAATAAACATTCACAGAAAAAATCTAAATTTTGAAAAAGACTAGTGCGGTGCATGATTCTTATTCCGTCCACTCACATATGATCGTTACTTTACATCAGAAAATTGGTTGTCTGCACTGCACTGCAATGACAAAACAAAATACGGCCTGTTTGACTTGTACTTCCACGTACTTGATTGACATGTTAAATTAATAAACAAAAAATTCTGTTCAACCCTTCACGTTCTTATCAATATAATATGTTAATTTAGGGGACTTCAAGTACTAGTAGTGAAAAAAATAGTATATATATACCACGGTAGAGAAGTCTATTATTATTTATCAATAATGCTAAACTCGAGACTAAACTTCTCTACCTTGGTATATAATGTACTATTTTGTGCGTGAATGCGAGATAATGTCGGAATTATACTTGACGGGGCTAGTTAATTTTTTGGGGCTGTTTAACGCCCCCAAATCCTCTCATATAACCACGCCCATGATGGTTATCCAACAAGGCAGAAAGTACTCTTCGGGTCCCTGAAACTGTTGATGCATCACCAGTGATGTCGGTCACGCGACGTCGTGCAGAAACTCATCAGTGGCACCTAAAACAGTCGATTACATTAGTATAAGTAGGCCTGTTAGGCCAACCTGTTCCTTAAGACAATTATACAAAGACAATCTTCCAAGAGAATATTTATTTAAATGGACTGACAGTCAATATTTGAATTAGAGCTACAGAGCAATATATTATATTCATAAATGCTAAAATGTTAACAAAAGCAAAAAGGTTTTCGCCCTGAGGCTAGTAACTTTGGCTCATTTTTCATGCATTTATCAGTACTACTTCCCATAGCTATGGCTATGTTTTTCTTTAATGAAAGAAATACAAAGTTGATGTTGGTTGACTGGAGACGAAACGTCAAAATTTAAAAGTAGCATCTTGTAGAGGGAAAAAAGTGGCCGTAATAATGTGTTATATATGTATTTTGAAAATTTTTTTTAAATAACTTCAGTAAAAAATAAAAACAATTCAAATCTGTTTCCTTTTAGCAATTGAACTCGAAAAACTGTCAACCTAAAAATGCTCCACCTTCGGTGCCGCATTTTTATTAGTTGACAGTTTTTCTCGTCTAATTGCTAAGCAACAAATTTTCATTTCCTACACAACCCAAATTTACTTGGTAAAATACAAACCTCTTGTGCAATTATAAGTGAAAATTTTGTTTAAATAACTTCAGTAAAAAATTGAAAAATTTTTTTTCCGGGTATCTCCGAAAGTAGTCGGAATTTTTTAAGTTTTAAAACTGCATTTTGGTAAGCATCAAAGTACGCAACTTTGCCAAATTTAAACAACCTACCTATCTCTTACAGTTCCCGAGATCCCCATGGTGCCCCCATAGATATATGCGTATCTCATATGTCTGGGTGCCCCTCGAATTTGAATCAGTCTGTATACCACTTATACCAGAAGTGACAACAAATACTATTTCTATTTATGATTATCAATTTATTTTGAGTCATAATATCATCCACCAAAATTATATGCCCAAAAGGTTATCCATTTTTTGATGATAACAAAAGAGTTTATTGTTTATTAGATATTACTTTGCAATATTAAACAAATTTTCTGAAATAACAATTTCCAACATTAATAAAAAATAAAGATGTTTTTTACTCTTTTTTTCCTAATGTTAATAATAAAAAAGTTTGCCATATGCTGCGAACTTAAATGGCCACACTGTATAAGTTTCTAAAATTCCTAATGGGAGGTGTTACATAGGGAAATTGTATGTATTAATGTATTCTCTTAAAAGAATCTCTCTGTATAAATTGTGTTCATCTCGTTCATTACAGTAAAAAGTATCTTTTAACTGATGAACTAATTCATTATATACGAGCACGCACTTACCTTCCTCTAAGCTGACCTTTGTGTAATAATATAAATGAAGGTGCAACAGTGACTCAGCTTACTCAGTCTAGTCATACCATGAAGGAAACTTTTCTAAGAATCATTATGGTGAAGCTTACATGACCAAGCTGATAAATTGAGGAGATTGTTGCAACTTGCATTGTACTATAAACACGAAGATTAGCTAAAATAGTTGGTGATCTTGCTCTTGATTGTAATATGCACTATTCACTCCCCCCCCAACACATAATATATAACATGCAATACACCATGCATAAAAGGAAAAATCCTACCTTTATATGGCTGCCCTTCGGTAATCTGTAACAAAGAGAAAATTTACGTTAAAAAAGTGAAATTGACAAATGTAACTAATTAAAATTATTTACAACATTTTCTTTAGAGTAAAAAAAATTATAGGTCATAGGCAATGCAAAACAGTTACAAACTTTGGCTTCAATACTATTGCTTACCAGTTGATGATGAACATAAATATTTAACCTTCGCAATAGTATGAAAGGAAACTGGCTACATATACCCCAATTATGACGTGAGAACTTACCCTCTAGCCATATTAAATCAGTCTCTCCTAGCAGGAAACGTCAGCAAAGTACGGATGGAACCATGGGCTTTTCGATCTCGTCTCCGTTGTAAGGTCTGAAAAGTGAAATGCCAAATCAACCAACTGATGAGTATTCATTTAGGTATTAGTTTAATTAAAATGTTTTTCAATACAATAAACAATTTTATCCAGGAATATTTTTTATGAAATTCTCCATTATTGAAACGTTATGTTCAGAATTGTAAGTAAATCGAATTTTGTTATAAACGTTTATTTTTAGATTTTCTGTGGCGATCGATTTCGGCGAATTGCCATCATCAGACCCTTAATTAAAAATATCCAAAAAGGAAACAAAAAAGTAATCGTAAACGATTTACAAAAAGTGCGTATCATTTTCCCATTTGTAAGATCCGGCCACAAGTAAGAAAGTTTGCGTTTGACCTGCTACTTCAATTTCAGTTTATAAGAAGAATCATACCCTAACATTTCAGAAAGATTGGTTCACAAATAACAAATGGGGTTTTTTTTAGTCGGATCGGATTGCGCATGCGAAAAACAAATTTTTTAATTCGACAATAGTTTTACTTTCATTCGAATTCACATCTGCCCACATACAAAATTTCATTTAAGTATTTTAACAAATAAAAAAGATACGACTGGCGATTGCACAGATACAAGTTATCGTGCACACGGAGAGACAGATGGACGGACAGACTAACAACAATACAATCAACGGCAAAAGTGTAAAATTATGGTACATTGATATTGCATTATATGAAATAGACTGATTTTTTAGCATAACTTTTTTCATAAGCGGCACAAAAAAATTCCTGCCTTGGTGCAAACTTCGACGCCATAACACAATACAGGGTATTTCAAAATTCGCGCACATTCCAAAAGTAACTCAACAGCAACTTTTTTTGATCTCATTGTAGTTATTAATAATGGCGTGATTTTCTTTCGGTTTTTTTGGAGCATCCTGTATACGTTCAAATGGTAAAAGTCATGGGAAGGTCATCTAACAAAAGCTAAACGTTTTTTTCAACTTGCATTTATCATACAGTTAATTACTTATACAACACCGAATGATCATTATTTACTTTTTATTGAGATTTGACGATTTGAGATAATTCAACCCTAAAGAACTATTTTTCCTTGTATCAGTTTCAACAACTTGTTGACAGCCGATATAAAATTTAACAAACACTGATCATAGAAGAAAGACCGAAATGATTGAAGGAATTGTAAGGAAAAATATCAAAGGCGATTCCGATAGGTGCATTCGATCAAGTCTGAAGCTGGAGAGGGCCATCGTGTCATATATCATGAACATGAAACGAGACTATGAACACAACCATTTTCTCTTTGCTTTATCTTCGTATGGTTTGATCTTTGTTTATAAAAAGTGCAAGTGTAGAAAAGCAAATCACAATGTGAATGTAATAAAAATGGTAAGAATTATGCAGATTTGCAATTTGTTATTTGAAATCCTAATTTTCTAGTGCTTCGTCAAAGGAGATTGGACACCGAAAGACAAAGCGGTAGAGTTTTGAACTACACCTTAAGGCATTTTTTGTAAATTTCGTACTTGGAAGTAAAAAAATGTGAAAATGTGGGACACATATTTAACAAGGCTTGAAAACCTGATGCAGATCTCAACCTCCATTTTCAGATGAATTGGAGTCCGACATGCCATGTCCCAATCGCAGCACCCACCGCAAGACCCTCATCATTCTAACTTATTAAAAGGCAACTTGTAAGATTAAAAATGAGTGACCGTCAAGTCACCTTTGGAATTTTTGTTTACGTAGGAAATCGTACTTAACACAAACTTTCCAAGGCGAGTACTCGACAGTCACTCATTTTTGATCGCACGATAAGTTCAATATACTTTAAAACGTGGTGTTTGATTAGAAGGCATCAATACTCGCTACTTGGCGAATACACAATTATTTGCGTACTTGGGAAGTATACGAACATTGCGAGCGTAAACATTTGTGGCTGCCATTATGGATAGCGATCGTCCGGAGTATTTAGTTGCTAAAAGAACAAACAAAAAAATGTCTGTACGCTTCTGGTAGTCTTTGAAAACTAAATGAATAGTCGCACTAAAGGCAAATTATTTGTGCATTTTGTTTGAGCACCTCTACAAGTATGTACGAATGATCGTGATCCCTTTGACTCGGACCATTTTTACCGACCAGAAATGCAAAACTAACTAAGCAGGTACAAGTAACCTACTCACACGACATGCCAAGTATACGCACGTAACGATTATTCGCCAAGTACACGAGTCATCTGAGCCCGGCTTCGGATGGTATCCCAAGCATTACGTTAACAACTACGATGGAAGTTTTGAAAGTCGCAACACTTACCCCAAATCAACATACTCATGACATCTTAGGCGTCTTGATTCCAAACACTAAAAACTATCACAGTACGTTATCTTTTAAACCCGTTAAGGAAGGCAAAAAAACAAGATTCAAAATGGGACGCCATTTTCTTCTTGCGGTTATCTTTATAAAGCACCATCAAAACGACCGAAGTACTAAGAATTCCTTGCAGGTTATTATTAATTTAAAAGTTGAATTTAATAAAGCGAAATACGAAAACGCGATCCGCGTACCGTGATGCAAGCACGCAAACGCCGATTTGAATTCAAACGAAGGGACGCCATAATTTCGTAATTTAAGATTTCGTTTAAATTTTTCACTCGCAGGCTTAAACGCCGGTTTATTAAACGATGCATCGAAACGAAAGAGGAAGCAAAATTTTTCGCGTGTTTATAGTATCACTTTTTTAAAGTTTATTCAATGGTTTATTTTAATATCGGTCTTCACAAATTCAACGAACACGTAAAAACTAAGCGGTGGCGTTGGAAGCTTGGATGTACAACGAAAAAGTGGATCACGTGACACGAACTGTGACGTCACAACTACTACGTTAGTCCATATACGTATTGTTTGGTCTATTTCGATGCCGATTACAAAAAATGAGCCAATCGGGGCGTCCCGTTTAAAACAAATAAAAATAAATAACAAAACACGAAGGATAATTGAAACGTTATGTTCAGAATGGTAAATAAATCGAATTTTGTTATAAACGTTTATTTTTAAATTTTGTGTGGCGATCGATTGCGGCGAATTGCCATCACCAGGCCTAGCGTCAATTACACTTTAAATACAATCTTGCTACTTGTATGTCATTTATAAATATTCCAAATCCATAAGTAACACGCACTTCATGTTAAATTCCAAAAACGCTGCCTCTTAAACAATTTTTCGCTAGGTCTGATGATGGCAATTCGCCGAAATCGATCGCCATAGAAAATCTAAAAATAAACGTTATAACAAAATTCGACTTATTTACGATTTGTCCAGGAAGTCTCCTAAATTTTGGCATGTGAGACCCTGAATTAAAAATAGCCAAAAAGGAAACAAAGTAAAAAAGTAATCGTAAACGATTTACAAAAAGCGCGTATCATTTTCCCATTTATAAGATTCGGCCACAAGTAAGAAAGTTTGCGTTACACATGTGCATTCCATTTTTGACCTGCTATATCAATTTCAGTTTATAAGAAGAATCATACCCTAACATTTCAGAAAGATTGCTTCACAAATAACAAATGGGGGTCTACATCTGCCCACATACAAAATTTCATTTAAGTATTTTAACAAATAAAAAAGATACGATTGTCGATTGCACAGATACAAGTTATCGTGCACACGGAGAGACAGATGGACGGACAGACTAAGGGCAATACAATACAATCAACGGCAAAAGTGTAAAATTATGGTACATATTGCATTATATGAAATAGACTGATTTTTTAGCATAACTTTTCGTAAGCGGCACAAAAAAAATTCCTGCCTTGGTGCAAACTTCCGACACCATAACACACACAGGGTATTTCGAAATTCGCGCACACGGACTATGAGATGGTGTTATACGACAAAGACTGAACAAAAAGCTCTACTTCAAATGAGCATTCCCCTTATACGGTACGCAACGGGCGATCAAAAAAGAATTGACGTCGGGTCGTCTTTGGAAGTTCAAGTTCGATATGATTTCACATGTAAACAAAAATTCCAAAAGTAACTCGACAGCAACTCTTTTTTGATCGCATTGTAGTTATTTTCTTTCGGTTTTTTTAAGCATCCTGTATACCATTCAATGGTAAAAGTCATGGGAAGGTCATTTAACAAAAGCTAAACGTTTTCTTCAACTTGCAGTTTATCATACAGTTAATTACTTATACAACACCGATATGATCCTTAAGGATATGATCAATGATCATTGTTTACTTTGTATTGAGATTTGACGATTTGAGATAATTCAACCCTAAAGAACTCTTTTTCCTTGTATTAGTTTCAACAACTTGTTGACAGCTGATATAAAATTTAACAAACACTGATCATGGAAGAAGGACCGAAATGATTGAAGGAATTGTAAGGGAAAATGTCAAAGGCGATTCGATAGGTACATTCGATCAAGTCTGAAGCTGGAGAGGGCCATCATGTCGTATTTGATTTGTGTAACCATGAACATGAAACGAGACTGAACACAACCATCGTCTCTTTGCTTTATCTTCCTATGGTTTGAATTTTGATCTTTGTTTTTAAAGGAAAATTTGTAAAAAGTGCAAGTGTAGAAGAGCAGTTTTAGTTCCTCAGCAGCAAACTGAATGAAAGTAATAAAAATGGTAAGAATTATGCAGATTTGCAATTTATTATTTGAAATCCTAATTTTCTAGGGCTTCGTCAAACGAGATTTGACACCGAAAGACAAAGCAATTTTGTACTTGGAAGTAAAAAAATGTGAAAATGTAGGACACATATTTAACAGGGCTTGAAAAGCTGCTGGAGAGAATCTTAACCTCCATTCTCAGATGAATTGGAGTCCAACGCCATGTCACAATTGCAGCACCCACTACAAGGCCCTCATCATTCTAACTTATTAAAAGGCAACTTGTCAAGATTAAAAATGAGTGACCGTCGAGTCACCTTTGGAATTTTTGTTTACGTAGGAAATCGTACTTAACACAAACTAACCAAGGCGAGTACTAGACAGTCACTCATTTTTTGATCGCACGATATGCCACATATTGTTTTAGGTTTTTACTGATTAAAATGTAAATAATCTTCAATATACTTTAAAACGTGTTGTTTGATTAGAAGGCATCGATACTCAAGCCGGGGTCAGACCACTCGTGTACCTACTTGGCGAATACAAAATTATTTGCGTACTTAGGAAGTATACAATTAGCTTTGCGAGCGTGAACATTTGTGGCTGCCATTATGGATAGCGATCGTCCTGAGAATTTAGTTGCTAAAAGAACAAACAAAAAAATGTCTCTATGCTTCTGGTAGTCTTTGAAAACTAAATGAATAGTGCACTAAAGGCAAATTACTTGTGCATTTCGTTTGAGCGCCTCTACAAGTATAGACAAGTATGTACGAATGATCGTGATCCCTTTGGCTTTGACCATTTTTACCGACCAGAAATGCAAAACTAACGAAGCAGGTACAAGTAACCTACTCACACGACATGCCAAGTATACGCAAGTAACGATTATTCGCCAAGTACACGAGTCGTCTGAGCCCGGCTTCGGATGGTATCCCAAGCATTACGTTAACAACTATACGATGGAAGTTTTGAAAGTCACAACACTTACCCCAAATCAACATACTCATGACATCTTAGGCGTCTTGATTCCAAACACTAAAAACTATCACAGTACGTTATCTTTTAAACCCGTTAAGGAAGGCAAAAAAACAAGATTCAAAATGGGACGCCATTTTCTTCTTGCGGTTATCTTTATAAAGAGCCATCAAAACGACCGAAGTACTAAGAATTCCTTGCAGGTTATTATTAATTTAAAGGTTGAATTTAATAACGCGAAAGCGAAATACGAAAACGCGATCCGCGTACCGTGATGCAAGCACGCAAACGCCGATTTGAATTCAAACGAAGGGACGCCATAATTTCGTAATTTAAGACTTCGTTTAAATTTTTCACTCGCAGGCTTAAACGCCGGTTTATTAAACGATGCATCGAAACGAAAGAGGAAGCAAAATTTTTCGCGTGTTTATAGTATCACTTTTTTAAAGTTTATTCAATGGTTTATTTTAATATCGGTCTTCACAAATTCAACGAACACGTAAAAACTAAGCGGACGCGTTGGAAGCTTGGATGTACAACGAAAAAGTGGATCACGTGACACGAACTGTGACGTCACAACCACTACTTTAGTCAATATACGTTGATTGGTCTATTTCCAATGAATAAAGAATACCCTTTATTCATTGTCTATTACTCTATTTCGATGCCGATTACAAAAAATGGGCCAATCGGGGCGTCCCGGTTAAAACAAATAAAAATAAATAAAAAACACGAAGGATAATTGCCGTAAATTCATTTACGATTTACGAAGGCGTAGAGGAGAGGACGCGTAGGTTTTATCTTGCATTCACCTCGAAGTTTAAATTCGAATTCAAAAGTTAAAGGGTGCATTTAGAAGGCCTGCGTTCCCTCAACTCTTCATTAACACTCTTAAGCTTGTATGAAAGGCCTTCTAAAACTGAAAAGCGTTTCAGCTTTCCAGGTCATTACAGTGCCTTCCAACAAGCCCCTTAAAATCGCTTCCATGGATTTATTACCCTATAGCTATAACTTTAAAAGTAGGTACTTTATACATGCCTTTTTCAGAGCCTATGTATATATGTTAAACCCCATTCCTCTGGGGCGAGCGATTAGATGCCTGTGTTGGGAATTGGGATCAACATTAAAGGACGCCACTTTCCAGCGTCTATGCTGTACCGTTCAATTTCAGTAGGTATGCGGAGAGTTTGCAGATTTCATTGCTAAAACTGAGCAAACGGCAATGGTAAGTGCATGCGACGCAATGAACTATACAACTTTTAAGTTTTTAGCGTAACACAACGAAGTTGAGGCAACGCTTATGTCCTCGATTTTCCGTAGTTTATCTGTCTGTCTGTTCCATCGAGTTCTCCGCCCCTGGGCTACCTAGAGATATCGGGTTTTCGGTTATTGATAGCTGGCTACTCATAATTTACAATTGTGCTACGCCCACGCGTGGGTTTTTAAACATTTTTCGTATGAACGTTTCTTTTGAGAGTAAACGCTTTTTTCTAGAATTAATATTGTTTTCTTAATTTTATATTTTGAGTCCTGAATTATTACCTACCTATATTTATGTTGGTATACTAATAAAAGCAATTTATTATGAACAAAGGGCCTAAATACTCACATTAATCAACCACTAACATTTGGCGCCTAGACAACATAAAAACTCACGTTTTTTGTATCAAATTGTTCAAAATTTCATCTTTCACTTCTCTGCCTCCCTCTGTATTTTCCCGCGTGTACCTCTATGTACTCTGGATTATGCCTTATTTCAATCTAGCAACCCTAGTGAATTACTATACAGAAGCATCTCCTGGATTCTACTTAGGTTGGCATTGCACGATTCCATAAAACAGTCATATTGTCTTTATGCAAGATTGGTATAGAAATATCATGAGCTACAGCACTAGGTACTTTATAGCTACTAAAACATGAGAATAGAATGGATCCTAGGACTGATCCCTGAGGGAATGCTTGGGTTTACTGCAGGTATATTGTGTTAGATTTGTACTTTCGCAGGAATCAATTAATGTGATCATTTTGGGTTATATTAGTGACTACCTGTCTTCTTTCAAGCAGGAATATATGTTTCTAGTCATTGCAGGACTACATCCTATCCCTCACTGTATTGTGACAGCTTATTCAGTAGGCGCTTTGAAATCTAGTCAAATGCCCACAAGGTAATTGCCCTTATCAATATATGAGATTAATTTTATATAGAAGTAGTGCAGAGCATCAGTTGTCAATTGGATAAGTGAAAGTAATTGACATTTGCATATGCCGATTCAAATTCGAGGGCCACCATGGCAATTTCGGAAACTGTAAGTAGTTTACATGTGGCAAAGATGCGTATTTAAAGATATTTCAAAACAAATGACACATTATTATGGCCACTACTTTCCCTCGTGCTAGTTTTAAATTTTAAGTTCTGATTCAGACTTCAACAGTACAACAACACTGGTAACAATAACGAGAACAATAATATTATGTGCACAAATACAACATTATAAAAAAAACAAATATAAACATGTACAAAATAATTATCTTTAATTAAAACGAAGTATTCACCAAGTTACATCATTTTTCCTATCAATGCTATTACCTACTGGATCATTTTTGCATATACATTGTTTATTTTCAGCGCTTGATGAACACTCATACTTTTTCTTGTCATGTTCTGCTATCATCTTTTTTGCCTTACTGGATTTTCCTATACCCAGCTTGGGTAATCCTCGATTTAACCCTTCAAGCAGCACACACGCCTTACAAACTGTTTGAGACGACACATGATTACAGCGTGAACACTTTGTAAGAGTTGGCATGTTTACTTCTTCATTAACAGTTAAAGACTCGCCTATAAGAAAAAAAAGTGGGCCATTGGAGAAAGTATAATCAAATGTCGCTCACCAGAGTGAATAATGTTCATTATAACAGCAGGATCGATCTTCTCCATATCTTTTAATAATACCCTGGCATGCCCACGATATGCATTTGGAGCAAATATACACTCCGTTGAGAAATAAACCAGCTGTTTAAAGTACGCGTACATAACAATTTCTTTTTCGTACGTGTATTTCAATGGTTTCACTCTAGCTATACCATCACCATGTCCCTAAAGAACAAAGTAACTAAAATTCTTCACTCCAATATTGATTTACCGTTATTATTGAAGTACACCTATTTAATCGTGCCAGATCCCCTCTCAAGATATTCATTAGGACAGTTTCCGCTATATCATCCGCATTATGGCCGGTAGCGATGCAATCGACCTTTAATAACGCAGCACCACGATCAAGTGCTTGTCTTCGAAACACGCCACAAAATGTGCAATTATTTTTGCGACCAATCTAAAAGCGTCTTCGTGTAATACCGACGGAATTGGATAATAATTACAAATACTGTAGCCGTTCAAAAATTAGAGTACGATTGAATCTCCTTTATGTAATGTTACAGCGTAATGTAAGATGGCACTACATATTCAAAAATTTCTTACACAAATTAGACAACAGGAAAAATTATTTGAACGAAGGAATAGACTTTTTACCTTTCCTTTTTGATATGTAGTGCCATCTTACATTGCACTGTAATATTACATAAAGGAGCCCATCTTAATTCAATCGTACTCTAATTTTTGAACGGCTACAATACCTCAGCGACGATCTCATCCATGGTCCATCCGTATAAATCCTTGTACGACAAAATCGTCAAAGGCATATCGTAATCGTCACGATTTCTCTTTACAGTATCTAAGCTATCATCTCGATAGCCTGTAATACCTTCGTCGATGGATAATAAAACGAGTCTAAGATCGTAATTAAAACGTTCATTTAAAATTTTGAGTATATATGCGAGAACTGTCGAATCTTTACCACCAGAGGCTGCCACGGCTACCGTCATGCCCGCTTTGAATAGTTTAGCTCTCGTGATTGTGAAATGTATTTCAGTTTCGAAAGCTTCAAAGAAACACTCTTTGCAGAGAACGTCTCCAGTTTTAGGCCTCTAGAATGATATCGTGAGTGAAATGATGGAAGTAGGTGATTATAATATACCTTTAAAACGGCCTTTTTGCCACATTTTGTAGAGCAGCTGGACATTTTTGTATCACATATTCAAAAATCACCATAAAGTAATAATTTGGATTTTGTAAGGTTAAGTACAATTGTTCAAATCTGTGGCTAGTGTTACGCCAGGTGTTGTTATTGACATTGATTATATACAGTGTGTATAATCAACGGTTGAACCAAATGCCATTTACTGATTTTTTTGGCATTAAGATGTCTATTTGCCAGTTAAATTTATATTTTGGATCTAAGTAAAAATCAGGTTTGAAAACTTGGAAGATTCAAGCTTAAATTGCTCAGGAAACTTATCGAAGGCTTGTAAGTATTTAAGCAGTTTCGTAACAAGTACCATAAGTGCAAGCATGGCTTGAAAACCGAACATGCAACTGTTGTATACATAAAATTGTATGCAATTCCTTTAAAGTGAACAGTGTACAAGCAAATTGTTACAGGAAGCAGAATTGCATAGGTGTAACAGATGTATCATGTTCCAATCAATTAAAGGTTTCTAAAATGGTACAAACAGGCGCACAGTAATAAACCTTTAATAAAACGGATTGACAACAGTTTTATTGTCTTCCAATTCGCATAAAGAAACATTGATTGTTATGATAAGTAGGCTGCAGTTTGTTTATCAATCACTTCTCGACATATTGGACATAGATCAGTAATTTCCTCTGAACAGTCTTCACATAAACAAACGTGACCGCAGGGTAACAGTATCACCTGCAATAATCGTGTAAACATTGTTCCTCCTCTACAAAACTTACTTCCTTAGGATTGACTTTACATACAACACACAGCTGCGAATCTGACAACTCATCTCCTCTTACTCGTCTTCTCCTCTCCTTTCTAATACTTTCCCTTTCCTTCTTCTTACGTTCGCTCTCCATCCATTGACTCCTGTTCCTCAAATACCGTCGTATTATCAAACCACCTACCACAATGCCTATCGTTCCGAACAAAATACAAAACAACCTACAACGCATCTATCAATATTGGCAATCTTTCTCAACAATACTAACCGATAGGTACGTTGCTGCTCATCTAATTTTTTTAATAAACTCGTAATACTCATATTTGTAAGATAAAAGGGCGACCCGTCTCGTGGCGGTTGTAATCGAACCCCACCTTTATCTTCGGAGATAATTAACTCCCCGATACCAGTAATGACGGTTCCCTTGCGCAGCATTTCCTCTGTAGTTTGTACTCCTCTCTGCCTAAAGCCAGTAAAAAAACCCCAAATGTGATCTACCAATTTAGGCACAGTTGGTGTGAATACGTTGGATATTACGTCAAGATCTGTTTTTAACGGGCCGTATAAGTTAGTGTTAAACAAATTTTACATTTGTACCTAAAATATCCGCCGACAACGCATCGACCACCTCGACATTGTAACCATGTGATTCAATCACGAATGGCATCACATTTTGTACTGTCTGTATAACTTTCTCGTGTTCGGACCAATACCCTGTGGCTCCCCGTTGAATTATATGCTCTTTAATTGTTAACAATTGTAAAACGCCGGCTACTTTCAAATTATTATTGCTTATTATGGGATCGCCGATTGGCTGAACAGTTCCTCTGATTGCTACATAGGGAATAATTTGACCCGGTTGTTTGTTAACAATTTTTGGCAGGTTTTTGTTGATCTCCAAGACTGGAGAATTCTACTGGGACGGTTTCGTTAATCTGAGCCATTTACATTATAAGTTCTGCTTACCTCAATTAGGGTTATGCTATTTTTAGTTTTTAAGTAATTTACGTAATATCCCACCAGACAAACGGAGTCGATTGTTAACGCTATTATTTCCACCAAATAATCCATTTCTTGTTATTAAATTATTTATTCTAGAAGAAAATTTTAATTTTTTACTTTACTTTTGACATTTTAAAAAGAGGTTAACTGATCCCAGGGGCGGTGCAGAGTTTTCTTCGCGCAATTCCCTACGCCACTGTTGGAATAATGGCTGTCAATGTCAAAAAGTGACAACAAAAAGAACAATGGCGTTGACATTTGTTTAAATTGTTTGTTTTCTTTTTATGTAATAGCTTTCGAAATTGAATAATTCTAATTCTCCATCGTGGAAAAATGTCAAGAGCGAAATCACGCCAAAGCACAGACATCTGTGCAGATTGCAGCTCATTGGGTAAGCTGCAAAAACACTCTGATAGAAATTGTTAATTACTTCAATTATTAGATCCTTCTTGGGCCTCCGTAAATAAAGGAATATTTTTGTGCATCGAATGTTGCAGTATTCACCGTAGTTTAGGTAGACACATCTCTCAAGTGAAGTCGATACAAAAAAGTCACTGGAGTCCTTCACAATTATCCGTAACAGTTTGATAATCACAATTTCTCTTGTCTCACGGTTTCCGTTTCTAGATGGTACAAACTTTAAACAACTTAGGTATTAATAATGTATGGGAGTACATGTTAGAAACTAATTCCAAATTTGCAAAACGTAAACCTAATCCCAAAGATAGTTTGCAGTACGTACACTTCCATCGTCTAATATGCTTGTTAAATCCTTGTTTCTAGCACAAAGGCGGAATTTATCCGAGCCAAACATCAACAGTGTGCATTTGTCGCAAGGCATACCACCGAAGACGGATTGTTGTGTGTCGAAAATGAACTCGGCAAGGAGCTTCACGCTAATGTTAGAAGTTCAAATTTAGAAACGTCTCTACGGTTATTAATACAAGGCGCCGATCCCAACTACTTCCACGACGAGAAGGGGTCTACTCCTTTACACGTGGCAGCTAAGGCGAATCAGCTAATGCAGTCGGAGTTATTAATTACGTACGGCGCAGATCCAACTTGCCCGGACAGGCAAGGAAAAACCCCAATCGACTATGCCAAGTATATTACTAATTTATCGGCATCTCTTTTCACATATTTATTTACAGACAGCAAATTGTACAGGACTTGGCGAATAGATTGATCGAATGCCAATACGATGTCACCGACAAATTCAGTTACTACCTCTGCCACCGTAAGCCGGATCACGAGAAGGGCGTTCACTTTCTAATTCCACAGGCCAGCACGAAATGTGACCAGCAGGCCATGTCAAAATTGAGAAAGGTCTCTTTAATATTATTTAAATCCCACTATAAACGTTATCTTGTAGTTGTCAAATAGTTCATTTGAAGAGCTCGTCATGGATGTATATGATGAGGTCGAAAGAAGAGAAACGGAAGCAAGTAAGTTTGTTTGAATTACGATGATGTGAAATTCTGTGTAAATTTTCTTTAATGCTTACCTAGTAGGAGTTTGAGAAGGTGAGACGTTTACTTTTTAAATAATAGTCCTTATTGTGGTTTCTTGTTTAAATCTCAAATCTAATATGTACAGGGTGTCCTATTAATAAAGGTCAGAGGCAACAGCTATGGAACCATTAGTTGCACAGCTTAGAGGAAAAAGATTTTGTTAAGAGGCCAAGAGAAATCGCTGGAAATTATTTTCTAGTTTTGCCGCTAGCGTATGGTTAAGTAGAAAAATGATGTTTTTTGTGAAATATATCCCACAAACATGCATAAAAAATACATGCATTGCAATGTTGTATTGCATCATTTTGATGCATATTACTCTAGCTCATAAAATATGAATGGGAGAAGGTGAACATCTGTTTAAGAAATTGAATGTAACTATTGTTTAAGTTAACCGATTCTCACATTGTTCTTATTGGAAAGAGTTCTCTTCATCAAATCAGATTTTAGATGAATAGAGTTTTTGTAGGGTTTTTTCAAAATTTCAAATAGAACGATATAATTATTATATGATATTATCAAATAAGACGAACAAGTCGAAATATCAGTGAAAAATGCTCACATTCAAAAATTAAATTCCAATATTTTATGTTCATCCAAGTTGGCTTGGAAACAATAGAACATATAACCAGCGATAATTAAAATTAATACTCAATATAAGTTTTTAAATAATAATAATAAACTTTATGGTCCCAACAGGAAAACCTAATCCATGAAAATTATTTAAAATTAATACGTTAATGTGCCTCAAGGTTTATCATAAGGATCATTATTATGCATCTGCAGTAATTATCTACCTAGGCTCTCAAATATTTAGTAAAATTATTCTTCTCATCCCACCAGTTTGGTTGAGCAGCGCCGACACGGTCGAATTAAATCCGAATGCTGTACCATTTCTTCCTGTCGATCCGTCGTTGTCGACAACCCGAAATCAAGGACGACAAAAGCTGGGTCGTTTCACGACGCCCGAACTGAAGGGCTTAGTTTACGATATCCTACTTGATACGCAGAGGCGACAGCAGAGTGCTGATAAGGGTTCCTTCACGACCTCGTCTAGACAATTTTCGCAGGTTTCCGATGACGAGCCGCTGTACGATTCGGTCGCGTCCGACGAGGATTACGCTCACGTAAATTTGGACGAGGTGAGTTCGATAGAATGTAAACATTGGGTTTAGCGGAGCCTGTTTAGGATAAAAAAGGCGGCGACGGGGACGCGGAAACTACGAGGCTGTACTCGCTTGCCAAGAAGCTTCAAGATTCAGACAGCACAATATCCGATCTTAAAGCTGAAGTTAGTACGCTTAAAACATTAGTGGATCATTTAAGTTGTGAAAATCAAGAATTAAAGGCGCGACTGTCAAATACGGATTCATTTCAATCGCGGAAATTAAATGGTGACTCGCAGTCACTGGAAGGATTTCTTATTGTAAGTACGATAATTAGGCATGCCTAGAAGGGCCATATCTCTCTTATTTTGTTTTATACAGGGTGTGTAAAACTACATGATTGCGCATTATTTTCAGAGTAAAAAGTCTCCACAATTTCCATCTACATGACGCCTTCAGAAAAATACGGCCGGTTGCAGGAAAGCGAATTATAATCAAAATCCTACATTATTTGCCAAATCTGAGTTTAAACAAGAATTTTGACATTTGATTGGCTGCAGTATAAAGCCAATCAAATGTCTTAATACCGGATTAAACAATAATCCTGGATTATTTTTTTTGTGCAACTGGCCGTTAGATTTTTAAATCTGGCAATATGACTTTTTGTGACTGATGATCAAGGCATTCTACATAGAGTTTTTAAGTGAAAAACTCAAGTGCCTTGATGCCACATTTTAAAAATGTACAAAAGGTCCAACCTGGGGATTAATAATCTTGTGTATTCATAAGTTATATTAATGCAAATACTTTTACATCTCCTGAAACTGATTTAATTGCAGATTTTTACTTTCTGGTGCACTGAATCATAGTTATTAGCAGTTTGTTATGTAAAACTAGGATGGATACACCTCCTGAAGGAGTCTTCTAGAGGAAAATTTTTCAATCATTTCATCAATTTTCTGTAGGCAGCCAAATGAAGTAGGCTCTGGTTTCATTTACATAATGTCTTGTTTTTATTAGTTTTGACAGTTGGCATTGAAAATTGTATTTGCAGATGTTTATAAATGAACGTAACTATAACACTAGATCACTAACGAAGCGTTTGTGGAGTGTGGACCTATATTTATATGAACTTTTAGTCGTAAAATAGTAGCCCCGTCCTTATTTAGGAACACCCAATCAAATTACTAGATTTAACTAGGAAATTGTGATATTAAAATGGCCCTTCTATGCGTCCATAAACAATTATGTGTAACAATTATTTTGAAGGGCAATTCGAGAGAGAGTGAAAACATTACTATCGTCAACGGGCAAGTTGGCGAGGCAGATTTCAGGCAGCATCGCAGAGGGCAGCGACCGTCGAGCATGTACGAGACACGCGAAGGACTCAAAACACCTAACTGGCAGGTTTTAAAAAATCAGGTTTGTGATGCGGGGTTTCGTTTGGCAAAAATTTTAATTGTAGATTTAGGTTAAGCAGAATGAGCACTCGCGGGGGACTACGCACAGTATGTATGCAGGTCCGAAAAATCAGACGTTAATGGTGTGCACAGAGAATGTAACGAAAGGAATACAGCAATTGTGGTTGTGTATTCAGGGGCCTAATCGAGAGGACTGCTTAAGGTGTGCCGATGAAATTAAGCACGCCGTAACTCAGTTGACAGCAGCAGTTTCTATGGTCGGTAATTCATTTTGTTTAGGGAGTGATTATTTGTTTTTTGTAGGTGAACGATGGGGAAGTTACCAGACGATTGCTGGACAGCGTCGCTCGATTGATGAACGAATGCACTTCATTGCAACTCTGCAGTAAGAATGGTGATACTCAAAAGGTTGAATATTATTTACACCAAGTCCGTCTATGCGCTTACGAAATAGCAAAAGACACAAAGGTTTTAGTAACGCAATATTCTGCTCATTGACTTTCTTTGATGCTTTTTTTACACTTTTGTGCAATAATAATGTGGTATTTTTGATTCAAGAAAGGGAAATTTTTACCACTTGTTACTTTGAGCAATAATATTAAGACAGACTTTTTATCTCTCGACCTAGGTGGAATTAATCTTTTTCAAATTGACTATTTAATTGTTGCAATACTTGAATAATTTGTGGGGATATGTTGCAAATTACACATTACTTTGAGAAAAATCTTAATGTTGTCTACGAGAAATCATCAAGCATGGTGAATATTGTTAATTATGTTTAGAGATGCAAGTTGCTGGACAGTGTTTGTTATTGGTTTAGGGAGAGACTAAAGAAGTCTGTACTAAGCGTCAGATGATATCATTGTGCCGGGTCTGTTACTGTTGTATGACCCTTTTAACATTTACACGATGCAAGTATTAATATTTAATAGTTTTAATCAGGCATTTACTGAAAGTGATCGACGGATGTGCAAATATTTAAATATAGTTTTAGTATTCGTTTTCCTATAACTACCTAAATGATTTTATATACAGAGACACATACGCACGGAACTATTTAATCCATTGTATAAATGACTGATTTATATAAATAGTAAAAGTTGTATAAATAGCTTACCTTAATAAACATATGCGTACTAAAAGTAATGTTTCGTGTTTATTTATCGTGAAAAAGAATCTTAAGACCTAAGCCTTCCACATGCATATCGCTAAAGTTCCAGCGAAATACATATACAATAAGCTTTTACACTCGTACGTAATTTCGAAACCAAACCCCTCCCCAACGACCACGTGAAACGGGGGCCCGAATTTTTTGTCCATCTGCTCCTTTATCATTCGTGCAGCCATCTCGTTGTTGGCGGAGTGTTTCTCGCAAGCTGTCACAACAATCTCGACCGATTCCGTTCTCATCTCTTCGTTCATATCTGAATTCTAGAATAGGTATTCGACCACAACAAAATCAATAACTGCAGCATGACTCACCCTCACTAAGGGATACGTGTGTACGATCCTTTTTTCGGTTTCCTTTTTTTCTCCTCCAATTTCGCCCTCGGCCATTTATGTAAATTATTTTAAAATCTTAAGGTTTTGACAAAATTTGATTTAAATTGACAACAATTGGCGCCTTGGAAACGGCACGTATAATATACAAAGTGTATAACGCAACGTTCTTTGTATACGAGGTTATTTTACAAAGTGTGTGACATCATTCGTGCCCTATACTAATTTCATTTTACTTTTTTAACTACCATTTTTTGATCAAAAATTTTTAAAAGTTTGGTATTTGAGCATGGGAATGTCGGAGGTAGGTACTGAAACTGGGTAATGGAAATAGAATTGCAGTGATTTTTTAAAGCAACTAAATAGAATAGTGTCGTCGACTAAAGAACTAGCATTTAGAAGACTTTACAGAACCATCTAGCAATTTTCAAAATCCCTTACATGTTGACTAACGGTTTAAATTACCTTTTGATCATTTTTCATAGTCGTATCTCCTTTTCAGGGCTAGGAAGGTTTAGAGGAGGAAGACCCATGAAAGCATCAGAAGAGCATGAACAGTTTCTAGGACTAGGAGGAACCTAGCAAGTGGCTAAAATTTTCTGAAAGAGCTCTCTGGAGCGCCTAAGAGGTTCTGAAAAAGTTTTACATTGCCGTGGGTGCTTTAGAATGTGCTTGAAAGCCGAGTTGAAAGCACTAAGAAGTCTCTGGAAAGCGTTTATAAAATTTCTAGAGCCATATTTATCTTTTCCATAGCTGGCCGAGCTTGGAAAGCTGTAAAACAAGCCCAAAAAACATAGAAAACTGAATCGGTCCCGGAGAGCTTTGGAAGGCACTCAAACGTTTTAAAAAAATTTAAACAGCTCTTGAAAGAGACATGTGAGAGGTTCTTTCTTGTATATACTCGTATAAACATTGAAAATTTATTACATATACAATGTCCATAGAATCATTACACTCTGTTCAAGTTGTCAACTTGTTTACAAAACATAAAATTGTGTGTCCTAGTGTTATGATTGACCCTGTATATAAGTTTCTGTTTCAAGGTTGACATTTCACACAATTGTCACAATCAGATGATTACAATAACATAACCTGTATCTTTAAAAATGTCAGGTTTTAGTGGAGTTTTACAATTAACCGACTTAGATGACTTTATCACTCCCTCTCAGGTAGCGTTCATAATTCACAAAATCAAAACTGACTTAGTTTCATAGGAGTGTATCAAACCGGTCAAAATCGAGAAGTCGAGTGCGGGAACGGGTGCTAAAATCTCGATACAGGAGGATGGATCTTACTATCAAATTGAAGAGGTTCGATTCTCTTGCTTTATTGATTAAACGGACGGCGTATTTTTTAGGACGGTCACCGACAACAGTTGCAAAAGGTGGAGATCACACTCTCGGATTGCCTAGCATGTTCCGGGTGTATAACTTCGGCCGAAACTGTACTCGTCACACAACAAAGTCAAGAGGAATTGCTCAGAGTTCTAAACGAAAATAAGAAACTACGCTCGGTGAGTTATTTAAATTTTGCGAATGAGAGTGTTTCAAACTTTCTTAGGATGGTAATGAGAGCGAAGCGAAGTTTATTATTATCTCAGTTTCGGTGCAGCCCCTGCTTTCATTAGCCGTAAGATACAATATAACACCCGATGAAGCTGCCGAGAGATTGGCAGGTTACTTTAAACATCTGGGGGCAGATATGGTTGTTGATATGGCGGTTGCTGAAAATTTCGCTTTACTCGAGACTCGGAAGGAGTTTGTCAGGAGATATTTATCGTCAACAAATGATGGTGTTAAAAATGCTTTGCCAATGCTTGCCTCCAGCTGTCCCGGTAATATTTAACTCGAAATTAGTTTCTGGAAAATCTCTTATGTACTTAACTAACTTCACAGGATGGGTCTGTTATGCTGAAAAAACTCACGGTAATTTCATACTACCCTTTATTTCCGTTACCAAGTCGCCTCAGCAAATTATGGGTTCACTTGTAAAAGATTGGGTGTTGAAAAATTTAGGTGTGAGATCAGTTTATCATGTCACTGTAATGCCGTGTTATGATAAAAAGCTGGAGGCGGCGAGAGAGGATTTTTTCGACAAGGCTGCAGAAAGTCGAGATGTAGATTGTGTTATTACCGCAAGTATGCTTTTACTCTCGCTTTTACTATTAGTGGTGGAGGTATTTTTCCAAACAGTCATACAATTTCCAAAGGTTATGGGAAAAATATGCCACCATTGATGATCACTGACTATTATCATCCTAAACTCAGTTTTGTAGTTGAAATTGAACAAATGTTACAAACTAGCGGTATTGAATTGCACCAAGTGGAGAAGGCGATGTATTCAGAACCTTGGAAGAAAGACTTTGATGCAATTTCACCTTCAATTAAACGACACATCGGTTCCGGGTCTGGTGGTTATGCGGATCACATTTTCCACTATGCTGCCAAAGAACTCTTTGCGATCGAAGACCATGAAATAGCATATAAAAATTTAAGGTAATAACTTTAAAAGGACCCCGTGTTGCCCTATGCTCCATATTTATTCCAAATTTATCATTACCAAATGGGTAGATTTTGCTATGGTTACAATTATTGCGTATTTCGTTAAAACATGGCCAATATACCAGCTACCAATAGAAAATAACACCACACTCTCTTTAGAGTCACTGTAATAACCACATTTTTCGCCTTCAATTTTAAGAAAATTTTGTAATGTTTAATTTCAGTAACAGATGATCTTTAATTGACGACTTAATAATTTCAGGAATCCCGATTTTCGCGAAGTCATATTAGAGAAAGACGGAAAGATATTATTAAGGTTCGCAATCGCCAACGGCTTTCGGAATATTCAGAACCTGGTGCAGAAGCTAAAACGGGGAAAATGTCAGTACCATTACGTGGAAGTGATGGCCTGCCCTTCGGGTGAGAGCGCTAGTTTATTGGGGTTATTGTACAGGTTTACTTGTAGGTTGTTTAAATGGTGGAGCGCAAGTGCGGCCGCGTGAGGATAAAACCTTAAAAGAATTAACCGCACAATTGGAACACGTATATGAATCGTTACCTGTCGAGGTTCCGGACGAAAGCAAAGTAACGCAAGAGTTATACAAAACATGGCTCCAGGGAAATGAGAGCGATAAAGCGAGTTCTATTCTGCACACTAATTACCATGCGGTTGAAAAGCTTAATACAGCTCTTAACATTAAGTGGTAGAGATTCGTTGTATAATTTTAAGATGTTTTTTTATTAAAATGTTTTTCTTAAACTTCTGTAATTCGTTGCAAGTATCCACAAAATTATTAGGTTCATCCCCATATGCGCATATTCCTAATCCTTATATTATGAATATACAGGGTTTTTCTAAATATTTATTATTTTATAACTAAAATTTCATATAAACATGTGTTACAGTTTCATGAATTTTAGCTCAAATTTGGAATAAGTGACATTGAAGGTAAGTGAACTAAAATTTTATGGTCCAGTAGGCCCTGATTTTATTTGGATAATCTCTTGTTTTTATTAGTTTTGACAGTTTGCATTTGAAATTGTATCTAGTGTTTGCATATGTAATTTTGAAATTATAAGACTGTATAGCTTGGTAACGGACCATGGGAATAATAACTTTTCTGAGGACTGCTTTTCTTTTAAGACTCTTTCGATTGAGGGATAAAAGAAAAAATGTACCCAAAATTCCTGGGTTACCCATGTTAAATTCCTAGTAAGGATGATAAGTAACGTTTGAATGTTCATTTTGCCAAAAAACATCGATTATCTAGCTTTAGACTTAGAAAGTGAGGACATAAGTGGCTAGTCTTGGGAAAAGGCGTTTGGGGTAACATGCACATATAGCTATTAGTGGGTCAGTATTTAGTGGACCCAAAAGAAGGTTGGTGGGCACCGTTTTCTTTTTATTTAATGTAATATATGGCTGATGCTGTTTATTCTTATAATTTAGAGGTGGGCACACTTACGCTCACAGATCCGGAGTATAAATAAATAAATAAAATGTTGCCAGAGTAACAATAATATGTAATTATTATAAGTACTTATAGACTTACGTTACTCTCCTTGGAACATAGTGGGGCGTCCAACTTTCACATAGGTATCGACACTTGACTCGCGCAAACAAAAATACCACATCTTGTTAAATGCATTGTTTTAGATAAGAGATAAGCCGAATCGCAAAATTATTTCGTTTTATTTTTTATTTTTTTTTCAACAACTCCCGCACACAACACGTAAAAACAAGTTTTGGCGCGGACTGAGCATGCATTTTCGCAGACACCTTATCTTGCTTCACTGCGATTGGTTGTCGTCATGGCAACGAGCGTCTTCCGGCACTATCCGCGCTGAACTAAACCGTTGATTGAAAGACTACCCTGTTTTTTAACTAAGGGCCCTTTGGAAATGATAAACAAAACGAAAGCGAATTTTGAAATTCTACATTTTATAACAAAACAGTTTTCCCAGCCCAGTTATAGTAAAAATTGTAACTGTACCTACACTTTTATAGTGGATCCGATAGGGGGCCCTGCGTGCTTGAATTTAAATGGAATTTTTTTCCAAATTTAACTGCGCTGCTGGGCCTGGCTTTTGCGTAGCGTGATGCTTTTTTTTGCGCATCTTTGAGCCTTTATGCATCTAAAATAATAGTAAAGCTTAATTTTACAAAATATTACCTAGCATGCGGATATTATACAGGTAGATACGTATTTGTTTTATGGCCCTGAGCTTTGAATAAAATTTTTTATTCAATGCCCTGAGGCAGAAGAATTTATTTTACAAAATCAAATAGATTCATTTACACAGATATACGTAATTATTATAACTTGACCATCAAGCTTTTTTTTGCTACGTAATTGCATTGCTGTGTCACGTCTTCAATACTTATTACGAACTTCTCCGCTATTAGTACGGTGCAATTAGTCGAAAAAACGGCCTAACCTCAAGATCCAAAGTAAAAGTTTCCCTCCAACTCCAAATTGTTCTATACAGTTCACATATTGTTTAGTAAAATTTTGCACTATTTTAAGGGTCGCCGGGTTTGTCAGGGAGAAGGGAAGAAAGTTGGTAAATTAGTGGACACGACAACTCACTAACGGTTTCGAATTTTCCAATTGTGTTTTTAGCAATAGATAGACAATGGTCAAGGGACTAATTGATTAAATTTAGCATAAGGTTGAGACTGACGACAAAATTTCGGACTCGTAGACAAGCGCATCGATCCGTATGTGATCAATACAAGCGAATTTTGTTTTTGAACATTTTTTTCGCTTTGTTTTTATTTTCAAACGGCTCTTAGGTACTACATACTTAAAAAACACCCCATATAATAATGGCATCAATTAGGTATAATTTATAAATCTGGTACATTACAATGCATAGGTACATATGCATGCCTAATTAAATGTTGGACAACCTTTAACATTGATTCAGATCGATCATCTTGCACAGCATTTGTAGTGCTGCCTTTGGTGATCACGGAATTCTCTTATTAACGAGCCCCTAGTGAGTTCACGGTTTTGGACTTTCTGTCCGTCCGTCTGTCGACAAGATTCCAATTTTCGAATTCTGTTTTCAGTATTTTGTTTCTCATCGCCCAAGGAAGAACTGATTAAGTGTTCAGTGACTCAGGAGCTCGTTTGCTATATTTGTTACAAGTTTATTTTTTTTAATACATGAAGGACATACGAGGACGAGTTGTACTGGGCTTACATTTCTAGGGAGGTACAGGGCTTCATGAGGACGTGTCTACCCCCGTCAACTGTATGTACCTACGTTTCTCAAGGTATACGTATAGAAATTGGAATCTCGCACACCATGCATATCCATTGAATAAAATTTTTCGTGAGCTCCCTCGCCTGTCTGTCTATAAAGAGCGTATAAACGCCGATTTTGAGCGCTTTTCAGGGCTTTATAGCGCACTTGTCCATAACAACATTTCTAAATTTAGATTGGAGATGAGCTAACATTTCAAAACGGGCGTAAAATCGTCCAATGTTGGACCGCCGCAGTCGGCGCCCCTAATACACGGTCCTTGATATCGTGTACCTACCTATAGGTAATATCAGGTCTGATGTCTTATGTACTCTTAACATTCGCTGTCCCAATAGGCAATAATATCTATATACGGAAGTGTCTCGTTGCATTGCAACATATAAACATATTTAATTGTTGTTCGAACTTAAATGTCTAGTGGAGTATTACAATAACAAGCTCGAACACAAAATGCGCCAATCAGAAAGCTTCCTACGCCTTCAACTTACGTTGTCGACAACCAATCCCAAGAAAAGAAGATAAGGTGCCTGAACACTTGCAACCGCCAAAAATTCTTAGCTCTTCTTCGTTACATGTCGGTCGAATGTTATACCTACTTGTGATCGATTGCATTAAAATTAATGAAAAAATCGAATCGGTTTCGCGTACCGCGTTCTTGGCTAAATGGCGGGCTAATGAGTGTTTATTATTGGAAACAAATGAAGTTTTACATAGATAAATGGATAATAATCATAGTGGCTGTGATCATTATAAAATGGGGCATCTAATCGACTCTTTTTAGTTCTTGGCAAATTTTGGGTAACGAAATAAATTCCATAGCTTGAAAATCATTTTGTAATAACCATTACGGGAAGCCTCAGTGAAATGAAAATTATCCTATACAATCCAATGTCTTTGGCAGCTAAATTAATAAATTTATGTACAATATTTGTAGTCAGTAAAACCTAATATACAATTCTAATTAAATATTTTGTGATTTTTATGTGTGTGCTGTTAGTACCCACCAAAGGCCATTCGCTGTCAACGAGCATGAGAGGAGAGTCGGTGAGTAATTTCAAAAATTATCTGCTTGATTATTGTAGCAATAAGTAGGCGTACTTATCCTTAGTAAACCTGAAAAACAAAAGACTACTTTCCCAGAGGTTTTATTTACAGGCGCCCGCGTCCCCCTCCCCCCTGCTTGTGAACAAAATAACAATGGTGCAAACAAACTAAGGCCCACCAGGCACCATGACAACAGTAGGCAGTAGGTTCAAAAATGGAGCAATTCATTCGTTACTTATTCTATTTGTAGCTGCTACTATGTACAAATTAGGGGAATGAATAATTTGTGAGTTAGGTAGACCTATTGAAATCACTCCAAATTTTGATTTTGAGATGTCACCGGATCTTTACGTTTCCAGGTCCCAGGAGTCCAAACAAGTACTTGCGTGCGGCACGATTCTTGTAAACAAGGTTCTACCGCAACTATGCTACCTGCTGATCTTAGTTGAAATTCGAAAAAGATGTTCCCTTAAACGCTCACATGCAGAAAAGCTTTTGGAAGCAATTCGAAAATGGCAATTTACCTATTGAATTACATATAACTTTGTAAGGAGCAGACCAATTTGGCTGAAATTTTGTTCCAATTTTGCCAAAATATTTATTTTGCAGAATTTTTGTTGGGACACCCTCTGTATTATTTATATCAAAACTTGTTTTGCTAGTGGCCTTCTTTCATCTGGTCGATTCTCTGTAGCAGTTGATCATAGGAGGGTCAAATTTTCATTCATTGAAAGCGTAGTTTTCCAATCCTTCGAGTCGGATCAAGGTGTAACAGACGTGGAGAAAAAAAACAAACGTATAAATGAAAACAGCGTATATTTTGATGTCATTTAAAATTGCCACATTATGAATTTATATGTTAGCGGAAACAATCCTTTTATAGGTATACACATAATCGTTTCGTATAAATGTGTAGAAGCTGTACCTGTCGTCTAAGCAATTTGTTTGATTATTAACATGCGAGATAAAAGTTAACATATATTAGCACCGTGATCAGTTTAAAATAAAATATGCAAAAGCAACAATAAACGTAATAAGTATAGAATTTCTAAGGCATTCGCGTACAAGCATTTTGACCCTTCGAAAGTCATTATACGAGCGCAACTATGGAGAGTTTAGTTACGACCGTACGCTCTTAATGTAACATTATAGGAGAGATTAGCATTACATTAGGATCGGGATCAAAGGTCAAATTGTTATCACATCACAGTAACGAATCAATCGACGATTCCTTAAAGTGTTCCACCCCTTTAAAGAATCTCGATTAACTTAACACACAACCATGTACGTAAAATTCTAAAAACAACAATATAAAATATATAAATATTTCTATATTAAAAATTACTCTGTGCGCTTTCCCAATATACAGATAAGTGGTCAGATAATCTCGCCGTGATGATGAGGTCCATCGCATTGACTTATAAAATTGATAGGAAATTTAATAATAAAAAAATAAAGGAACCTATACTTAAGTAACACTGTCGTTATACTACTACCGAACTAAGTGAGAAAGTCTAATGGAATGATAAAATATAACTAAAGGTCCGATGTTGTTGTTTATATGGGCGGGGGACCGTCACGATAATGTAAGGTTGGATTTAAACTATTTGCAAAAGTGTTGACTAGTGAACATGCATAGTCTTCTTCCGTGTAAGGGACTAGAGATGCTACGCCCAGTAGTAAGAGCATGATTGCTTGAATCGGTAGAGATGCTCTGATTACCCTACCCAGGAAATGGTATCCTCTTCGTAGAACTGTCGTATTTATTTTCAAGTCATCTGTACTGCCACTGTAACAAGATGCGAAGAAGTTATTATGGACTATATCCGCATAATAATAATAATAATAATAATGTTTATTAGCATTTGACTTTAGGTGCTCAAGCTAAATGAAAATAATAATAATAATAAAATATTTACGTGTAAGTGCTGTCTTCTGGTGCCGAAGGTGACTCTGGCGTAGCAGTTGCCTGGTCCAGAAGCTGTCCAAACGCAAAATAAAAGTGAAATTGTGCTGTTAACTCTTATTCTAATATACTTTAGATACAGTGCTACTTAAATATAATTCAAAATGTGTTAACAAACAAATGTACTAATTACTGAATGAGATAATACCATTTCTAATACAATAGCTACAAGACATGCTACAAAACTCACTTTGCTAGATACATCTTTGTAACGCATGCATTATAGTTGTCCAATTACAATGTTTGCAGTTACATTTTATTTTCATACATTAAGACCATCCATAATTGTTTAAAAATCCGACATGGCAAATTTATAAAATTGAAAAATAAGGATTTAATACTTACAAAATAGTACACCTGTTTATGGGACTTACATTGTAACTGAGTGATTGTAGGCTAGGACCGGCAGTGAGAGACGACGAAACAAAGTCTAATCCTAACTCGTTAGGATCCCGACCCAAAACGGCGCCTAACTTGAGTACATAAATTCTTGTAAGCCGTATAAGCGAGTGCAGCTTGAGCCTTAGCTCGTTTAAACGTGCGCAAATTGTTATCGAACCTTCGGGCGCCTGCTCGTGCCTTAACAGCTGGTTCGCGTTCTCCTGCAGACTGAGCACTCGGGGCTCGCAGTGTTCCAGTTCAGATTTCAAAAGGCAGAATCTCTCAAACTTATTATTGATGCTTTCGGTGTCGACAGTCAGATCGACCGGTTCGAACGCTTTTATTTGGGCTTCGGTCTTTTCCAGCCACGCGCATAATTCCTCTACGATTGCGTGGAACTGCCGATTCTAAAATTACGAATGTATACAAATTCGGGGCAAACAAATCACAAAAATACTTACATCCATAAGCGCCTTTTGCAAGGCCGTCTGCCAATTGGCGGCACTGATGCACACACAATCCCACCGCTTATTGTCCGCATCCAGACGTTCCCTAAGCTTCTCCGCCCTCTCTGTGTCCTCGGAGTGGTCGGCCAAGTGTGTTCCAACAATATTGAGAGATCTTATGATACTTTTATGACTGTCTAAATCGAGCAAGAACTCTCGATGATCTTGGATTACATCCTCCAACTGTTCTATGTTCGACGGAGGCGACCTTTGGGAACCTTGGATACCCTCGGCCGCTTGTAGCCACTGTTCCAATCGCCATAGGTCGTTGTCCAGTTGCGCCCAGTTGCGTTTGGTGCATAACGGGCATAGTAAACGTCCAGCCTCACTGTTAATGATAGCGGAGTGTTAAAATGGGGGTTGCGCGTCAGTAATAAAGAAGAAAATGTTTGCACTTGTTTCAATAATGATCTAATTTTTCCAAAATTTTAATCGCAATAGACAAACAACAATAGCCGATCTGCCTCAAATATCTAATTCCGATTGTCTAGATAAATTTCACAGTTGTCATGGTCGCTTAAAAGAATCATTTACACTTGTGTTCTTTAATAGGTAATAGGCTGGTCAATCTAGGCAAGTTTATACAAGTGAGGTAGAAAAAATTAGTAACAAAGTGATCTCTGCGGAAATGAGTACTCAATAGGGGCCTTATTAACCCCTCAAAAATTGCACTTTGTCGCATTGGTGGAACTTGGAAAAAAATGGCCGCCATCTTGATTTTTTTCGAATTTATTCAATATTTCGTAAAGTATACATTATATCAAAAAAACTCAAGAGACTTTTTTTATGGAGAATCAAAAGTTACCTATAATAAAAAAAAAGTTTGTCTATTGATCAAAAAACAAAAAAGTTATTGAAATTTATATGATTTGGCAATATGGATTTTTTAAAAATTTGGTAAATATCTGAATTAGTTAAAACTGTTTTGTATGCCCAATTTTGAAAATAAGGATTTTAAAGTAAAATACTCAATAATTGGGTAATTATTCACATCTGTGTCCAGACTTAGATGTATTTCAAAAACTTAATGCAGATATAGCAGTTTTAATTAAATCAGGACTTAAAATTATTTTAAATCTGTACTGGTGTCCAAAGAAGATTCATGATTTAATGTAGCAGGTAAGTAGAAGGAGGCAAATAATTGAATGTTTTTATTTTCTTTAGGTTATCGCCTCACTAGAGTCGTTTATATATTTTTATTACAGGTAACTTTTGATTCTCCATAAAAAAAGTCTCTTGAGTTTTTTTGATATAATGTATACTTTACGAAATATTTAATAAATTCGAAAAAAATCAAGATGGCGGCCATTTTTTCCAAGTTCCACCAATGCGACAAAGTGCGATTTTTGAGGGATTAATAAGAACCCTATTGGGTACTCATTCCCGCAGAGATCACTTTGTTACTAATTTTTCCTACCTTAACCACCTATTTTGACTAGCCTATAATAATGCTTTTTTCTCCAACCACCTGAATAAGACGGTATTTTGTGACAGTGTTCGGTACGTAAAATTGACGTTTTGCGGATTAATCGCTTTCACCATGGCAACTGTACAAAAAGTGGATACTTTTGGTCCTAGTACCAAAAAGAAATTGACCTTGAAAGTTGGTCAATTAAAAAATTACAATCACGGAGATATGTCACATTGACATCGTTTTACATTGCAGGTTGTAAGATATTTCTATACATACAAATAAAATATTTTTGCTTATTCATTGCAAATAATGATGTTACCTATACGTATGTACATGTATTGAAAATGATTTACGCTCGCTATTTTTATTTAAACCATGTGTAATGTAATTTACATATTGGATGAACGTAATTTTAATACGTATACAACCCGCCGTCGCGCGTAACGCCATCTACTTCAGACCCATTGCACTATTATCTGTCATTTTGAATTCAAAATTTGAAAAAGTTAATTGCATTTAATTTTAATTAAAAAACTGTATGGTAAGTTTTTTATTTCAATACAAAATATAACAATATTAATTGTGTATACAATAGAAATGACTGAAACTGATAGCGACATGGATTGCACTTCGCCAGAGATTTTAGAAACGGCAGAACATGCTACCTCAAGATTTGCTCCCTACAAAGTCGCGAGAGGTGAGAAGTCAGAAGTAAGAACGAATAGGTTATAAGTTAACCTAAAAGCATAGAGTGGCATGACACGTGAGGACAAGAAAGCAGAAGTTCTTATACTAGTAGTGAAACTGTGAATGAATCTAAATTTGAATATAATTTGAAGTAAAGGGGGTTGGAGAAAAAATTTTATGTTTTATTCGTACAAAAAATGCGTTTTCGGAACTCGGAAGGTTGCTGGACTCCGCTAACGCGTCGTCCAGCAACTATCTTCCTCGTCCCGAAAACTGACATTTTTTGTACTAATGAAACAAATAACTATTATGTGACCATTGCAACAATAACGGGGCGTTTCAGAAAACAATACGACAAGATATACGTAATCGGCTACTGGTGATCGTTTGGTTAATGTTACTCTTGTTTAAGCAGGTTACGAGTTGTTTAGTGTCTATAAATAAAAGCAAATAAAAAAAACTCACTGTTGGCATAAAAAGTTATAAGCGTCACTCACGTCAGACCTAAGACAAAGTTAAGTAAATTAGTATTTAGACCAAACCAAAGTTACTATAGTTAACGCACTAAAACCGCAAAGCAAAAATTAAAACTCGTACCTCAACTCTCGTATTTTCGACTCTTTCTGTTTCGCTTTGGATATGAGATTGGTGTATTGGGTCGTGAGAGCTTTTACTTCCTCGGTTCTGGCCTCGTCCTCCGTCGCGTCGCATTCGTCAATCAGTACATCGTGCAGATGGTTCATTAGTTCGATGGAAGATTGACAAGTCACGAGTAGTTTGGCGATTTGCTTGGCGATTAGATGGAGTTCCGTGGAGCCCTGCTGAGGAATCTCCTTGTCGACGATGCGTTGCAATTTGTTCACGTTGCTAGCCGATTCTCCAATAGCCGAAGCCAGCTCGACCATGTAAGCGTCTTTAGGCGTTATTGACATCATGCGCTGGAGGTGAGGTGGAAGCGTGTTCACCTGCACCGCGGTGTCCTGCTCAAATTTGAGCGTTTCTACCTGCACGCCTTCGTCGATTTCTCGTCTTTGCGTTTTGAGGCTCGACTTTAGCGTGATAATTCGTTCCTGAATATCTTTCCAGAGCAATTGATACTCGTCTATCATCTCTTGTATTTTTTTACTCTCCGGCTTTGGCCTTCGCTGCATGAGCAGTAAACCTAATTTATCGGCGTTTTCCAAAATGGTGTTCTGAGCCGTCAGCGATTGATCGATTTTCTCGAGTTTTTCCAAACGTTCTGTGACCGAGCTTTCGATTTCTGGCGAGGTTAAGTGCTGCAGTTCCGTTAGCTGGGCGTCAATTCGCGTCAGGCCCATGATTGCGTTTCCGTGAGCGGCCACAAACTCCTTATACAGAGCGAGTTCCCTTTGCAAGTTTTGCAAAATGGAATGAGCATTTGGAAGAATATCGCGCCATTTTATAATCAGTTGACGCACGTGTGCCGTGAGTTTTCGGATGTTGATCGGATCTAATCCGCTTGTTTTGGCCAGCTTCGAGTACGTCTGCTCCAAAATTTCAAAGGTAGGGCTGCGAGATTCGACTTCCTTAATTAAGTTCTCCAATTTAGCAATTTTGTCCGAGATTTGCTCCCTAGATTGCTTATTAACAGGCTTATCTAATTCTTTCAGCGCGTCATCTTGAGCAACCAACCAATGCTCTTGTTCCGAACAGATCCGAAGAATCTCCAATAGAAGCTTCCAAGCAAACATTAACTTCTGCTTCCTCTCGACGGCCTTTCCGCAAACCACCTTCCACCGTTTTTCGATATTCTGTATATCCAAAGTAATGGTTTCCGTCGTGAAGTAAATCTTCCAAACGTCGGCGTCACTCAGTAACAACTCCCATAAATTAATAACTTCTCCAATAATAACACTCTCTTTTTCGATCGATTTTTTCAGCACGTCATGTTCCTGGATTAATCCGTCAATGACGTTTTTATTGGTACTTTCAAAAACTAAAGGTTTGCTTAATTTTATTTCGGTTTGGTGTAGCCACGATTTAATCTCAGCTATTTTAAGTTCTAACTGCAGCATCGTCTGAGTCATATCTTGTATTTTACTAACACGATTCTTCCCTAACTGTTCTAAACGTTCCCACCTCTTCCGCACTTCGTCAGTTTTCACTTGCAAATTTTGTTTAGCTACCACGTCACTGTAGTCCTCGCCGCACGCACTTACAAGTTCCTTCCCCGTGTTTATTAACCACTTATACTCGTGAGTTTTTAACGACATTTCGGTTTGAAGTTCGGTTTCGAGTCGTTTAAGTACTTCGCTGGGATCGCCTTTTTCCTGCTCTTCCTCCAACCTTCTCTCCAAGTTGTCCGCCCAAATTATAAACCTGGACTGCCTTGCTTCGAATGTGCTTCGTAAACCTAACCGTTCTTCCAATTGATGGCATAAAATCGTCAGCTGGTGGTCGATATCGCCCTGCTGGTGCCACAACAACCACATTCGCTGGCTAATAGTTTTCATATCCATCGGACTGACGCACTCTTTTAGCTGTTCTTGCGTCACACCTAACTGTTCCAGGTCGTTCGTTAGCTCGTTGAGTCTACCGCGGATTTGTCGAAGTGTTTCTAACCGATGCGTCAATACCGAGTGAGTACCGGGAATCTCTTGTGAATTCGAATTGATGACGTCTTGGAAATTGTCGAACAGATCTTGAATTTTCTTCACCTTCTCCTCGTAGACGGCAACGAGCGCGTTTATCCTTTCCAGGAATTGCTTCCACGTGTCTAGACCCGCCTGAAGGTTCGATATGCGTTGTACCATTGCGACGTGTTCCATTCGAATTGACGCGCCGAAGGCGTCGTCGGAAAATTCGAGCAACTGCGGCTGCTGTTTTTGTAGTTGGTCGGCTTGGTCCTCGCCTTGCGGAATTTGCCCGAGTAGCGATTGTATCTTTGCTAGTACTTTTGGCACACGACGAATGTTGATGTAGCGCAACTGCAGACGCTCCCGTTCCTTCTCCATGTCTTTCAGCCATCCCAGTAGACGGTTTTGGTCGTACCTGTACCGATCCCAAGCGCTCAACCGATTGCTGACCTCACCGTGTCTGTCTATGATCTTCGATAGAGTTTCATTGTGAAGATTTGTAAGAGAATTAAATTGTTCTAAGAGATTTACTTCGTATAACTTATTATCGCGATCGCTGAGTGGTTGGAGTATGCTTTGTTGCGTTGTTAAGAGATTCTGGTGAACTTCGAGTAGACGTTGGTGTTCGGCCAAGCTGTTGTACTCACTGGGAATGGAGCCTAGAAGGAACTGTTGCACGTGCAATAAATATTCTTGCCACAGTTTTAAGGCGGCCATGCTGTCTTCGTTTTTGATCAGTCTGGTACTGAGGCGGTGGTACTGCTGGAAGGTTTCCCTGAAAACCTGCTGCCACAATTGCAAAATCTCCAAAATCGAGGTTTCGGTTCTTATTGGTCTCGATTTATCCAAACTGGTGTCTTTCATCTTCTGTATTCTGCTTTCTGTCTTACTTAATTCCAAGAGATGATCTCTTAGCGTTTCCAATTTCTTTTCCACTTCACTATCGGGAATGGAGTCAATTCCGGTGACACTCTGTTGAGAAACACTGTGTTTAACCTCTCCCTCTTTCAGAAAAGACTATTTTCCCTACCTTTTGTACGGATGTTAGGTAATTCTTTGCCTTAACAAACTCTTCTTGAACTTGATTCTTGGAAATCGCTTGGTCCTCGGCGACATCGGCCAGAATCGTGAGCGACTCGCGGACATCGTGCAACCTACGACCGAGAGCTTCGACTTCTCCACCAAGAAGAGCATTACCGTCCAAACCGACGGCTGTTGCGATTTCCGACACCAAGTTACGAAGTTCCGCTAAACGCGACGTGTGGGCTGCTAGAGTATCTTCACAGACCTAAATTGAACAAAAATATTGCTTACTAAGCTTTTATAGGCAGCAGCCAAAAAGCAAATGTGGCACCTACTGTAAGAGGAACGTTGACTTGCATCACCTGCGCCATGATGCACGACAGCTTTCAGTTCACAAACTTGTTTGCACAGTGAAGTTTGTTATGCACAGACTTGACGCAGAAATAGTCAATAGAGTTGAGATGTCTTAACTAGCTTTTACAGTACATCTATCAATTGTACGATAGCCTAAACTTGAATTTTGAGTTATTTCATTTGCTCGTGAAAAATGAACGTCCATACTAAACCGTAGAATAGCAAACGTTAGGGGTAAACTATACGCAATTTTCGCTTCTGAAACACAATTTTTCTGTTTTCACACGAACGCCCTTGATGATTAGTAAAATAAATTATATCCAAAATTGCGGTTTCTGGTGAAGTTCAAAGGAATTATTTAAAAAGATACGGGTGTCTCTCACGGGGATCTCCGAAACCATAGAAGATACGGCGATGGTAAAATTAGAGAAAAGATGCGCAATTAAAGTATTATTATCATGTTTTAAAGAAATCCAAAAAAATTCGATTACTTCCGAAGATATTCCAGAAAAACCGATTTTTATTTGTATCGCATGTTATTTGAACAGATACAAAAAAATAGAACTTTTTGAGCTCTACAAGACACTGTTGAGAGATTTCCAATACAACGTTTCGTTTCAGAGAAATCATAGTCAGCTTTATTTTTTTATATGGCTTGTAAAAAACTTCACACTGTATTGAGTCGCATTTTTTATTACGAGTAAAACGACACAAAAAAACAAAAGTTGGAATCTGTTGATTTCAACAGAATGGTGCACTCGCGCACTACGCCCTAATCGTGGGAGAATACCTATCGGATAAATTTAGCATTTTTCAGGAAATTTGTTTTTTTGTCTGCTGCATATAATTGTATTCGTAATAAAAAATGCTACTCAAAACAGTGTATTTACCTCGTTTTTTACGGGCCATATAAAAAAAAAATTGATGATTTTTCCGGAGTTTTCCGAAACGAAACGTTGTATTGAAAATCTCTCAACGGTGTCTTGTAGAGCTTTGTTCAAATAATATTAAAAAAAAATAAAAACAAAATCGGCAATTTCGGTTTTTTTGGCGTATCTTCGAAAGTAATGTGAATTTTCTAGTTTTTGTTACAAGCATGATAATAATTTTTTAATTGCGCATAATTTCTCTAATCTCACCGTCGTATCTTTTACGGTTTCGGAAACCGCCCACGATAGACATCTTTTCATCTTGGTTACAGTTAATACAGGCCATTTGTGCTCAAACGGGCATCTAGCGGGAAAGTTGTGGGGTAGTTTTGATTTCTTTGATTCAATATGTTTTTTGGGGTGCTGAATCCGAATCTGAGGTTTGCCAACAAAATTTCTTGACGCAACATTGAAAAAAACACAAAAGAAGTTGAAAAAGATATTTTTTGGCAGTTTTGTGCTTACAACTTGAAAACTATCAACTATTCGAAAATAACCTTCCTACTCAAAATGAAAGTACATAACATTTCCTACAAACCCCACTATTTAGTTTTTTTCCTCGATGAACCGTTCGGGCTCGAGTGCCAGTTGAAAATTGAGGTATTTCAGCTGTATCCGCAAATACTCATCTTTTATTATTATTTTATTATTATTCTGTGCAAATATAAATCCGTACTTTTCATTGTCTACCGGTCTCCTGAAAAGATTTTATAACTGTTCCGTCTGGTATAAAGCTCTCCCACTCCTTCACAGATGAGCCAAGGCCCATTACGTCACCGTGTACCTGCGTTTGCAGTCTGGAAACCCTCCTCCCATTCACATACATACACACCCTCACAAAGTTACACAGATGGACGAACGGACAGTCCAAAATCATGAACTCGCTTTTTGTCGCTGGTTAACATGTACCTAAACAGAAAAGAAATAAATCGGGTTCAGTTGTTAGCAGACAAATTTAAGCTGGGGTAATTGCGTTACCCCACTCCGAGGAGTACGTGATTCTTCAGAACACCGGAGCAAGAGGGATAATGCCGTTGAATAGGAAATCAATATACTCCCTTTTGCCATTTGAATTTTTTGAATTAATAATGACCACAGCGCCAATTTCCCAAATTCAACAATAATTATCCAAACATGCTAAGGTAGGGTTTTGTGATTTCTTTATCTGGTTGGGAAGAGAGTGGGAATAGTTTTAGATGGCACAGTATAAGTATTATGTATTATAAATAATATAATAATATGATATAGTGTTGTTCGTTAGAAATTAACTTTTCATACAATTCTGGACTACAATAAACACCTTGAATGTTATAAAAATGAGAAAAAACCACCCTTACATATGAAATTCAAAGAATAGTCGGTAAATGCAAGGAATTCACTTATTGACAACGGTTAATATTAATTTAGGGTTTTAGTGAGAAAAAACTGTGTTTTGTGGAGATACGCCAATTTTCAACTGGCGCTTGAGCCCGAACGGTTTATCGAGGAAAAAAACTAAATAGTGGGGTCTGTAGGAAATTTTATGTACTTTCATTTTGAATAGGAAGGTTATTTTCGAATAGTTGAAAGTTTTCAAGTTGTAAGCACAAAACTGCCAAAAAAATATCTTTTTCAACTTCTTTTGTGTTTTTTTCAATGTTGCGTCAAGAAATTTTGTTGGCAAACCTCAGATTCGGATTCAGCACCCCAAAAAACATATAGCGAATCAAAGAAATCAAAACTACCCCACAACTTTCCTGGTAAAAATACAATTTAACTGGATTAAGTGTATATTTCGTTTTTTTGTGTAGGTACTTTTATACGTGTAGCGACTAGAAGTAACAAAGAATGACTGTAACAAAAAGAATCAACATTAATAAATGCGTAGTACGTTTTATTAAAGTTTTGTTATGGATTATTGAGTGAGATCTGCAGTGTTTGTTAATTGGAAACTGATGTAACAAAAATTAACCTATTTCAAGTAATAATGAGTAACGAAACACAATTGAATTTTTAAAAATAGAAATGCACCCTTTCATTACCCTCATTTGATAGAGATTTTTTTTCTTAGTAATATATGAATATATGAATAAGACTGCCGATTTGAAATTGTTAAATATGCCATTTCAATAACGGTTTTTGAAATTTCACACAAAAACCGTTATTTGAAATTGTAAAAGAGGAAATTATTGCGAGTTGTTATTGGAAGATATGCAATTATTAATTTCAACTAGGCAATTGTTGTTAACACAAAGTAAATTTCTATAAATGTTAGTACCATTGCGTCAATTATAGTTAATTTTTTTAGTCCGGGTGTTCAGTTATTAAAAGATACAACGGCGTTCCATACCTACTATACAAATTATTATTATTACATCAATAGCATTAATCTAGATATCCTACATGAAAATAAAACAAATGAACGTGTATACGGTTCTTAATAAAACCTTGAAGACAACACGCAATTAGCAATAATTGATGCAGCAATTTCTTCCAGAATACTCAAGACATTCATTTCAAGCTTTCTGTGATAGGTTAGTTCACTGCTTTACAGTTAATAATAAATATGTTTTTGCGATGAAACCCATTTTATTGCTAATTTCAATTTGACTTCAAGGTTTAATAAGAAACGTACTTAATTCGTTTGTGTTATTTTGATATAGGATATGTAGATTAATGTTATTAATGTAATTATAATAATTTTTTTTAAAACTTATCTTGTATAAGCGTACTAACATGTTACATCGTCGAAAAGAGAAAAAAATCTCTATAAAATAAGCCTAATAAAAAGGTGCAATGCCATTAAAAAAAATTCAATTGTTTTTCGTTACTCATTTGTTTTCTGAAATAAAAACAACTGAATGCTGCCTTATTATGGGAAATATAGAAAAATGTTGTATACATTCGATATTTACACTACCTAGTAAACGTATATTACTTAATTAGGTTTCAAGTGTCATGGGGTAGTATTTTTTAAATAAGTACCAAACGAATGCCGAATGTGTGTCTTAAAGTTGACATAGTAATGTACGTACTTAGATATTTTGCAATACAATTACAAATGCAGGTCAAAAACCTAATGTTACAATAACTGAATGACATACTTAGTAATTACCTAACGAGATACACTCGATTTGAAGGGTTTCGTCGATCTTATGGTTTCTTAAGTTTTTCCATATTTGTATTTAAGTCCGGTCGATAACAATCCTGTTTTTTTAAAACAAAAAAAGCTTCGTATGACCATTTATGTTCATATTTACAATTTGCAAAATTGTTTGAACTCTCGTACATTGACTTTCAAAAATCTGAGCTTATGTTTTACGAGGGCGTCATGTTATTCTGTGCATTACACCAAACTTTACTCGAATAACAAGATATAAAAGACGAATTTTACGGCAAAACCACAATTTACTGCTGTGTCGACCGCTCGCGAAATTTCAAAATAGGTCGACGCCAGCGAGCGAAAATCATCACTACCTATCTTTCAAATCGCGTATAGGTATGTGGCAAATTAAATCATTAACCTTGACTGTTTACGACCCACTTCAATTAAATTGGATTAAAATCACACCGAAATCGAACTTGAGAAAATTCATTGGGGCACGCGAGTTTTAATCACTTTCATTCTCTATTATAACTCGCATTATTAAAATTAGAAATGGAAAACTTCCGGCGGAAACGAAACCGTTCCTTATCCGAATCAGGAAATTACAACGCAAAGTGACGGGGTTCAAAAATGGTAACCGAGCGAATGAATGGGCAATACAAAATGTGTTGCCTAGGTACTGCAAATTCTGCGTTTGCGTGCATTCCGGTAATAACACGTTGTGCGGCAATTTTGCACATTAATTTTTAGTGCGGAATGTAGTAATTAAAGCAACTTCACTGGAGCGCATTCCCAAACTAAAAAAAAATAACATCGAGGATGTTATTTATGTCAAATTTCATATACAATCATAACTATAAATACACAGACGCTTCGCTACCAAAAATACTTACAAATGACGTCGGCAATTAAGTTTAATGAGGTTTGGTTATTGCACTTCGCGCGTTTTTGCCAACAGACAACAAAAAGCCTCTTACCTTAACTGTTTTGACAGCCTCATCTGGTTCGAGACCATTGACATTTTCCATTTGAATATCGCACCATTCACGTATGAGTTCGCTGGCGTCTCTGTATTGCTTCCAGAGGTCCGCGGCGGTTTGGTACCTGGTGCAGAGCTCCCTCAGGTTCGTGCAAGTGTCTTCCCATGCAGTGACCGCCTCGGTTACCGCTGCCTCAACTTGCGCGGAAACCTCGGGCGTGCAGCTGCTCGCCAAGGGCTCGGCACAAGATCGCAATTCGGCCAATAGAGTTTCGCGATTCACCAGATCGCCCGAAAGTCCCTACGAAACACAAAGCAACAGCTTCAGTCGCGCACAAAAAAAATTAAAATTAAAACTTGATAAGAGAGGTTGAAAGAAACGTAAGTTCAAATATAATAAACTATAAATAAGATCATATCTAAAATTAAACTTCTTGTCGAAACGCGCAACTGAAGAGGGCTTGGGGCTTAAACGCAACTGCGTCCGCCGGATCTTTTTTGTTATTACTATTTACGGTGTAGCAACGAGTTACGAAAATGGGTTACACACGCTTTAAAGTTCGCCGTCATACTGAAGTGGAAACGAAAACTAAGATTACTGTTATCGCCACAAAAGCAGATATGGCTTTGTGGAGTCTGTGCATTTCAAATTTCGACCAAGCGACTTTCAAGGTTTATTTGGCCAATTATGACGAGAGGAGATAATAAATACTTATTCAAATAAGACGGTAATCACTTTATGACTGGAATCAACCTTGACCGGTAACTACCAACAGTTTTTCGTCTAAAGGCTGTTGGTCCAGTTGCTCTTTGACCTCTCCATTTGAAACTAAACGCGATTAGTTATGAATGGAATTCGCTTCCTATGATGGATCTTTGACATTGCGCATAATGACAGACAGAACTTATATTCTTCTGTTCAGAAGCGATGAAACACCTCACCTTGTAGGTATACCCACACATTGATAATATTTGCACAGTGTTACGAAACTTGAAAAATTAAAGTAGAACTGTAAACCCATTTCGGATATATGCCGCGTATGTATCAAGTCCGTTTTTACGTTTTCTCAACGAAATTGGTGCATAAGTAAAATTTGGCACCATTTGATCACTTTGGTTTGAAGTTTAAATGACCTACGATACATAGTACAACTAGTATCTTTTTTTCTGTTTGAAATGTGCTAATATTTAATGAAGTTTTGTACATTTTAAGAAATTGCATGGGATAAATTTCAAATGAAAAAAAAATCTTACCTCAAGTCGTTCTGTTGCCTTCAACAACCGTTCATAATCCACCTGTCCTTGTACAGTAAGTAAGTCCATCATAAAGTCCGCCTCCTGCACGCTTTGCTGCACCAACTCGAGTTGCTTCTCAAATCTTTGCCATAACGCCAGCCGACTTCTCAACAGCGCCAAAAGCTGCCCGCATCTTTTCTCTAGCGCCGTGTGCTCGTCCTGCAAGTGCGAGATTTCCCGCTCGACCTTCGTGGGCGACACGGTAACGCGTAAACGCATCGGGAGCGTGTGCAGCAGCTGCCTCAGACCCATCAAATCTTGCCAAAGCGTAACCAACTCCTCCCCGACCTCGCGGCAATCGATAACCGCCTTCTCCACAATGTCGCTGCCGAGTTTCTCGCAGCTCTCGCACCGATTCAGCGCCTGCTCCAATCTCGAGTGGTTCTTACGCACCCTCGCCAGACCGCGCTGGATCGCCTGGAGGCGATCTCTCAAGACGGTACTGCCCTCGAGTTCCTCGGCAACCTGAATTTCGACGCTCTTCGACAACGCCAACAGACCGCCGACCTTCTCGCACTCGTCCGAAGACAGCAAACCCAGCCGACCGAGCTCGTTTTGAATCGTGTCAACTCGTCCCTGCATGATTTGAAGACGCTCAACGTACAGGTTGAGTTCTTCTTCGTTTTTTATGACACCCCCCAAGCCATCGATGAACGATTTGATCTCGCCCAGCTCTTGCTCGAGCAGCGCCAACTTTTCGTTGACCGGTACATCTGGGGCCGAGATATTTTCCGTAATAGCTTTTTGGATGTCGTTAATTTGCTTGGACACGTGTCGCCAGTGCTCTTGCAGTTCCGAATGGAACTTCCTTTGCAGCATTTCGTCGGCGACTGGTATAATTTGCATTGACTTCTCTAAGGCGTTCGCAGACTCCATTCTAGTATTGTTGTAGACCTCGTGTTGCGCTTTCAACTCCTGAAAAACAAAAAGTTATCGAAGCTGATCGTCAAAATAACAACGTGACATACCCAAAATTGTTTCATATGTCCCGGTGTTGGCGTGTTAGTGTTTGGCACCATTTCTATGTTATCCAAATCTTGCTGGGTGGTCTTCAGCCAATACTCCAACTTGTCGGTTTGATAGTTATAGTTCGTCCAACTTTCGCGGAAGAGCAGGAGACGTTTCAATTTGCCGCTGACATCTTCGTAAAGTTCCATGATGATTTCCAACGGTTGGGAGTAGGTTTCTTCCAAGTTTGTGCAGGTGATGAGCTCTTGCAGTTTGTGAGCGTTATTGTTGAAATGAGATAGTTTAGTGTGGTGGTGAGTGATGTCCATGGATAGGGATTGGTAGAGATTAATGTATTGGTCGTAGTCGACGGACGTTACGTTACTAAGATCGGGGACTCTGCCCCGAGCCACTTCTAACCAACGCTGTTCCTCTTTCATTCCCTGTTCGAGAACCGTCCAGCGAGAGGCGGCCAGCGACATCTGTTGCAACCTACCGGCGGCTTTGTCGAGAATTCCACTAGCGCGCTGATATAGTTTTTGATGCAATTTGGAGTGAAGAGCGCGAGTTTCATAATCGAGATTCTCTTCGAGAGATTCCAGGATAGCACGGCAGTGACTGAGGTTGATAAAGAATTTGCGGTGATTTTGCACTTCTTCTTCCAAGTGCTCAAGACTGCGTACCGAGATTGGGCTGTCCACTAGCGCATCCGCGATCTCGATGATTTGCGCAAACTCCTTTAGCGTTTGAACATATTCTTCCGCAAGAGCCAGTAAATGTAGGGCTTTTTCTCTCTGTACCGAAATGTGGTGGTCGATCTGTTTAGTAACGTCATGCATGGTGTACACTTCTAACGGAATTTCTCGATTTGGAAAGTCACGCATAAGACCACGAGCTGTCGAAATGAGATGGACCGTTTTCAGCATATGGGAGCGGTTTATCGTTTCCAATTCTTCCAATTCTTGTAGCTTAGTTTGTGGAGAAGCGTCCGATTCGATCAGCGCATGAAGCTGTTGCTTGGTGGCGTGAACTAGTTGGCTGATGTTCTCGAGGCCATTAATAAATTGCTGCCAACGGGCAAAATCATCCGCGACGATTTTCTCATTTTGTTGAGTAACTTCTTCGATGACCCTCAGTTGGCTTTCGAGTGACTCCACGTAATTTTTCATTCGGTTTCGTTCATCCTCATTATAAATGTCGCGAGTATCCGCCAAAGCAGCCTGTAACTCGTTAACGTTGCTCTCAATGTTCGCAATTTCTTCTTTTAAGTTACTAAACTCCTCGACTTTCTCGCGAGACGGTCCATCGCTCGTTTGCTGACGTTGCATGTAAATGCGATATTCGATGGTGTGCAGCCATGTTGTGATCGTCTCAACTGTGGTGACAATGGTCTGTTGAATTACTAGCACGTCTCCTTTTCGAATTGCAGTTTTTAACGCGTTTAAGTTTTGTTGAACAGTGTAAGTTTTCTCTTCAATACTTTCTTCTGTAACGGGTTCATTCAAACTGGCCAAGAAAAGCACCTCGCTTAAGTGGGTCGATTTTTGTGTGTTTTGCAAGTTTTTCATCCTCTCCAGCGTTTGTATTTGGTTCCAGTTGATCTGAGACGGAATTTGCGAAACGCTAGTCTGCCTCTCCGCCGAAATTAAGTCGTCGCTAGACGATTTTGGTTTGGAAACAGGCGGAGTCCACACACTTCTATGTTCAGAAATAACGTCTGTTGGAGATAAAGGCGTGTCGACAATTTCAGTAGGAGATAACACCTCTTCAATAGTTACAGAACTCTTATGTTTACTTTTACCCTTCTGCTTGATTGGCTTCTTCTCTTTCGGCGGCAGCATGCCGGTATCAATGCTCAGCTCCGTTGCGAGAACTTCCGACGGTTGAATTTCAACCGTAGTTACAGGCGTCTCGATTTCAGGCGGCGAATCGCCGGGTATTATCAAAGACACTTTCACAAATGTTTCGGGTTTGGGCTGCTCCATACTTTTCAATTTGGTAAGATCTAAATCGGTTATGATTTTCGATGTGACGATTTGCTCTCCCTCACCCGGAATCGGCGACGACGAACGCGACCCTCGCTTCACAACCTCTGAATAAAGCTCATTGGGATCGAGCAAATCTGCATCTTCGGCACGTTTAAACTGCGCGAACAGATCTTTTTCTTCGGCGTGTTTTTTCTTGTGCTTTTTAGACCGACGTTTACGGGACGAATGTGCTCTCTCGTTATCTAGGAACGACACGACGCCGTGTTGAGCCGTTAGCGGTTTTCCATCAATAGTGACTTCAACGTCAAGATCAGATTCGGTCGATAAGTCTGACGATGCATCGTCCATGGTCAGTGTTACTTCCGACTTTTGGGGCGAGCTGGAATCTGCGTCGGAAGGTAACGTGACAAACGCTTGGACGTGTACTTCGAAAGATTCGTCAATCGACGAAGAAGGTGTGGTTTCTGTAGGGTCTTTGATAACAACCGGCTGGGTCTGTGATGTGTTTTCAACGCGAGTTGGCAATACTTCGGGTTGCTGAGGGATTGTTTCGTAATACGGCAGAGATGTTTGAGTCACCTCATCGAGAGGAGGGGCTGAGGGTATGGGGGATGTTTGCGCGTATTCTTCGGCAGGTTTTGATATATCGTGAGGATGAATTTGCGTTGAAAATTCTGATGTTTCTTTTGTTTGTACTTGTACAACATCAGGTGATATGGTCTGTACGTACTCTTCTTGCGAAAGTATTTCTGTCGTTTGCATTTGGGAGTCGCTTCTCGCCGGTTCTACTGTTTCGGGTGTTACCGTTTGGACAGTTTCCTCGACCACCTCCACTTTAACTGGACTTTGAGTTTGCATGGAAGTTTCGGTGGTTATAACCTCGGTCACTGTTGGTGTGTGCGGTTTAGAGGGAACTTCTTCTGGTGTCGACGTCTGGGTAACCAATTCGGCTGTGACGATTTCAACCTGACTCGACGTCTCGGCTGTTTCGGGTTTGGGCTCTTCGGCCACTTCAATTGTCTGCAAAGAAATTTCGGACGTTTCAATTGGAATTTCTGGAGAAGTTTGAACGGAGGTCTGCTCAACTTGTATGGCAACTTTGGGTTGTTCGACGACCGCCGGCGTTACCACTTTGGCGTCTTCGATAATTTCCGATATTTCGGGAGACGTCTGCATTGTTACTTCGTGAGTGATCACGGCTTCAATCACGGGAACCGTGGTAACGATTTTACTTGTGATAGAGTCGACAGATTCACTATCGGGAGGCGTAGGGTACCCCTCTTGGATTACTTTAACGGATCCGGCTTCTGACGGAGTTGCCAATGATTTGTAGGAGTCGTTCGGCGAATAAACTTCGTCCGAGTGAGCTTCGACGAGGCTAGCTTCCGATTCCGGACCGACCTCAGACTCCGACTTCTTTTGTTTGTGTTTGCGTTTTTTGTCCTTCTTCGGCTCTTCGGGCTTCACATATGGCACATCTTCTTCATCGGAAAATTTAACAGATTCGCCGATTGGGGACGATTCATCGATTGATTTGGGAACAAGGGACGGTTCAGATTCTTCCACCCTTTCCTTCTGCTTTTTACGTTTCTTTCGCTTCTTCTTCTTATCATCGCCGTCATCGACGTGTTCGTCAACGGTAGTTTTATCTTCAGGTTCATACCCGGCTGAAAAGTCTTCGTCGTCTGGCGTAGCGGTCAACAAAAACTCCTCGGTGTACTTCGGAGTAATTGGAGATTCGTGCGAATCGTCCGGTATAAAAATTTCTGTAGACTCCGCAAGGGATGTTTCGACGGAAAGCGGTTTGTCATCACTCGCCGCGGTAGGTGGGCGCGTTTCTTCATCGGGAGTTGCACTTTTACTCGAATCTTTATGCTTCTTTTTCTTTTTGCCCTTTGTCCCTCCGTGATCGATCTCGCTTGTTACAGAAAGCGCCTCTTCTCCTTCTTCGAGTTTGGGAATAATCGGAGATGTCGATTCGATTTTAGTAGTCTGTTGGTGGGCGGGGAGATTGACGTAAATATCTTTTTGCACCGGACCGCTTTCTGTATCTTCCAATTGCACGGCCATCGCAACTTTGGGGCCCGGAATTTGAGGATCTGATGGCTTTTCTTCGACGGTAAGTATGAAGTGTAGTCCACGGGTAGCCGGTTCGCCAATCGGGTGTTTTTGCTCAGGTTCGCTTCCTTCAATCCGCTTTTCGGCGAGATGTAGAGTAATTTCGTCTTTGTTTGGCGCCTGTCGGTATGCACTTTGCTGTTCTGTCACAATAAACTGAGTGTTGGTATCAGGTTTCAAGACGGTTTCGGTAGCGATTGGTAAGTTTTCTTGCTTTTGATTCGGGGTTTCAAATTGAAGAGGTTCGATTGGCGTCGGGCTGACAGATTTAATGTCTACAACAGTTACATCCGCGTCAGGTTCTGGGGGAGATTTTGTTTGCTCTATGTTTACTAAGCCAGGCAAAGCGGTTACCACTTGGGTAATTACCGTTTTAATCGAATTTTCCACTTGGGGTTCTTGAGGAGAACATTGTTCCGGCACTGGCGTTGGTTCTCTTGGTGAAATATTGGTGGTCACACTTTGGGTTACTGGTTCCGCTTCATCTCTTCCGACTATAATTAGTTGTTCCTCACTGCGTGACGTAGATAATTGAATTGGAGTCGTTACGGCAGGTGCAGCATCAACAATAGGTGCCGAATCAACTTTACGTGTATTGACAACACTAGGTGCCGATCGCTCTTTCTCAATGAACTCACTGACAACGCTACTTGCCGACTGTACAACTGTGGTTGGCTCAAGTGCTGGTGATTTTTGTGCAATGGCTTGTTCAAAAACGTACCTCTCGCCATTATCAACAATTGGATTTTCGTCAGGATCGACGATTTCTGGTTCGGCCTGCATTTGTTGCTCTTGTACTATCTGACCATCTTGGGTTCGCGTTACATTAATGCTTACTCTCGGTATGCCTTCTTCGGTTACCTCCACCTCCTCGGGCTCTTCGATGATCTCCTCGGTAACCTGCTCCTTGCCGTCTACTATGACGATGCGCCTGATAATTCGGCGAGTCTTTCTAATAATTTTCCTCGTGACCTGTTGGACGACCGCGCGCACCGTGGAGCTGGACGTGTGGATCTCTTCGCTTTTGGGATCGAGCGTAAATAGCGCGTTTTGATTGTCGACGAATGCGACGTCGCCTTCGTGTAGCTTTATGCCTTGTAATTCAACTTCCGGCGCTTGGGTACCCTGGACGACCGTGTAGTGGTGCTCAGGTTCCAATTGAAACTCTTGTACGTCAATCTCTCCCCCGGGCGCGCTTGAAATTATTTTTCCGCCGTAATTTTGACTGGTCAATGTTTCTTTGCGACCGTCTCCTCTTGCAACCGTCGTGCTGCTTTGCTGTCCTTGAAGAGTAACTTGCGAAAACGACTGGCTGACGGGTACATCACCTTCGGTCAGCGTGCTCAACGTTGTCAAATGCTGTTGCTGCATGGTTTGCTGACGAGATACGACAGTGCGTTGTAATTTTTTGACGATTATTCGCCTCGTTCCATCGGCATCTACTATTACCTCTGTCGTGGTCTCGTCGGGTTCTACCATGACGGTTTCGAAGGGCTTATCGGTTTTGGAGTGAAGTATGTGGAGCTCCGTTGTTTTCTCTTCCGGTTTCTCCGCCATGTTTGGTTTGGTGCGGTAATCTGCTTCTACTAATAGATCGCCTTCACCGTCGACGGTTGGGGCCGGTTTCGTTGCAATTTGAATAGTTTCTTGGTCCCCGATTATTGTCTTTGAAATTTTGATCGTTTCCTTTTCGCTAGGTCTTTCGACGAGGGTTTGAACATCTACGTCGACCGGATATTGCCGCGTTATCACTGGCGAAGACAAGCTTTGCCCGGTTTGAGTCTCGATGCTTACACCAATTGGTTGCTGATGAATTGTCGTGGTGACTACTTTGGTGTCGGTAAGTACGGGTATTTCTTCAAAGGGCATAGAACTAGAGTCGAGAGTGCTATCTTGTAACGACAATTCGGGAGATTGTCCTTCTTCTTGGATTTTAATTAAGTGTGTCTGCAGTATCTCGAGCTTGTTGGATAGAATGAACTTTTGCTGGTTAAAAATGATATTTATCCCTCTGATCTGGTCCAAGAGATCTTCGGTTAGTTGACGTAAGTTGGGGTAACACCTGAATTGCTCACAGTTCTGCGCTAGCTCGGCTAAGTCCCTTTCTTTCGCCGTTAGATCTTGTTGCACCTTCTCACAAGAAGCGATTTCGTTATTAATATCATTAATCGAGGTCCTTTGCGATTCTTTGCTTAAGAATTCGCGCGTCGTTTGTAACCAAAGCTCAATTTCTAAAAGCAGCCGATGGTACTGTGTTAACTGCTCTCGCCTTTTTATTTGGGACTTATGTGCAGCCTGGAATAGATCGCTCTACTTAAAATACTCCTTACGTAACTATATTAACGCGTTTACCTCAATCGCAAATGTACCATTTTCGGCTTGGGCCAGAAGGGTGGCAATTCTCGTTCGTATTCCGGCCAAATGTGATGCGAGAATTTGGGCGTCGTTATCCGAGGGTAGCTGAAGAACCAAATTCTCCAGCCGGATAGCTTCGGCTGCGTGCTTTTTCAAATCACCACTAACACTCTGTAAACAAATTGCCGGTTAAAATTGTGGTATTCACAGAAGCATCGACTTGGAACTGATGAGATCATTATCCCTTTCTAATTTAGTAGGTATCTTCCCCTTCTATCTATTAGGCAAATCAAGTTCGTGTTTGAAAAAATTACGTAAGCAGTAAAGCGGGCACAAATTCTCGAAGGACCGATAAATATTTCATGAAATATGTCACGAATATTGTTACGCCGATGATAACAATTGTGCATAAATTATAAAAAAATGATTATTTACTAGAAAAATATGTATAAATAGTGATTGTCCTATAGTCTGAAGTGCCAGAGAAGAGGTCATGTTTAAAAATAGACCGATGATGTAATCCATTTTTATTTATACTTGACTTTGATTCATTTATGGCCACGTGCGAAAGAGGAAAAATGCCGGTACCTACCGTTAGGGCTACCAAAATCGATTGCAAATCTTCACTGGGGAGGTTTGATGCACGACTCTCGGTCTCATGAAGGGCGTCGCCTAGGTGTTGAAGATCTTCGGTAACAATCTGCAATTTGTCAGACGATTACACGCGAAATTATTTATCTTTCACTGGTACACGTAAACGTGATTTACCTTCGAAGAATAATGAAAATGCAATGAAACGTGCATTAACTGTCTAATGCTTCAAAGACCCGATTTATTCACCTGCCCCAAAATTCAGTTCTCGCGGTCAGTAAATTGATCGACAGTGATGCAATTTCTTTTCACAGGGACTAAAGAAACGATTAACAGGTTGGGCTTACGATTCTAAAAATAAATCTCGTAGTCTTTTTTGTTGAACAACCTGTACTCTAATAGCAAATGCAAAATGTGCGGGTATATTTTTGGTACAAAATAATTGGAACTCAAATGGATTAATTGATTGCTTTCTATTAAAACTCTTTTGAACGCCCAACAGGTGTATTAGAAATTTCGGGGGTTACTGTAACGTCCCAAAAATAATTAAACTTTTGAAGCATTAGAATTAATGCCACAGTAAGATCTACTTAATATTGTAAAAATAAACTAGAAACCAACAACACTAAGTAACAATTATTTGCTTGCCGATTCTTCGCATAAGGTTCCGACTGAAGACTGAAGATATCGACAAGCAAATACTGTTCACACCGAAATCCGAACTGAAGCGAAGCCGTGCCGCTTACCCACCTGGATGTTATAGCTATCACTGCCTTGAAGTTATCCGCTAAAGATTAGCAACATGCACATGCAATGAAAGGTCGTAGTTAGGATTTTATTTGACAAGAAGCAAATTTTGATTAATAGCACAAAATGAGCCCAAAAACACGCAACCACATTTCACCTTCTTAATGGAATGGTCGCCACCGTAGGAGATGCCATCTACTTCGTCCATTGGTAAACGGCTGCTAGGTTGGAATTGAGGCCCTAAGGTAAGGGTGGGTTCGTCAAAGTGGTCAGTGTCTTTAATGATAGTCTCGGCGACACTTTCTGAAAGCTCGCGAGTCGCGTCTAGATAATCGATACCGATCCGCCTCTCGTTCCAGTCACTTTCCGCCTTTAGCATGCCCAGGATATCGTACGCGGGCTCGATTTCGGACAGGTACGTGCTGTGATCTTTCCACCTGCACATACCGCCGGGCAAATCGGCGCTGGCAAATCGCGTACTCGGCGAAAAGTCCGAGGCCCGATCGGGTTGCGGGGCTTCGGGCGAACCCCGTCCACTTGAACTACCCGAGTCTCCGCCTTTATCGCGGTGATCGTCTTCGTTGGGCGGAACACTTCCCTGTGTCAATTTTGTTTTCGTCAGTTGCGCGAGATACATTTGGTAGCGTTCCTCGGCGTCGGTGTAAATGTGCTTGTCCAACCAAAATGGACCGTCTCCTTTCAGATTCTGATTTTGATCAAGCGGCGGCGTCTGAGACTTGCGCCTTAACGCGCCAGCAACTTTTGCTCGAATTGTTTCGAGTACGCCCTTTTCCTCGTCGGTGTCGGAAGTACTTTTGAGCTTCTTCTTTTTCTTCTTTTCATTGGGCGGGTCGTGTTTAGATCCGGTTACTTTCGAGATTAAGTTTCCGAAGAAACTAGATCGTTTCTCGGGTAGATTAGTGGGGTGGTCCGGTAACGAAATGCTCCTTTCCATAAGTAGAAAGTTTTCCAAATCCGTGGCGATTAGTGTCGAGGAGTTTTCCGATAGTTCTAATGGTTGCATTAACGTTTCTACCGATGTGTTCACTTTTGGAATATCATCCTCTTCAGGTGAATTTTTTTTCAGTACATTCTTAACCGAAGAGAGCATACTCATTAAGCCGCCTTTTTGTGACAATTCTTTCGACTTGTTTCGCTTCTTCTTTTTTTTCTTTGATTTTTTCTCATCCTCCTCTTCGCCTGTACAGCAGTTTTCGTCATTTTGATAGGTTGTGAAGACCTCTTCTTCTTTTTCCGCAATCTTTTTATTGCCCCTCTCCTTTTTGACAACGTGCTCTTCACTTTCTAAAGATTTAGCTATTTCCTCTTCAGCTGTTACAATTTGTGGTTCCGCAGTTTTTTGATTTGATCGAGATCTAGATCTTGATCTGCGTTCTTTTTTGTTTAAGAACTCTGTGAAACCTTCCGAGTCGGTTGGAATGGGTGCGTGTTGAACAATGGGTTCGCTAACAACTTCGATTCGTATTTGAATGGGTTCTCTTTGACATGTTCGATGAACTATGGCCTCTTCTCGAACTGGTTTTGCAACTTTCTGGGACGCCGCAGCCTCCGCATAAGTGAAATGGGTCTCAACCTCAGTCGGTGTTAATGAAACCAAACCCTTATCCTGGTCAGTGGTAGATTCTGTTAGTGAAGTTTTTTCTTGGGTATGATTCTCCGTCCTATCATTTTCAGTTAGGGTATCCTCATAGGCTTGAAGTGTAGGACCTGGGACATTTTTGGCCGTGATTGGTACGACCACCTGATCGAATGCCTCATTCTTTCGCCGAGATCGCGATCTTTTCTTCTCCGCAATTTTCGGTTCTTTAGTCATTTCCACCTTTTCTTCTGAAGCTTCTTCAACGCGAATCTCAGTGTCGGGTACCACCTGTCTCGCATCTTCTAATGGAGAAGTTTCCGAAGTGCCAACCTGCTCTCCTTCGATAGTTACGTGAATTTCGTCAACGGGTTGCGTTGATGAACCTCCTTGAACGCACTTTTCTTTGAAAGTGTCATCTCGATTCTGTTCTTTATTCCGCCGAGAGCGTGACCGATTCTTTTTCGGCGTTTCTATCGCCTGCACTTGACCGTCAGATACTGTGTGAAACTGTGCTTCTATAGATACTACATCAGTATCCATAGATGGCGTATTCATTTCTTTATCAGACTGTTGGCTAACTTCTGGTCTTTGCAATTGCTCAAATTCTTCTGAAATTTTTTCATCAGGTTTCATTATCTGGCTAACTTGCTCATCTACAAGTATTTCTGTGGTCGTTACGTCAAATTCCATAACGGGCGTATCTTCGAGGGTGTCTTCGCGCATCTTCTGTCCTCGTTTCGTTTTGGCAAGTTCTATTGAAGCTTGCACTTGATTGTCACTATGATCTTCCGATTTAGATCTGCGTTCAGATCTAACCTCTTCTTCATTTGGCACTTTTCTAGGGTCCGATGCAGTTTTCTCTTCTATAGACACTTTGGAAGGTGATAAATCTACTTTTACATGCAGTTCCTCGGAGCCACCTTCATTTTCAACTTTCTCTTTCTTTCTTCGAGATCGCGATCGCTTTTTCCTTGGCATTTTAGTTGAGAGCGGATCAGGCTGTTCTGTGACTTGCGACAAGGAATCTTCTGGAGTAGGCTCGTGTACTCTAACTTCTATTTCTTCACTTTCTACATGCGGTAAATGATCGATTATCTCTAAGTGGTCTTTTTTTCTGCGAGGTTTTGACGGTTTCGTCTTCGATACGTTTTCTACTTCCGCGTCTTCTGTAGAAACTTCGTCTTCATATGTGACATTTACGTCCAAGTTGAAGAAATTTTGCGTCGTATCCCCAGTCGAAATCTCTAAACTTGATTCTAACGGATTAGAGGCACTTTCTTGATTTGGTGCGTCAACAGGTTTCTTGCGCCCAGATCTCGATCTCTTTCTCTTGGGAACATCAGGGACCAACGCGATATTATCTGCTATGTGATGCTCTTCAGTGTCCCCTTTGTTTAAAGACCTGGAACGCGATCGCCGCTGCTTTCTGCTAACCACTTCCATAAATCCATCGCGGTCGATCGAAAAAGGTTCGTTGGGAGCATCACTTTTACTCACGACTTCAGTTCGAATTTGTACCTGCTCCGCGGCGGGTGCTGGGTGCGCAACATTTTCAATCTGGGGAGTTTCCAACTTTTTAGTTGCGGCAATATTTGCATATGTTACAAGGCTGACTTGCTCTGCTGCCACTTCTTCCAGTTGTTTCGAAGCTTCTGTGCGAGCCTGGTCCTTTCGTTTAGAACGTGACCTTTTTTTCCTCGGATTATCCGGCGTTGCCAAATGCGGATCTTCGCTTACTTTTTCAACCGTAATAGGTTCCAATATCGCTACAGCTTTGTGTTCAAAATCGTCAGCTTCTATTTGGGGCACAACAGGAATCGTGGAAGGTTCTGGCATTTTTTTCTTCGAAGCTCTTGGTCTTTGTTTTTCAGACAATTCAATATCACTCGCATTATCTATGATGCTTGTAGTCGCTGAATCGATTTGTTTAGTGTCTTCATCTGGTACATAATCAAAAACATTGGCTGTAGGTTCTTTCCATTCGCTTTTTTCGACAACACTGTCATCCTGAACGTTATGTGTTGCCGTGACTGTACTAGTTTCTGGCAATTCAGGCACATGCTTTGTTGTCACTGAACTTTCTTCGCCCTTGTTCTCCTGCTGGTTCTCATCGGTCGATTTTCCAGTGACACGTATTGTAAACAACACTTCGTACTGCTTTTCAGATGTTTTCCCGTCCTTTTTCTTGGAACGTTCCCGCTTTATAGGTGGCGACACTGCAGCTTTTGGTTCAGATTGCACCTCCAGGTCGGAGGAGTCCAAACTCTTGATTTCCATCGATTCATCTTCTGGTATAACGCTACTGATCATTTTCTCATCCTGTTCTGCCACAGCTGTTTGGGTTTCTGCAGTTTCTCTTTGAGGAGTATCATTTTTGATAAACACGTCACTGTTCTTATCAATGTCTACAGTCTGTTCTTCTTTTGGTCCCTGCGCATACCCTGTTTGTATCTCCGTGGTTGTTTCCTCGACAGTATCAACTAAAAGGGTTTGGTCCCTATTTTCAGTCTCTGCAACGGGATCATTGACGCCCTTCTTCCCAGATCGCGACCTCTTCCTTTTATGCTTCTTTAGTACCTGCAGTGTATCCGCTGGACTTTCTTCCTCGGCTAAATCAACTTCTACAGGAAGCTCCACAGGACTAGCGTCTCCAACTGGAATATCGAATCCGCCAGTGTCATCTGATTTCTGCTTTCTTTTAGATCGTGACCGCTTCTTCTTTGTAGGCACTTCTAAATTCGAAGGAACATCCTCGTCTGACGACGTCTCTTCAGAGGGTCTAATTTGTTCGGTTACGCATTCAGATTCTGACGTCGTACGAGACCGCGATCTCTTATCCCTGCGAGAGTGGTATTCGGTAAACCCTTCGGAATCTAAAATGGGTTCGAAATATTGTGAATGCTTCTCCTCAACTACTTCTACTCTGATTTGAATTGGCTCCTTTAAGATTGGAGAAACTTCTATGCTGGGTTCTGGTGAATTTTGCGCTCGATCAGTGGCAGCAATGTCCGCATATGATCTAATTTTTGAGACCGGTTCAATCGTGTCGTTGTCTTTAGAGAATCGAACATCAATTTCATATGTAACTTCACTATCACCAGGTGTGTCGTCTGTACGATCTTCCTTTTGCGTAACGGGCGATTCCAATTGTTTTTCCTTAGATTTACGCCTCGGCGACTTTGATTTGTGGTGCCGCTTCTTCTTAACGTCCAATGTGGTTTGCCGCACATCAGGTAGTAACTCATCGGTCGCTTCTTGGAGCATACTATCAACCCACCGGTTGCTATCGTGGTCTGGCGGTATTTCTATAGATTCGTTGAAGTCATCGCTGAATATTCTTGCGCGATGAGGAAATTGGTAAGGTTCTTCTCGTAGTCTTTGCTCCTTTGTATCACCTTCTCGCCACGCTGTTGATGGAAGGTTGGGTTTTTCTTTGGGAGTGGGCATTTCTTCCGTTGTGACCTTTTCTACCGGAGTTATTGCATTGGATTCTTCCCAAACATCACTAGCGCAATCTGGAGACAATTTTTCTTCAAACTCCCACCTGGTGGTTTGTTCAATTGGTTGCGACGGATACGTTACCGTTGTTGTTGTGGGAAATTGTGAATGCCCACCGGGTACAAAGACCTTCGCGTATGGATTTAAATTCGAATGGAACGGCTTTTCCGTTTCGGTGCATGCGGGTGCAACCGGTTCCAATTCATCGTGCGTTTCGGTTGCTACTTTGCGTACTTTGCTTAATTCCCACATCATCTCCGCTTCATAGAATCGTATTGGATTATGATGTGACACTTCCGATCGAAGCCCTAACATTGCCAATTCTTTGTCATTTAACGATTCTGTTTCTTCGATGTCATGCTTCGGTGCCTCTAATTGCAGTTCTGTGTTCATCTGTGACTCCTCCAACTCGCTCGCCGGTTGCGACAAATCAACCTTCGACAGATACAAGGGTTGTATGTCAAGGGGTAGGTCATGCGCGGAGGATTGATTTTCATTTTTAACCAAATCTTCGCATCGCTTTCTTTCGACATCTCTAAAAATACACGAGTTGTAGTTCGGAATCAGCTCGTAGTAATGTTCGACAGGTACCGGCGCTTGGACCTTTCTCGTCATCTCGAAATCAAAATCTCGAAAGTTCCTTTCCTTAGGCACGTACTCCTTGGTTTGGGCCGAAGCATCGGTCGTAAGATGGGTACTTTCGGTAATTGTGGCGATGTCAGCGTGTTCGACGATTTCGTATTCTTCCAGCAATGGAGAGCTTGGAGAATCAGTATTTTGATCCAAGTCATCGAGTGGCTGCGATACTTTCGGTTGTTCCAATGTTTCTTCATCTGACAGTACTATTTCTGAATCCATCCACAAATCACTTGTGTCATCTAAAGGCAGTCCTTTATAGTTAACTTTTGTATCTTCAATTTGTAGAACGTTTCGCTGCTCAGACGGAACCTCAACTTTTATTGACTCATTGATGGTTAACTCAATTGTTTCCAACTGTCGATGTGTTTCTTCAACAGATTTTTTATCCGGCAGTACTGCCTCTGGATCCACCCCCAATTCTGTTATATGATCTAAAGAAACATGCTCTTGAACAGAATGCGATGGTGGGGTGGTTATTGCTTCCCCCACGACAATGCTTTGCTCCACTTGATCATGCGAGATTACATTTTCTTCATCAGAGATTACAATTTCGGAATCCATCCACAAATCACTTGAATTATCTAAGGGTGTCTTTGATTGTTCGGTTATCTCCAACTGTGATTCAGTGATGGGGATGGGCTCGATTAATTTTGGAGGCGGCAGTGTTATTACCTTTACAAATCTTTTGCACGCAGCCCGAGGCTCTTCATCGAGGGGCTGCATTGGTATATCCTCTTGAACAAGAATAGGATCCGATGGCGGAGTGGGCGCTTGAGCGATGGTCATCATCTGTGCTTCTTCCGGCGGTGGTACGTCTTCCTCGTCTGAAATCACAATCTCCGAATCCATCCACAAATCGCTGGTGTTATCTAAAGGTAATCCTCTGTACTCCACTTTCGGGTCGCCTAATTGACGCACCGAATCTTCTGGCAACGGCTCAACGCCTTTTATCGAGAGCGCCACTTCCGTTAGTTGAGATTCGGCTATCGGCATCTCAACTTCGTCATCAGAAAGAATGATTTCAGTATCCATCCATGAATCCGATACGTCGCTCATAGGCAAACCTTTGTAGGGTACGGTTACGTTAGAAGTCAGTGGCGTCACTTCAGTCACGGCTTCTTCCGAAAATGTTATTTCCGAATCAGTCGATTTTGTCTCGGCGTTAATAATTTGAGGAACTTCTTCAAAAGAAACCGATTTGACTCGGTCAGATTTCTTTCGCCGCTCCTTTTTCACTTCTTCTATCGTATTGTCGAGATTTTGTTTCTTATTTTTCTTCTTTTTTTTACCGCTTTCGGATGCAACCTGAGTTGCGATTTCGCACTCAACTACCGCTACATCTTGATCACCTTTAGGCACATCTGATGTCTCTAACTTTTTGGTCTTCTTCTTTCCGGTTTCGGGTGCCGACGAAAGCACCATTTCTGATTCATTAATTTCGAACTTATCGCCTGCTGGTGGTGTTTTTTTATGTTTCTTTTTGCGGCTTTCGAGCGCAGGAGAGGCGATAGCTTCCGACTCGATTACGCCCCCTTCATCAGCTTTTAATGGATCTGATCGTGGCGATTTTTTGCTCTTCTTCTTATCGAATTCCTGTACGAATACAGTATCCGACACAATAGCAGCGCCGGTGTCAATTACGGATGTATGTGATGGTGTTTTCTTGTTCTTCTTCTTACTAGTTTCCAGGAGAGATGAAATCACAGTTCCCTCCGTATTTTCATCAATTTTGGGCGTACTTGGTGGTGAAGATATTTGTATTTTTCTGTCCGAGGTCACAATCGACTCGACCCCTACACTATCACCACCTTTGGACGTATGGGATGGCGATGGTTTTTTGTTCTTCTTCTTACTGGTTACGATTACATGCGTGGTCTCAATTTCCGTATCAATCCCTAGATTTTGTGATGTATTTGATGATGAAGGCATTATGTCCTTATTCTTGACTTCACTCTCGTCAGTTTTGGTAATATCTGATGACCTTTTGCTCTTTTTTTTACTGGTTTCAGATGCAGATGAGCTCAAAACTTCAGACGCTATTACTACATCTTTCGCATCTGATACCGGAAGTTTTTTGCTCTTCTTCTTTCTGTGACTAGACTCAGAGGGTGGGGTAGTAACTCCAACTTCGACCGGGTCCGTAACAGTCACCGCTTGAGCGTGTTTCTTTGCCTTCTTTTTTTGGGTTTTAATTTCCTCTACCTGCTCCATTTTACTTACATCTTTTTCTATCTCGTCGTGAGACTTCAAATCTATTTCACTTTCGCTGTGCATTTTTGTGACAGATTCGACTTCTAATTTAGACGTTGACAGTTGCGTTTGTGTTGTCACATGCTCCAAAGTGACCAGATGTTCGTCATCGACATGGGACTGAAAGTTGCGCATGCTGGGTCTCTCTTTGACGGATCCAAAAATGATCTGTTCCAATTCGATTTCCTCGCTGGTCGTATCGGTGAAATTCACGCCGGAATCTGTCGCCGTGGATTCGAGAGAATGCGGTTCCGAGATTATCACGTCGTGCTCCTTCGACTCCCACTGTTCTATGGCTTGCTCGGGAAGGGCCATTTTTAGGGTCAGCACAGGTGTTAGGCGCACTTCTTCGTGTGTAATCAGAATGATTTTGTTTGTTTTTGGTGGCGACTCGCTTTTTCGGAAAATTACATTATCGGTCGTTATCGTTTGTTTCGTTTTTCCTTTGCTTCTTTTTTTACTCGACGCTTCCGTGGTTACGTCGGGAGTGTTTTTATCATGGCTCATTATAACGTTCTCTCTTAGCTCGCTAGGAGTTATAATTGTATGGGTTTGATCAAAAGTTTTGCTTATCTCAGTTAGCGGCGTAACTTCGTCCGCTTTCTTCTTAGTCCTTTTTACTTTCTTCTTTCGTCTTTGCTTATCTGTATTTGGGAAATCGTTTTTTTCGGCTAAACTACTAACTACTAAGTCTTTAGGAATTACATCAATAGTTTCGTCACCACCCACCAATTTGACAGTGGGCTCTCCAAGGTGACCAGTTATTTGGGAGGAGTTTTCAGTTAGATGTTGCGTCTCCTCAATTCGGCTCACTTCCTTCGTTTTGTCGTTTTGCGATTGGGGTCGTTGTTGAGATGGCATTGTTTCTGTACTGGATGGCTGAAGATGCCTCGCGCTTGGTTCCTGAGACTCTTCGTGGGATATGCTAATCTGTTGTCCCGAACTAACGTATGCGGGGTGTACGTACTCGAAATGCTGGTAATTGGTTTGAGGGGGCTCGATGGTTTCGGTATCGCGATACAGACCTCTTAACACGTCCGAGTAAGTTGTGGATCCGGGCACCCACATTGGGCTAGGAGAGCGACCCCTCGGTTTTTCGTCGAGCTTTAGAAGTTCAGGCTTCGGGGTAACATTTTTTAGTGTTACTGCCGAGGGGGTTTCGGGTTCCGGTTGTACATCCTCGCGTCTCCTCGGGGAGCGACCGCGTCTATTGGTCTTTGCCTTTTCCGCCGTATCGATGACGATCGTTTTAATTTCGCTTTCGTACTCTGTAAAAGTTAGTTCCGGTTGTGTGGCAATTTTGAGGGGAGTCTCAGGAACGAAGGTCGAAGTCATCTTTACAAATTCAGGTTCTTCGGATGGCGGACGATCAAAATGGCACGGGCTGGAGCGGCCGGCAGTTATATCGGCGTACGTCACCCCAAGCGAGGCGGGTTCCGATAATATCGGGAGGACGTAGTTGGGGTCCAGTTCTCGTATCTTGACGAGGATGATGTCGATTTGCCGGCGATAACTCTCAGCCTGAGCCTATCCATGTAGAGTAACAATGTAATCAGTAATCGCGTAACAAACAAATTGAATATAATCGAATCACGCACTGCAGGATGGTGGCTGCGATTATGTCAAAGTCAAGTCAGTCGGCGTGATAATACGATAAGGAAAAGTTAGGTGTCGAGGGGTTCCGAGTCCGGAGTGCCCCGCTGAACGATTACTTTAATACGCTCGTTACGAGCGGCGACTTTCTTTTGCAGCGCATGCACTCGGTCTCGACAAGCCTACAATCGTCACGTACGTACAAGGATATCGGTAGGAGAAGGATGCAGCAAAATGATAAATAAAATGCATGGTGAGAAACAATCATAAACATGGCAGAAGAAAATAACAGTATAAAATGCATTTGTTTGTTATTTGGAACACTTTCGCAAATATCAAACAATGTTAGTGAAAGTGTATGATTAAAATTAAATGAGATACATGAGCATAATATGATTGAAGTAAGTAAAACGTTAAAACCCAAGTGAACTTAAAAGCAACCTGTTTACCAGCAAATGTGATGAGAAAGAAAAGTAAAGCAAAAACAGAGCCCGAAACCAAACAAACACAACTCCCAACTGCAGGAGTGAGGCGGTGGAAACACCTTTGACGAACGTCACAGCCACCTCTGCAGCCAACTTCATCATCAAATTTGTTTCCAAATTTTAATTACAATTTTCCTATCCTTTTGAAGATAAAGAAGTTGTTTTGGTGCTCTTGTTAGCTATTGCGCTGCGGCTTGGGCTAATGAAGTAGACACGGTTAGATTTAGTCAACACGTGACTAAATCTAACATAAAACACATGTCGCCTCCATTTTTCATTCAACACTCTATTCACAAATCCTACCTGTTGATCTCTGGCCGCTTGCTCTCGATCGTGAGGTAGATACGTCGGTGCCAGAACCGTTCGCAACTGCTGCTCCAACTGAACAATCTGCTGGCGAAGCTGCTGTACTTCCATTTGGTACTGCTCGACCTGCACGAAGGCCTTTTCCAGTTGATGCGTTTGATTACGGACGAGTTCCAAGAAGACGTCCAACTCGCCCATCAAATCTTCAGCCGCCTGCGTAACCTTCGAGTCGCCTCCGATACCCGAACGGAAATGCAACTGAAAAACGTAAACCGTACAGCCGCCCCCAACCCCGCCAACCGCTCACCTCCAGTTTCTCAACCGAAATCGCTATCTTCGCCTTCTGTATCGAAACGTCTCCGAGCATCTTCTCGCGTATAGCGTGCTGATCGCGCAGTGGCCGTTTTTTGTTCTGCGGCGATTCGAGCGAGTTCTTCGACTTCTCCATCCAATTCCGCACGTCCTTCATCTTCTTCTCGCACTGCTCCCATTCCTCGGCGGTCTCTTGCAGGAGCGCGTTCTGTAACTGCGAGTTAACATCGATAGCACCAAAATCGAAACCTTACCCTCTCCAAGATCTTCGCCTCCACGCCTGTCTTCGCTTCTTCGGCGTGCTCCATTTTCTGCGGAAGATCGCCGACGCTGGTTACCGAACTGATGTAGTCCAACTCCTTGGCCATTTCGCTCAGGTTTTTCGAGGCGACCTTGCAGGTCTTGGCGGCATTCTGAAATCGACCAATTAGGCGGCGTAGTCGATGGTGGGAGGAAACTTACGGAATAATCGTGCAACTTTTGGCGGGCTTCGTGTAATGTGCTGATGTACAGGGACTCCTGCAGGAAGACCTTCTTTTCTTCCACCCAGGTTAGTACGGCCTGGTATAGCGCGAGGAAGCGTTGCCATGCGTCGAGGGTCTCCCCGACCTGCTGCTTCTTCTCGTCCAGTAAGGAGCGCAATTGCTGCAGCTGTTCGCTTATGTTATCCATGGTAGTTTGCACGATCGCCTTTTCCTCGTCGCTCCTCGTTTTTCCGATGATAATTTTGCCATTCTTAACCAGCTTTTCGTAGCGGTCTAGCACGCTCGCCATTTCGGATTGGATCTCCTGCAGATACTCGTTGAGAGCGTGAGGTTCGGTCGAGCGATCCTGGATCTTGAGTTCCGCCTTCTTAATCCAATTCTGAATTTCGTCAACGTCGTGCGCATAATCGGTGCGAACGGTTCGAGCCTTTTTGAATTCGCGATTCTTCTCGTCCATGGCGTTGACGAGCGTCTCGGTGAGCAGTTCGAGGTTTGTCAGTTCTTGGGACACGTCTATGGGAACGAGCTGCTGGGAGCGGTTATACTTTTCGCGTATTTCGGAAATCAAATCTTTGCCCTCGTTAATTTGTGTTGAGACCTTATTCGATAGGTTTCTCAAATCGCCTTCTGTACGTGCGACGTCCTCGTCAAACGTATAAAAGTTCTTGATCTCCTTGAGAAGCAGCGACAGAGATTCTTTGAACTTGTGAATATCCGAAAACGCGCGATTTATATCTGCCAAATCGGCATTCGCTTTTGAGTGTTTTTCTTGCAAAACGTCTAGAAGGCTAGAAAAGAAAAGTTATTAGAATTCCATCGGACGCGCGCTATTTTTAAATGCAGCAAAATAACCTTTCATCGCTATAAAAAGACGCAAGTTGCGGTAAATGTAGGGTAAAGCTTATTTATAATGCAGAAAAACGTGCACCTTTTCACGTCTGCTTCTAGAACGCGCAAAAAGTCTCTCAAACGAAGTTCAAAGTATCGAAAAGGGCGCGACGGTGAATTATACGATTACGTAAAACCACGTGCTTTTTTTCCAATCACAAATCACTAAATTTATTCTTTTCGCATTCACTACTCGTAGGGGGTAACTAATTTCAGGTCAGTCGTGCCAGGCGGTGAAAACTTCAGCCATCCAGCTTTACTATCTCGTGTTTCGGACGGTTTTAAAATAAGATTCGGCAAATTTAATTTCGTTTATACGTCGTCGTCCCGACGCTTTTCAAAATATACGCGCATGCGAAAATTGCGTTGGCACGTATATCGAAAACAGTTGCATACGGAAGCGAATGGGAACGTGACCCAAAAGCTCGATTACAAAAATGTATGCGTGACTCAAACGACAGGAATACCCCAAAAATTTATTATTTTTTGTCGAGAATTTCGCGAATTGATTAAAAGAACATTCTGTAGGTTAGAGGCGAACTTTATGTAAAAATAAACCGCTTCTAATTGTTGGCAAAGGTGATTATAATGGTTCGGTACTACTTGGAGCTCTTCCAGAAGTTTTCCTTGCGCAATATTTATACTAATTACCCCTATTATTTATGATATCATAACAGAAAAGATATTTTTGCAACCTTGGAGAGCATTATAGAAGGTGAAGGTACAAAAATAGATTAATAAATTTATTAAACAATATAAGTATAGCAAACAAACTTCTAGGCAGGGTTAAAGCTGTGCTTCAGGCAATTTGGTTTATAATTAACGGAGATGTTAAAAGGACCTTCCTTGCCCACACCAATTCACCTACTCCGATCTACAAATTTGATAAAGAATCGTAATCAGTCCATTCGTTTTCGAGATATCTTGCTAACGGACAGGCATACGGACAGATACCAGAAAATTATGAACTCGTGTAGATCGTTAATAATAAATTGTCTTTAATTGGACAGTGAATACAAAAAATACGAAAAGAAAAATTAGAAGGGAAAATTAATGTTTCAAGTCACTGTCCAATGAGCCGCCGCGCCGCGCCGTTCAGATACCATTACTAAAAATTAATAAGATCGCAACGTTGACAAAAAAACCAAAAAGTGAATAGGTTTTCACGTGGAGGTTAACATCGAAACAATTAAAAATATTAGGGTGTTCTATTTTATAAAAATTAGTTATTTATTGACAACGTAAAAATGGAACACCCTGTACATTCAAAAATAATTTTTGTAGATGCCCAACCATGTACAAGACTATTTAAACGTAAAAGGTAAGAGCGGTTACTCTTCCGAAAAATGGCGAAGTACCTTCTGAAATTGCCATAAAATAACGGGGCGTATAAATAGCGAGTAATTAATGTAAACATCTTTTATCTACCTTCCAATTTTATCTCTGAAGTGAATCGCAAACATTAGAAGAATCATTTATCTAGTTTTTTAACCTATTTACATTTTGTCACTTAGATAGTACACGTAAACTGCGGAAAACTGACCTATGCAATAGAGATAGAATAGTGAATCGAAAGCTATCCTATTTAAAAATATCTGTAGTAAACATTTCCGACGGAATTGGAAATTGGCGAGAACCTAAATCAAATTTTTGATAATGGGAGTTTACTAAAAATAGCGTGTAGATATTTTCTGCAAACGGGAAGAATTGGTTTAGGTCAAGGAATTATTTTCGGCGGTTTTTGGAAAAAAAAAACCATTTTGTGACGGTAGAGCCTTCGGATACGACTGGGAAAGTGAAATAATAGCAAGAAAACTGTTTTGGTTGGAACGTTGTGAGAACAAAAAAATAGCAATTGAGTGAAGCTGGGTATTTTCACAAAAGAAATTTGAGCTTAGTAAGTTACGCAGAAAAACGGTTATCATTACCCAAGGTTGGAATTGTTTTCTTTGGTAATTTAAAAAAAATAAAAGAAACCAGAACAATACTTAACGTATTAAGTTACCGGAGGAACGAGACTAGTTTTAAATGTCACTTTGTAAAACAATTAAGAAGACGATTAGTAAGATTCGAAATTAATGGTTTTAAATTCTCACCCCTGATAACTTTGATTCAAATTGTGCAGTTTGTCGAATAGGGCCTTAGCTGATGCGCTTGATGCCGCCTCCAGGTAGATAAGTACAGTTTGCGATAGCTGATTGACCTCCTCCTTAAACTTCACCAAGGAGTCTGCCTCCGATTGCAGTTCCTGTAGGAAAATCGGTTACCCGAAAGCCAAGGGATGCGAAAAGAGCTCACCTCGATATACTTGATTGTATCAATCACATGCTGCTTGTTTCTGACGACGTTGTCGATGTGCTTAATGCGTTCTTCGATACTATTAATAAGACTTTCGAAGTTTTGCCAACGTCCCTCGAACGTCTCCCAAATTTGCGATAGCTTCGTAAGGGTGTCACGGCGATTTTCCAGGTCTGATACCAACTTGGTCCATTCTTCAGATACCTCCGCACTTTGTCGTTCGATCTTCTCCTTATTGTGCTGATTTGCCTGGCTCGTTATTTCGTTCACGCGTTCTAACAGCAAATCTAACTCGATTTGTTGATTCTGAAATGAGAAAGTTGCAATATTAATATCTTATCGTTTTTTTTTGTTATTTATTTAAGGTGCACGTATAAACAGAGGTGCGGAGGCTTGACTAGCTTCGTTAAAAGCGCATTGAGTACTGGCTACCGGTACGAGGAATAATGTTTAAATTAATGAAAACAACCTTGAATCAAATCTCAAGTTTAGTTTATATACCATGATGTCATTCTAAGATATATATTTTGACTTTTTTTAATGAATGACATCATTATGGTTATCAGTTCGCGAGGTGTTTATACCTTTCGTCATATACGAATTTGTGGCGCTGCGTTTCCGAGACGACCGCAAAGGGGTTGTGACGTGCACATATGAGCCATTTGGCAAAGAAGAGTAGTCATGGTAGTCCAGATTCCAAAAACATTTAGCGGTTTGCCTTCACATACATATTTATTATTTTGTCGCGTGCGGATGACATCATAGATGAAAGTAACGTGCAGTAACCTTTTTCCGATCATAGGTATCTCTGATTGAAATTTGAATGAGCTTATTGTGAGTGTTTACTGTAGTATTATCTTTAGCATGCACTACAGTCGAGACTACAGTTCATAATTTTTTCGCTCGCGTATCTTTGATGTTCTTTACTTAGATCAAACTAATATGGAAGAGCCGCGATCAGGTCGATAAAGTAGAAGCTCTGGATAGGACACATAGGAAATTATTTTGTAAATTACAGTTGTAACTGGGAACTATACTAATTTACAGTTGTAACTGTCAAGGATAATTCCCAGTTACAACTGTAAATTAGTGTAATTCATAATTTCAGCTGTAAATTATAAACTAATTCCCAGTTACAACTGTAATTTACAAAATAATTTCCTATGTGTCCTATCCAAAGCTTCTAAATAAAGCACCCCCACTTTGCCCAAATCAAGTAAAAACATGCCTATAATTTAGCGCTAAAGATTAATTTGTACCTACACATTAGAATTTGTAGCATTTATTTTCATAACTCGGAAACGACTGAATTGAGGTACATTATGCTTACTATAGAAATATTGTTTAAAAGAAGAAGGGCGTTCCGTTAAAAAAATTCAATTTTAGTGTCACGCTCGAGGTGACGCCTTTATGGCCCACCCTGTATAATTAAAATCATTATTGTCTAGTAGACATTGAAGAACCCCCAAAACTTTTGCATAAAACTTTTTCCATATCTTGTATACTTTCCCTGATAACCGACCGTTTCCAGACGTATCAGCGACCCTGGATAGGTACCTACCTAACCTATTAGGTATTATTATTTTTTTGTTAATAATATTTGTATATGTATCAATGGACAGTATAAATTGTTTAAACAATGAACATTTAACTTAGACAGACAGGCAGACAGACAGACTGCAATACAGTATACAGTGCATTCTTTGAATCTAGATAGGCAAGCAGAATTAATTTTTCGCGAAGAATCCACGAGGCCTTTGATATGTATTTGAAGTTAGCGTTCAACGTACGTTACTGCGCTGGCCTGATGCTAGAAAGAGATTGCAGTAGTACGTTGAACCCTATTTTCAAAAGTCTCATGGATCCTTGGAGAAAAAAACATTGTCGTTTCCTTATGTTGCGTTCTACCTCGGACACACTGTATAATTTGTTTGCATTTCTTTTTATTAGTTCTAACAATTACCATTTTTTTTAGTTAAAAATTGTTCAAATAAGGTATAAATTGTTTAAACAATGAAAATCTAACTTGGGTACAAATTAGTCTTAGTTATAGTTTTTTGACGTAACTAATAAAATAATATTGCAATTGGGAAAAGTGAGAGTGCCAGATTGATTTCATAGCACCCCCACCTTAAACATCGGTTTTCCGGCGGAACTAAGCACGTACAAATTCTAATGTTTTGCCCACAAATTAGTCTATTAACTATACTTCATTCATTATAAGAAGGTAGTAGATGGCGCTGGGTTTGAAGATAAGCACACACAGGAAAAATATAAAATTCGACCTGGCCCGCCCCTGCCATTTCGAAAGAAAATTCAAAGGGCTGTAACTTTTGAACTAGAAGCCCAATCTTGGAACTGTTTGAAATTATGGATTCTACAGGCCACATTCTTTAAGAATTTCGATCGATCGAAACAATTTTTTTTTCGGAGCTCAAAAAAAGGCAGTGTATAACCTTCCTTTTTTACCAAAAATCGACTGCACCAAAATTTCTCTTGAAAACACTTTTTCGTATTAATTTTGGTACGTAGAATCCAAATCAATTCGTACTTTTTCGATCAGACTTCTCAATCAAAAGTTATGGACTAGAACCCAATTTCGAAAGAAAATTCAAATGGCTGTAACTTTTGAACTAGTAAATCTTGGAACTGTTTGAAATTATGGATTCTACAGGCCACATTCTATAAAAAAAATTTTTTCCGGGTCGATCTGAGACAATTTTTTTTTCGTAGCTCAAAAAAAGGCAGTGTATAACCTTCCTTTTTTACCAAAAATCGACTGCGCCAAAATTTCTCGGGAAAACACTTTTTCTTATTAATTTTGGTGCGTAGAATCCAAAAAAAATCGTACTTTTTCGATCGGACGTCTCAATCAAAAGTTTTAATTATCAGCTGCAATTAAAAAAAAATTTTTTTTGTAATTGATTTCCGAAAAAAGAGCACTAAAATGAAGCAAAAAAATGTTTTTGTGGTGCACCGCAGAGCTACCCCCCCCCCCCCCCCGCAACCTTCATTACTACACTAATACTTTAATGGCCTGTAACCTGTGCAATTCCACCTGGCCCGTAAGTACCCAGTCCGCCCCTGATCACACTGAAGGTCAAATCTACCCTATGTTTTTTACCGCTACCTTCTTAAAATGAATACAGTATATTTGATTTGGGCAAAGTGGGGGTGCCGCGATCAGCTGACGTGATCAGCGGACATGCCGACTTCATGAATCAAAGTCAAATCCACGAGTCAAGTTGACTCTGCGGAAGGGAAAATCTAACACGCTAATCGCCATGGACCGTTGCGGCACTCCAAAATCCAACCCATTATTTTTCGTGTCTGAATGCCTAATATACAGTGTGGTCCAATTTCTATGGGATTAAATGGCTAACTTTCTTATTAGCGGAGATAAACGAAAACGGTTTAGGTCGTGACAGTTACTAAAAGAACTAGAAACAAACGACTGACCGCATTGATTTCTATGTTAAAAAGTGCCTGAATAATGCTAAAGCCATTTTGTTCTAGCTTCAAAAATAAAGGAGTTACAGCAAATTGAAGGAATTGGCCATTTTTCTCTATATTTGCGCTAATAACAAAGTTACCCACTTAATCTCATCGAAATTGGACCACACTGTACAGTGAGCGGCTAAAATATGGAACAAATTTATTTAAAAATCAGGGTGTTTGGCTTAAATACTCGAACACGTTATTATAATTTCTTGCGCATAACGATCTAAGGACATAATTTTTCCAGCAGCCTAATTTGCGCAAATAACCAATCAAAATGAAATTATAGGAAGCACTCACCTGTATATCATTTAACGCGTGGGTGATCTTCTGCAGGTTAAAGTGAAGGCCGGCCAGAGTGGAAACGGGTTCATCGACGAACTTAGTGCGTCCTATCGCCGTCTTAACCTTATCCAAAGTTTGACAGTAGTCCTTCCAGATTTCGGCGTTTTGCTCCATCAGCGCCTGCTGAGATTTCGCGGTGTTCAGCGTATTTTTCAGCGTCTGGGTATGGTGCTGCTGCTCCCTGCTCAGCTCTTCCTGCTCGTTGGGCGTTAGGCTCGGCCAGATTTTGTCGGCGGCCTGCTGAATGGTTTGCGAGACGAGCTCCTTAATTGGAACCTCGCTGCTAAAGTACACCTTGTGCTCCTCGAGATCGGCGAGGATGTTTTCGAAATCTACGCCGTTCTTGTGGGCCTGCAGACGTAGTTCGGCCTCTTTCACCCAGTCGAACAGTTTTTGTTTGACAGTGGCGTAGTTTTCGCGTAGGTCCTTGTTGGTTAACAGGTATCTCTCGCGTTCTTCAAGCTCGCGCGGTAAGGACGTTAGTAGAGAGTTGGCCTCTGACAGCTGCTCGAGCAGGGACCCGGGCATTCCGTCATCGTGCTTCGTCGATTCTTGCACTTCACGTATACGGTCCAGGTACTTGTTCACGTTAGTTCTCAACTCGTGGTGGTTTTCCAACTCCTTCTCAATGCTCTTGATGTCACGACGCAAAAGTGGTCGCGATCGAACAACTGCCTCGTTAGCGTGCAGCCAGTCCAAAATGTCTTCCAGTTCGGAAGCCAGCTTTCTGTGTTCGGCCGCCGTATGTTCGTGCTCCCTCCGTTGTTTCTCGACGGCACGTCGCAAGTTCTGAAGAGATTGCTTTACGGATTGAATTTGATCGGTAACGTTATTTCTGTCCTGAGCAGAACCGTCCGCCGCAATCTGTTGACCTTTGTCCTCGGCCGACGCCAGCATCGCTTCGCACGTCTGTATCTTGAGAATGATGTCGTCGTACTGCTTAATTCGCTCTTCCACCGTCTTTCCGGATTTCTCGATGTCCCGAACCACGCCGGTGTATTTGGTTATGAAGGTCATAATGTCGGTGATCAACGAAATGAATTGCTCTCGAAGTAGGAGCAATTGTCTAAGTCGCGCGATCTGCTCTTCAATGGTTTTAATCAGATCGTCCTCTTGGACGAGAACGTTTTGTAATTCGGGGGTATTCGCGCCAGGTCCTTCGGCTAATTTCGCTTTGTTCGCCTTAAGATCGGTCAAAATTCGATCGTACTCTGCTATGATACCCTGCACGTCCTCCACCTTGCTACCGATCGGCTTATTTAACTCTTTCAGCTGACTTTGTATGTCCTGCAGGTATTGAAGGGCTTCGGCGAGGCGCTCCGCGGCTTCTTTCTGTTGCTTTATATTTTGCTTCAACGCATTAGTGCGTTCTTGAATTATGGCTTCGATGGCAGTGTGCCGATTTTTGAGCGTGTTCACCAATTCGTTCAGAGCGATTTTGTCACTTTCCGTTATCGTAGGCAGGATTGCCTTACCCTGCTCCGTGATCTTCTCAATATCGTCCTTCACTCTCTTCGATTCCTGCTCTAATTTTTCATATTTAACTAATTGTTCTTCGAGCACCTCCAAGTTTGGAGCTCGTATTTCAGCCGATGTCGCTACTTCCGCCTCTTTCAGCCAGCTGTTACACTTGTCGATCTCGTTCTCGAATTGCTTACGTCCCTGAAGTAGATCATCTAGTGCCGAAATCTTTTGTTGCGATTCCTGCTGTAGGTTTTCGTATTCTTCTTTCACCTCGTCTAGAAGAGCTTGCAGGCGTTCGCGCTCGCCTTCGTCGCACTCCTTCAAAATGCTACTGCCCAACTTTAGAACGTCGTTCAGATCACCCTCATTAAAATGCTTGATTTCCGCCTGGTGCAGTTTGTGTTGATAGATTTCTTGCTCGACTTGCAACGATTTAAGCGGCAGGTACCCGCTCAGCTTGCGGATTTCGCTATTTTTAGCCTTAAGCCAAGTCCTTGCCCTTTCCAGGTTAATTTCAAATGTGCGCCGAGTATTGGCGGCGCCTTGAACACGTTCGACTTCTGCCTTAATTTTTTCGACGAGCTCCTCTTGCTCGTTCCCGAGGCTCTTCAGCGCGGCCTCCAATTGGTTTTGCTCTGACGGTTCCAGTTCGTTCGTCATACCGTTCACTCGTTTTAACAACGTCTCTTGTAATATCTTCTTGTTTTCCACCTCCTTCAGCAGCGATTTTAGCGAGTTGAGTTTGTCGTCGACTTTCCTGCTCTCGAATCCGAGAGGTGTTTGTTTCTGGAGCTGAATTGATTTCTGCTTTACCCAGTCGCGGGCTTGTTCGATCTCGTTTCGCGTGTCCTCGATGCCCTTTTTCGTCATTTCCAAAATTTGTGCTTTGCGCTGGAGGCGTTTCCCTATGTCATTATAGCGACGTTCGACGGTTTTAAGTTGTTCCTCCACCTGCTGGGAATCCAGGTTGCTAACTATGTCGATCACCTGCGAACCTAACCGTTTCACTTCGTCAATTCGCTTGGGCCCCTGATCATTAAATTCCGCTTCCAGCTCCAGTATGGCGGACTTCTTCTGTACGCAGTTAAGTCCCGAACCTTTGTCAATCGCGTCGATGCGCTTCACGAGATTATCGAACCAATTGTTGATACTTTGCACGTTTTGCTTAAAGGCGTCTATTACGTCTTGGTTTAACTGTTTTTGCGCAATGGCCGTGATGAGGTCTTCCTCGAGACTATCCAGGAGCTGCTCCAGCTCCTGATTCTCCTCGAGACTTGCGGGAAAATCGGTAACGAACTGGGTTCTTTTTTGGTTAATAGTGGTCAGTAGATCGTTCATATTGTTTAGCTCTTGCTTGGCCGCGTCGATACGTAACTTCGTTGGTCGCAATCGCCACTCGTTTACGATCGACTTTTGGGATACGATCCAGTCTCTTAGTGCCAACCGTTGCTTCTGCTGTTCTTCAAATTCGGCCACGGACGTCGATAGATTTCCAAGATGCGATTGAACCTATCAACGGAAATTGATCGTTAAGAATCGCCGACGTGCAACCCGACATGTTGTAAATGCAAGCCACAACAAAAACGGTACCAACCTTCTCAAATTGGTTGTGCAATTTTTTAATAAAGCCGTGCGCCTCGAGATGATCCAGTAATACTTTAAGTCGACTTTCACTGCCCTCTGGTAGTGTCAGATCCTTGTGTTTCTAAATGAAAGCAAAAACCGTGCAACAGGTGTTAACAACAAACTCAAAAGGAAGGGGTTAATGCCCAAACAACTACACTGGTACTTAGTCACAACTAATTTACCTGGTCGATAAGATCTTCTAGTCGGACCCTCACTTCCATTTCACGGTGCGGAATTGGAGGAGGTAAAATATCCCTAGGACTGCTCGGACGACTGATGCAAGCGGTCGCCGCTTCGCACGCTTGCACGGCAACGGCCAATCGTGATTTTTCCGCTTGCAATTTCCCATGGACCGTCTAAAACAAATGTAAATTCGTCTAGCCAACAGTACAAGCTGGACATTTACCTTAGCGACCTCCAGCTGCGAGTGCGCTTCTTTCAAATTCGCCACGGGTTTATTGAGGTCTTCGCTGATGACCGGTTCGTACGTGTCCAAATTCGACATAATGCTTTCGAGCGTATCTTCGTACTCCTTAAACTTTGCGAGAGATTCGAGTAGGCGATTGCGTATTTGCAGTGCCGTTTGTAAGAGTGAATTGTAACTGTCTTGAACGTTAGTCAGTTGCTTCTCAACGGCATCCTTAAAACCGGGTGCCTCAGCTGCGTACAGATCCACTTGAGCTTTTCCCTTGGCTTTCACTTTGTCAATGTTACTCTGATAGTGCTCGATTTCGTCTAATAACACCTTATGCTGGCCGATTTGCTGTTCGGTTTGCTCGCGGTTAGTGATGTACAGTGAATTGTGGGCCATCAGCTGGAAGGATACTTGCAGCAGCCACTTTTCAATCTCCTGCAGTCCTTGATGGTAGGAATTGTGATCGTTGAGTTCCGCTTCCAATTTTTCCTTTTTAGAGATACACGCTTGGAGTAACTTAAAGTAACGCTGTTCCACTTGCTTGATTTCGTCGAGAACTGTATTTTTCTTGGCCCAGGAACTGAGCTCGCCGGCTTCAGAAATTAAGCGATCCAGATCGATTTTTTTTGTTTCAATTTCTAGAAGTAAGTTCTTGTAACGCTCCAGTAATGTTTTCATCTCGCCTAGTTCCCCGTTAGTTTGGGGAACTTCGGCTAACATCTGCTCGGACTCCGACATCCAGTCTTCGAAGTGCTTTTTCGTATCGGCATAAGATTCCCAACGAGCCAAATCTGCTTTTAGTTGAGCTTGTATTGAAGTAATATCGATCGTCAGCTGATCCCAACTGTTTCTCAAAGTGGTCATGTCCTCGCGTAGACCTTCCTGTTTATTAGGCGGAGTTGTGTCGATGACCTTTGTAAAGGCGTCTTGTAGAACCGCCAACAAGTGCTGTCCTTCTGTCATACGAATAGACACTAATCTAATTGTCTCTAGCTTGTCCTTGATAATGCTCTCATCACCAACTCCGATACAGTCTTGTACACTTCCATGTGCGGTATACAACCAGTTTTCCAACTCCTTCTTCGCTTTAATAAATTCGGTGTGATCGGACAAATTTTTCTCGAGTTTAGAAACTAAACCTTGAGCGGCCGTAAGCAAATTCGTGTAGGCTCCTTGCAGCTGCACCGTATGGTCGCGTACCCACGCGCAGGAACATAATTCCATCAACGACTCACAATCGTCATTCAAATCTTCCAACTTCGGTTTTTGGGATACGATCTCATTTAGTAACTTCCGACACCGCTCCAAGTCTTCGGGTGTTTTATTTTCCGCTTCCTGTTCCACGTTCACCATCTGCTGGTGTTCATCCAACCACTTGGATAGTTCCTCATAATTTCCCGTGAAATTCTCCCACGCATTCAGGCAATGAGTGAGCGCCTTTTCGGTATCGCGACAAATCGCCTGCAACCCCTCCCAGTCGCTGTTCAACTGTTCGCCCTCTTGCTTAATCACATATTTACCCTCATCCGAGGTGGTTTTCATGACGTCGTCACTGAGTTCCACCGTTTTATTGACGAGGGCCTCACATTCCGGAAGTTTACTCAAAATATCGCGCGCGTTACTTTGTTTTTCAATAATTTTACCCTTTTCTTCGTGGAGATCGGAACATTTTTGAACTTCCAAACGTACTTTACGAATCCAATCCATTGTACTGTCAAACGACAACTTGTACTGACTGTGTCTTTCGACTTGATTTTCCAAACTCTGAATGGCGTCCTCGATTTGTTGACGGAGATCGTTGTAACGGTTAAATGTGGTTTCGTACTCGTCCACTTTTAATGTGGAGTCTTCGGTCAATTTCGCCTTGAGTTTCTCTACCAGGTCACTTTGCGAACCTAGCTCTTTCAAAATTGCTTTGAACTTCTCTAACTTTGCCTTTTTCTCGCTTAAGTCATTTAAATACTCTTGCTCGCCTTGCAGTTGTTGCTCGATGTCGTTTAAACAGTCTTGCAACAGCTTGTGCAACTTTGCAATTTCTTCCAACTGGGTCATTCGACCGGTTAGCTTGTTTCTAACGTCGTTTACATCATTCAGCAATTTCTCCATGTCTAGTTTTAGATTTTCCGTGTCTTCCTCTATTTTCGCCGCGCCCGCTTGCTCGGTGTTGATGATGACCTTCTCCTTAAGTTCGAGTACGTACCTCAGCTTGTTTTGGCCTTGCTCCAAGGAAGTACGTATTCCCTTAACCATCTGCAGTTTGTTCTTTACCTCGTGTAAAGTACCCGGTACGTCCTGGCACTCGTTGAGTTTTTCACGGGTTCTTTCCACCCAGTCTTGACATTCTTGATATAGCGCGTTGTGCTGCTGATGTTCTTGGTAATGTAACTCTAGACGCCTCATTATCTCTTTCGCCATCGAAAGTATCGCGTTATACTTCGTGGCAAGTTGAGTGACCGCATTGCTGATTCTAGTATCGGCGCACGTTTCGAGTAACATTTGCGCTTTCATATTCAACTTATCCAAATCTCTCTGCCAATCAAACAATGTCTGTAAATGACCTTGGAACTGTTCGAGAACCAGCCTCTTGTCCTCCAGATTGTTTTGCAGTTTATTGTAGGACTGCACGAGTTTTTCCGTTTTTGCCAACCAATCCAAAGCGTCTTGGTATTGACTTTCGTATTCGGCCCATTTCACAATTCCCGTTTCCAAAAGATTCTTGGTATTGTTCAGCATTTCTACGTAGTTGTCGAAATCGTCTTGTAAGAGTGCTACCTCTTCTTCTATAATTTCCCTATCCTCTTCGTCGGCACCCTGACAAGCCGCCTCCCCAGTTTCTAACACAGTTTCGAGCTTCGCTTTTCCTTCGGGGATTTCGCTGTGCAACACCTTGAGCTGAGACAGTTTGCTTCCGAGACCTTCCTTGTCGCCAGTTGGTTCGGAACATTTGCTCAAACGTTCTTTTGCAATTCGAAGCCATTGTACAAAGTCGTTTCCTAAAACAAACGTATTAGCACTTTTCCGGGGGGAATTTTTCTGTAACTAACCGGAATCGATGAAAGCCTGATGCTGCTCCACAGTTTCCTTTTGCTTCTCATACAGCTCCTTGGCTTGCTTGGACAAATTCTCGTACTTGTTAGAAATTTCCGATGCTGGAGCTGCTTGCATAAGGTCTTCCGCTTTAGACGCGACCGACTGTATCACCGGTTCGAAAGAGACAATATCTTGCACTATGCTGTTTGTTTCTCGCAAGGTGGCCTTCCGCTCGACGATGGGTAACGAGTTCAACCCCGTCGGCCCTTTGGTCCTCTCAACCTTTTGTTCGGACACCTGTTGCAGTTTGGCCTCGCGATCCGTAATCCACTGTTGCAACTGAGAATATGAACTGTCATAGTCGGCCCATTGCAGTAGAGCGGTTTCGAGATGCACTTTCGCGGTTGACATTTTCTTTACCAGTTTTTCCCAATCGCTTTGTAATTGCTTAAGTTCGTTGTTAACAATTTCTCGGCCGTCCGAGCGAGTGTTGCGCAACACCTTCTCGCCGTTATTGACAGTTGCGTGCACCAGGTTTTGGCCCTCCTCTCTCTTTAACAGCAGCTCCTGAATTTGATCTAGACGCGCTTGGAGAGTTTCCTTGCTGGTAGTTGTGGACGATTCGGAGCAATTACGGATTAACTCGCGTGCGTTCTCAATCCAGGCGCGACTTTTTTCCAAACTCTCCAGATATTGGCGGTGCTGTTCCAAGTTGGTTTCCACTTTCTTCAACACGTCCTTGGCAAGATTCAACTCGACTTGATATCTTGAGTTAAGATGTTGTAGTTGATTGTTGACGTAGGCGTCCAGGTGGGAATTCAACAGGACTTGAGCCGATTGATTGAATTTATCAATTTGCTCCTTGCCCGCTTCCAACTTTTGCAAAATGTCTTTGACATCTTCCACTTGCTTCTCTTTTTCAGGCACATTAGCCGACAATGCAATTTTTTGATTTTTAATCAAGATGGCGATTTGTTGCAGCCAGTCAGAGAGGCGCTCGTACTCATCTTTGTAATCGCGCCAATGTACCAGAACAACTTCCAATTGATCCTTTTGCTCCTTCAGATCTAAAATTAGAGATTAGCCTACTCGTATTTTGGTGACAAAATTACCTTTAAATAGACGCTCGAAACTTTCGCGAAGCGCGCGATTCTCGTTTCTGATAATTTCTTGACCCGCCGGGCTGGTGGTTGGCAAAACAACTTCGGCACTTTGCTCCAGGTGATCCAAAAGCACCTCGCCTTGAGCTTGCTTATTAAGCAGAGCGTCAATGGGAGCCGCTAAGTTTTCTACCGCTAACTTATCGCTTAGCGGACGCTGCTTAATTTGTGGCATCTTCTCTTGAGCTCTAATAAGCCAGCGTTGTAACTCGTCGTACGCGTCCTTGTAGATTTTATGGTCTTTGTATTGATTCTCCCGTTCCAATAAAAGTTTCTAAAAAACGGAACTAAGACCCCACACAACTGGTTTACGGTAAAACTTACCCCAATACTTTCGGCCAAATTATTAAATTTGTCCAGAATGGATTTGGCTTGTGTTGCCGCCTGACTCTGCTGTCCACTGGCCAACATTTCAATCGCTTTGGCACTCAGATTATCAACCTCAATCTTTTCGCACCGAGTCTTCTCCTCGACCGCCTTGACACGATCGAGCTGCGCCCGTTTTTCCGGTATGGAACTTTGGAATTCGGATAATTCGGATAGCTGGGTCTCCATCCAGCTTATTATCTTGTCAAGTCCTTGTATCTGTTCAAGTAATCCCGCCCACTTTGTAATGGAATCATCTATCAGCGCCTTGGTTTCGATCATTTTCGAGGCCAAATTTGACCATTCCTCTTGTAGATTGGCAAGCGTCTGATTGATCAGGTCGTGTCCGCTAGGTGCGGTGTTTACAAGAACGCTCTGCGCCAACTCGACTAAGACTTGAATTTTTGCCGAGCCCTCCTCCTTGCCTAGCAGCAAGTCTTGAATGGTCTCCAGCTTGTTTTCCAAATCTTTTTGGGAGGGCGCCGATAAATCGGAACAATAATTAATCTTGTTTTTAATATCGTCGAGCCATTCGACACATTCTGTTACCTTGGCGTCGAGGTCTTCGTGGACGGTGTAGTATTGTTGCCATTTCGTAACCATCTCCTTGATCTTCTGTGCGATTTGCTGATACTTGATTCCCAGTTCAGAAACTTGCGATCCCCGAGCGCCAACGGTCTTGGTCAGTTGCTGCGATCGCTCTGTGACCGCGTCAATCTCGAGCTCCTTGGCGCGTATTTCACCCTGTAACTTCTTCAGATTATCGAACTCTTCCTTTTTAGTCTTCGCCGTCGGTTTCAGATCTACTAAATGCAGTTTCGTATCTGTATCGCGAATCCATGCGAGAATTTGATCTTTCATCGACTCGTATTCTGCCCAGCCTTGCAGTCGACTCTCCAACGCTTTCACCGTGTTAGAGATTAGGGAATTGAGGGCGGCCCATTCTTGTTGCGAGCTGTCGATTTGGGATCGAATGTTAGCTTGTCCATGCTCAATTGTACCGGGAATTACTTTATCGCCGATTTCTTGAATTTTAACAATTCGGTTTTCTTCCTCGGGAAGGCTCTCTTGTAAGTTTTTCAAGCGTTTCAAGTTTGAGTGTAAAGTCACCCTTTCGAGTTCCGTATCGGCCCAGAGAGTGATTGTGTTATTCGTCGCGTCTATCCACTCGTGTGCGTCCAAGACGGCCTTGCTGTACTGTTGATGGTTGCTGACTATGGCTTCGTAACGTTCGACGAACTGCTGCGCTCTGTTTAGTATCTTGCCATGTTGCTCAACAAGGGTCGACAGTTGTTGGTCCACATTTTCGTTGCGTTCCGGTAGATTGTCGATTTTATCTCGCAGATTGAGTATGTCTTGCTGATGCGCTAAGGCGTCGTGTAAAAGCGTACGATAAATCTGTAACTGGGCTCGTTTTTCGTCTAAAGTGGCTTTGAGTTCTAATTCCTGCGGCAATTGATACTCGGCTTGTTTCACCCACGCCTTGATTTGATCAACGCAATCTTCAAAAGAACTCCACCTATTCATAAGTAGAAACGTATACATACCCATGTTAAATTAACAATGTTACCTGTGCAATTTTGTTTTGAGATCCCTGGAGGTACTGCCGATACCGTCAAATAGAGCATCTAACATTTGTTGCAGCTCTTGCAATTGGGCACCGATCGCCTCTCTTCCATCAGCTGACGTTGTGGGATAGAGCTTCTCTCCAACTTCAACCGTGTTGTTCAAAAGGAGTGTCGCACTGGGTTGTTGTGCCAAAAGTTCCTCCAATACCTTATTGCTTTCCACAAGAACGGGGCGCGCTCCAGTTTTCATTTTCTGTCGACACGAGTCAAATCTGCAAAATCAATTAGTCGTTTCTCAGACACAGAATCGAAAAACGCACCTCGATTTCGCGGCAGCTATCCAATCCGAACATTGGCGATACTTCTCATTGTAGAGTTTGTGCTCGTTCACGGATTGCTCGCACTTTTTAACAATTTCCTTTGTGGTCGCTTGCACGGTTTGGAATCTAGAGGTAATCTGTTGTACACTAACAGAAATTCGGGTCTCTCCGCTCTCCTGCATGAGTTCGGTAGACTGGTCGGAAAGTTTATCGAATTCGGCCTCATAGTGCTTCAAACTCGACAGTAAAGCCTAAAGAAGAACAGATTAAGAAATTTACGACAATTACTTGCTGATGACTAAAGCGCCCTATAAGAAAATCCACAAAAACTCACTTGATACTTCTCCAGTTGCTCCTGCTTCTCTTCAAGAGTCGCCTTCAAACCATAATTTTTCAGTGACGCTTCCGTCTCGGTCAACCACGTCAACAGTCTATCCAGCGACGTCTCATAATCGGTCCACTGCTTTATACGCCCTTCCAACGCGAACTTGGCATCATTCAAAGCCGCAACGTATTTGTCCAAATCGAACTTCATATTCGTCACGTCTCGCTGCATCGACTCCTGCGCGCGAGCCGGCAGAATCGAAATCTTATTGTTGACGTGATCTTCCAGTTCGCGCAGCGTGATGGTACCCGACGGCAGACGGTCCTGAAGATCGTTCACTTTGTTCAAGCGTTCCTGTAACGCCGACTTGTTGCCGCTATAATCTGAGTAGCTCTCCAGCTTGTCCCACAGCTGCTTCTGATAGTCCTGGTGCGCCTTTTGGAGGTCGTAAAACTGCTGATAGACGTCGAGGAATTGCTCCAATTGCTTTATGCCGACCTGAGCATTGTTCACTAACGCCTGGTAGCGAATGTTGATTGATTTAATGCTCTCGTCAACATCATCTTCCTTTCCGCTGGTTAATTGTGCGAGATTCTTCGCCTTGTCTGTTACGCCTACAAGATCACGCTTACAGATTTACATAACGTAGCAACGGTCTTACCTTCGATGATCCTCTTGTACGAACTGATCTCTTGCATTGCAGTTTTCTGCTTCAGCAATTTGGAGCGCACCTCTTGAATGCTGTTCCAAGCCGAGGAGTCAATTTGAATCGCCTTTTCCATACCGTGCAGCCACGCCAATGTTTGTTGTAACATATCCTGGTAGCTCGACAACTGTTGAGTTTGGGCGTCTTGCAGTTTTTGTTGTTCCAGTATGCCTTCCTGAAGTGCATCCCAGCGTTCTTTTACCCCTCTGAGCTCGTTCCGTATTGATTCCCTACCGGGAGCAGCGGTATCCGGGTAGAGTTTTTCACCTTGAAGGGTGACGGCGTTTAATTTATGATCCCCTTGTTCCTTTTCAGAGAGTAGAACTTGTAGTCTGTTCAATTTGGCCTCCGCGTTGTTGGCCAATTCTCCATGTTGTAATGTGGATAGGTGTTCTTCCAGCGGAGTAAGCCATGTAGAAATTTCCTCTAGTTTATCTTGGTAGCTACGGTGTTCATCGACGACCTTCTGCGATTTGCTGATTACCTCTTTGCTTTGAGCGTGTAGGGTTTGGTAGCGGTTGTTGATCTGCGATATGATCGGTTTGATGCGTTGCACCTCGCTCGTCTGCAGAAGGACGTGACCACTATCGACGAACGCGTCTACCTCACGTTCCTTTTTACCAACTGCATCCTTCACGTTTCTAAAATTTTTGAGTTGGGCTTCCTTTTCTGGCAGCGTCGAACAGAGCATTTGGTCTCGAAATTTGCCTTCGTGCTCCGCGAACCACTCGTTCAGTTTTTTAAGGTCGTCTTCGAACTTCTCCCATTCCTTCAATGCATCCAGTTGTTTCATTTTCTCTTTGTCTGCAATAATAAAATTAGAAGGCTTATGTCAAGGCTAATACGTACCTATCGCGTCCATATGTTGCTCCAATAAATTTTGACAGACGATTAATTCCTTTTCAATTTCCTCATTGCCTTTTGGCGCCGTACTTTGTTTCAAGGAGTTCGCCATTTGCTGCAACTTCTCTAGTAAGTTTAACCCGTCCTCTTTGTTGCGCTTTAAAGCTTCGATTGCGTCTATTCTTTTCGAAATGTCACATTTTTCGCCGGTGACGTCGTTGTATTCCTGCAATTTTTCCGATTCGGTTGCTAGCCAATCTCTAAAGGCGTTCACTTGCTGATTGTACAGGTTGTGGCTGTCAACGCATTCTCCCAAGTTAGCCAATAGGCCTTCGGATTTGTTGACGATTTCTTTAAACAGTTGTTTGATAGATTGAAGATAAACGTTAAGTGACTTGTCCTTGGTCTGATCGACTAATTGCTGCGCTTTATCGCAGACCGAATCCACTAGCTGCTGGTGGGACGTAATCTCTTGGTGCATTATCCTATGGTTCTCGAGCTGCGCCCGTTTCTCTTGAAGGGTCGATTTCAGTTCAGTTTGAGCATACATCGCTTTTTCGACGTTCTTCAACCACTTCGTCAGTTGTTCTTGAGCGGTGGTGAAATCGGAGAATTGGATCAGGCATTGGTCGAGTTTATTTGACGCGTTTTGTAGATCGTCGGTGAATCCGTCCCATATCGTTCTTAAATTGCGCAATTGTTGCCTTATTATCTCTCTTCCATCTGGAGATGTGTGGGCGTAGAGTTTCTCTCCCTCCTCGATTAGGTTCTCAAACGTTTCGCTTTGACGGTTGCGATCGTCGATGAGTTCTTTCAGTTTTCGCTGACGATCTTGAATAGCCTCAATGTCTCCAATGATGTGTCCCAAATTGTGCAAATCGTCTTGCTTTTCAGATAGCCACATAACAAACGTAGCGTAATTCGCATTGAAGGTCTTGTGTTCGTCGACGAAGCTGCCGTACTTACTTATGCCTTCTTTAACGGCATTCTTTAGGGAATCGTACCGCGTAATCATTTGCGATGCGTGAGCGTAGAGTTCAGATTTAGAATCTACATCGTCGGCCTGCTGGGCGAGCCTCTTAAAGTCGTCTTCCTTGCCGCTGATCTCCACCTGTAAACCTTCCAGTTTGTCCAAATGCGTCTTCTTGGTTTCCTCCGTACTGCGCAAACTCTGATCTTTCACTTGGCCCTCTTTCTGTTTCAGCCACGCTTCCAAATTTTCCACCAGCCCACTGAACTCCTTGTGCTTTGTGTAAATTCTACTAACATCGTCCTTTCCATTGGAGCACAAATTCAAAAATGTGTTCCAAGCTTGCACTTGGGTTTCATAACTGTTGATCAGCGCCGGGTGTCCTTCAGGAGCAGTTTCGCTAAGCACCGTTTCCAGTTGATTTTTACACTCGTTCAACATTTTATCCCCCTCTTCCTTTTGACCGAGCAGGTTTTCTAGAATACTTAATTTTGTTTCGGTATTTTCAATGGATGCGCCGTAAATCAACGATGTCGCTTCCGCAACCAAAGCGCTCAACCAACTTCTACACTTCTCTATGCTTTGATTGAAACCTTCATGATTATTACTGTACGTCTCAAACGCCGCAACTCTGGCGTTCACGTCATCGGACAGCTTCTTGTACTTTTCCAAACTATCGTGGAAACCCGAATCGCCTTCGGCGTCTTCAATCTGCGCGATCTTGTCCTTTAACTGCTGTAGAATGTTTTTGTGCAAGTTTACGTCTTGAGCCAACGTCTTATAGTTATGCAACGTGTCTTTCTTTTCCGAAAGTGTCGCCTTCAACGTGACCCGATTGCCCAATTTTTCTTCGGCATCCGCAATCCAAAGCTTCACCTGACGCAAGCTGTCCTCGAACGAGTGCCTTTGCATCAAAATGCCCTCGACTCGCTTATAAATTCCGTTCACTTTGTCAATGAGCGCCTCCGACTTATCACGCAGGTTTCTTAGCTCGGTACGAATGACCTCCTTATTTTCGGGAGTTATACCCGAAAACAAAGCTTCCCCATGCTCCATGGCGGTTCCTAACAAAGTCTGTCCCTTTTCCCTTTCGCTCGCAAAGTTCTTCAGCTCCTCCAAAGTGGCCTCGTTCGGCTTGGAACCGCGTGTGGTGTATTCCCCGAAAGTTTTCACTTTTTGTTCGGCCTTCTCTAGCCAGTCTTCGACGTCCTTGATGCTATTTTGATACAGCTCCTTGTACTTATTCAATTCGTCCAATTTCTCCAAGTAACTCGAGAGGAACTTCACCACCGCCTGATATCTCGTGTTAAGGTGCTGGGCGAATTGCGCGACCCGAGACTCTGGCGTTTCCTTAACCATGCTGTCACTCAGCTCGATCAATTTCTTAATCTCGTCTTCGTAACCGCCGACCGCGTTTTGAAGCGACTTAATTTCGTCGATCTTCGTATGTATGTTGTTGAGATCTAGTTGGGTTACGCTTTCCCCGCGGACCTTGTTTTCGATGTCTTTCAGCCACGAGGAGATCGCGTCGGAGAGTGTTTCGTAATTTTGGTGCTGGTTGATATTGTGTTCGAGTAGTTCTTTGGTGGCGTTATGAGAGTGCTTCAAGTTTTCTAGCTCAACTTCGAGGTGATCCTTTTCGGCCGTCATCAGCTTGTAACTTTCAGGTGTTTCAATGGGTTCCAATAGTTTTAGCGAGTTTTGCAATTCATTTTTGCGATTTTCACAGTCTTGGATGGCCGCTTGAACTGAATTGATCGCGTTGAGCTTAACTTCGAGATTGTACTTATCGCTGGCAGGCTCTGGGTGACACCATTGCACCTTTTCCTTTTGAGTCGCGATGATTCTTTGCAACGCTCCGTATTTCTCATTGTGGTATTTCTTTAAGAAGGAAATTAGGGTGTTCTCAATTTTATTGGCGTGCGACAACACACCATCGTATCGTTTTTTGACCAGCTGCTGCTCTTTCGGTAAATTGCTTTCGGAAAATGAAGGATAGATTGTTTTCATGCCGATGATCTGCTGCTCAATTTTCTTAATGTCCGTATCGCAGTTTGTTAATTGGCCTTTCAATTTCTGACAGTTGAGCAGACGATCCAAGATTTTCGCGTTGTCGCCTGATAAATCTTCACACTTCACGATTTCCTCGCGTATGGCAGAAATTTTATTTCCGGTATCTTTGATGTCCTTCCGGATTGCTTTTTCTTTATCACCGTAGACCGAAGTAACCTTTTGCAATTTGTCGGCTCGTTCTTGTAGATCTGCAAATTGCTGTTCTAACAGATTTTCTAAAGTGGCAACCATGGGTAATTCTTGCACGTTATTTAAATTCGCCAACTGCTGATGTTTAAGGGGTATACTCTGCTTCAAACTTTGATACGCGGGCAATTCTTCTTTGTACTTGACCAATTTCGCTTGTGCCACCTCAACCTCGTTGGGTTTTTCCGCGGCAGCGCTCAGGCTCGAATTTTGCTCCCCGAGCCACTGCAACAGCTTAATTTTGGTTTCCTCGAGATGCTGCCAAATTATGCTTTGCGCCTCCGCCGTCTGCGCCACCTTCAATATTTTTTCATACACACTCGACCAGTGCTTCTGGCATTCCTTTATCTCCGACCTCACTTCAGACTCCATCTTCGGAATAAAATCGGCCTTTTTCCCTATCGATTCGGCTTTAGATTCCAATTTGTTCAGAAGGATTTTTGTTTTTTGCAAAGCTTCCAGAGCTCTTCGGGCGTTTTCGTTGTTCGCATTGGCCTGGATATAATCCGAAGGTGTCTGTAGCGAATCGCACACCTGTTCGACTTTTTCGATCTCCTTTTCTGTTCGATTCTTCATTTCTTGGAACTCCTTCCACGCGAAAATAATATCGCCGTACTTAAGCTTTTCGGTTTTTATCGCGTCCTGAACGGCGTCCCACTTTGAATCCAGAGCCGATATCGTACTCTGAATCGCAGTTGCGTTCGGCAAATCTTCCTTCATAAGTTGTTCGCCTTTTCTCTGTAAGTTTTCCCTTACCGGTGCGGTTTGAACGTGACTTTCTAAAAGTCGATTTATTTCAGCTACTGCCCTCTGTAGATCTTCCGGATTATTCACGCTGTCATTTATTTGTGCTAACTGGGCTTGAGTTTTATCAAGGTTTTCTTGAACTTGTCGTTGCAAATCTGTGAATGCATCTCGATGTCCCTGTAGCGCCTCCAAGGTTTTTAGTTTGTCGACCAGTTGCGTCTTTAGGTTGATTGTTTTCACTTCAATGTCGCGCACCAACTTCTCACCACTGCTTGGTAGCCCGGTATTTTTATCCAAAATGGTCACACTCGCGATTTGATCGATTTCGGGTGCCTTTTGTTTCCAAGTTATTAACTTGCTAATGATCGTTTCCGTTTCTTTAACTAACACCTGCAGATCTTCCGGTTTTGCCTTTTGACTATCGATTTGATACTTTATGTGAGATAGCTGGCGGGCGGTCTCATCGTGCCAATTCAGCAAATCGGTCCACTTTTCCAACGCATTCTTTTTCTGCTGAAGCTGTGTCTCCAGATTTTGATAGCTGCCCACCAAATTCGTATATTCTTCTGTGAGCGATTGGTTTTCTTGCGGGGTGTTCTTCAAACTCAACGCCTTAACATCTTCATAAATTGCGTTGAAGGCCGGTTGCTTGTCCGAGTGCTCCTGAAGCAACGCGTGTACGTTTATCAACGCGGCATCTACCTTATCGGCTCGGATTTCGTCGACTTTAGCTACGTTTCCTTGGAGATTATTGGCCCAGTTGGAGAATTCCATCATTTTTCCTTTAAATTCGTGCCTGGTTAAAATAGCGTCGGAAACCTCATTTATTTTTGCTCGTAGGCCCTCCGAAAGGTTCGTAACTTTGCCTTTTATATCTTGAACTCGCCCTTTAACGATCGTTGCACCTTCCGGGGCCAATCCGTGGCTGATTGAATCGCAGCTTTGCGTCAAATTGATCAACTTCGCTTGTTGCTCCGAAACCTCTTTGTTAAACGCTTTCAATTGAGCGAGCTGCTTTTCCAATTTCTCCACATCGGGCGCATCAAGGTTAATGGTTTCGGCTGCCAACGCGTTTTCACTGTTCACTACCCAAGCTTCCAAAGTTTTTGCGTTACCGTCAAATTCATCCCAATTCTTCACTAATTTTTCGAGCTTGTTGGCGTGCTGAACCGCATTGTCTTCAATGACGGTCCAACGCGAATGTATCGCATCGACTTCGTCGGGGGCGTGCGTTTTTGTTACAATCTGCTGACTAATACCCACAACCCCTTGTAACTTCTTCAATTGATTACCGCACTCATTAGAAAACTGCTTCGATTGATTACGCAGTAGCACCGCCTCCTCTAACGTGGCCGGTTTCGGCACACCGGTATGCATACTCACCTCGGCCTGCTCGATCCAGGGCTTAATTTCCCGGATCGCGCTCTGGTACTGCTTCCAATTCTCCAAATCTTGAACTATCGCCACCGACTCTTCGTCGACGTTTTTGTGTATTGCCGCCATTTTGTCGTGTATGGCGACGACCTCCGCTCTAACTTTATTCGCTTCGGGGTTAGACTCGTCGATAATCAGATCGCGCGTTATCGCTTTTAGTTGATTAGCCAGATCCACCTTGTGCACGATTTCGTTCTTCAGCTCGGTAGCTTTCTGTATGCGGTCTTCCGGTGCAGTATTATCCTCTATTGCCTTTAACATTTTCGGCGCTTCTTGTACAGTCCAGCTCTGTAGGTCCCCCAGCCGATCATGGTACTGCGTCCATTTGTCGTTCAACTGCTGCAAATACACGACGCGCTCCTCCACCGTTTCGATGGTACTGTCCAGATGTTCCTCGATCTCTTCGATCTCCTTTTCGAAAGTGGGCCTTTTCGCGGGCACTGCTTGCTCTCCCAGTTTCGTACACAGATCTCGCAACCTCTTCAAGATTTCTTCGGTTGCTTGCCGTAAGTAAATGCACATTTCTTGTTTGGCCTGTAAATCGGCAGGAATATTGGTCGAGGTGTATTGTCCTAGCGGTATACGCTGAAGTTCGCGGTGTGCTCGGGTTAGCAGTTCCAGAATTTCAGTTTTTTGTTCGTTGAAGCTCGACCAAATTGTTTGGGTCGTTTTCAGTTTGTTGAGTTTGTCGACGGTCTCTTTGTAGGCGTCGTTCCAACCGGTTTCAAGTGCTTTGATTTCTTCGTGCACGAACTCGGGCGCGGTCGGCTCCTTTGCGAGCTCCTTGCCACGTTGCAGCATCGTCATAATGTTGGGTCGCTGCAAATCCAATTGCGACACGGCGATTTCCTGTTGTTGAATCATTTGGTTTACATTTTCCAAGGTTTCCGGGTGATGGTCGTGCTTGGACTGCTCCTTTACCTTCTTCAACAGTTCGCAAACTTCCCGAACTTCCTTTTTGTATGTGTAGCACTTGGTCAGAGTTTCCGTTTTGGTCATTGTGACTTCCAGAGTCGGTATTAGGTTTTTATAGCGAGTAATTAGTGCTTCTAATTTCTGCTGTTCCTCAATTGCTTGCGTTTCGGGACAGTGACTTACTAGAGAGTCGAGAGTTTGAACCAACCACTTCATGTCTTCGCGTTTGGCGTCGGCGTCCTGGCAGATTTTCTGGAAACAACATTCTTATCGATTTGTGCGTGCAAGTGGCGACACTTACCTGGAAAAGAGCCTTTTCTCGATCAAAATCCTCCATGGTCTTGAGATTAGTGAAGACGCTGCTCACTGACCTGTCAACCTCATTCATCCACTGCACCATGTTTTGGAAACGATCGTGGTAGTAATTCCACTTCTCTGGTATTCGATCCAATTGTTCGCGCAACTTTTCAACTTTGAAATTAATATTCTCCCACTGTTCGTTTGCCTTAGTACAGGATTCCTTTAATTTTGACTCCTCGGGATGGTACTGCGAGTAGGTAGTCGCTATTTTCTCTAGGTTCTCCAAACACCGTTTGGTCTCAGCCAGGTGTCCGTGAGGAGCGAAAAATACCTTATTTCTTGTGATTATGGACTCGACGTTCTCTTGCTTATTAAATGCCTGTTGTTCGATTATGATCTCTCTTTCTATTTCTTTAATGTAGTGCGTGAAAGCGGTTTCGTCCAACCTAAATTCCAAGCGCATCAGATGAAGGGGCGCAAATGATAAAATTTCCTTCCATTTCGCTTGTAGGCGTTCCACAGAGTTACTGATGGGCTTTTGTTCTTCGCTCGGAAGGCAGTTCTTCAGATCTTGACTGGTTTGAACCAAATCGTGAATCCAACGCTCGTTGACACTTTCAAAGAAGGTTTTGTGAAACTCGACCGTTTTCCTGGTATCGATATGTTTTTCGGATATCAACTGTTCGGCTTTAGAAAGCCAGGACGATATGACGCGCTCGCATTCGTTGAAATTATACCAGCTGCGTATGGCTTCTTGCATCTTTTGTTCCCAAAGATGTGCGTTTTTTATCACATACTCGAAACGCTCGTTTAATTTTTGCATTTTATCGTTCATCTCTTGTACGTCTGGATTTGTTTGTTGATCGACGGCCTTTTCGATTGTTTTCAAAACTTTATTCTTGCTGTCCAGCATGGATTGGTAGTAGAGGGTTCGGATAAAGAACTGTTTGTGTTTCTCCAACTGCGTGTGCAAATTTTCTTGCCCTCCGGCGAGCGTTAACTCACTTAGAAGTGTTTCGGCATCATCAAGCCACTTTGATATCTCACGCTGGCCGGACTCCAGCGATTCCTGTTGGACTAGCAGTTGGTTGAATAGATGTATTTGAGCGGGAATCAAAGCACGAATTCGAACGAGAGCTTCCTTTTCGTTTTTCAAAGTGTTCATCATTTTATCCACTTCGTCTCGAGATAGATCTTGGATTAAAGTTTGGAAAGTTTTGCTGATACCCTTGAAGAGGTCTTCAATTCCTTTCACTTCGCCTTGCAATTGAAGTAAGCTCTCGCCGTGCGCTCTGATTTTATCCAGAGACCCCAATTGCTGCGAATTCAAGATCGTTTCGGCTTTACGCAACCAATTCGATAACACCTCGACGCCCGCCCTAAACTCCTTTCTGTTGCGCAGTATATCGCCGGCGTGACTATATTTATTGACGACCGGATATAACTTATCCCATCGAGAGGTCATCTTGGCGAAGTGCTCCCTTAAGTCCGCCGCGATTTTGTCTTCACACGTGGCTATGAGGAAACTAACAGTATCGCCTAATAACTGATAGTTATCTCTCCAAACGCTTATGTCTTGGAAGAACTCCATTCGCTCTTCTTCAGGAAGCTTGATGGCCTCTTCCGCCTTATCTAACCATCGATCGAATTCCACCGATAGCGAATCCCATCGTCTCCAGTACGCCACGACTTCCTCCAACATGCTTTGCACACACCTCAGCTCCATCGAAACGTTCTTCCACCTTTCGGCGGTATTGCGAAGAAATCTCTCGATATCCTGGCGCTCGTTTTTATCTGAAACACATCAATATAGAGCTTCCCTTTGGCAATATGTCAAGGTCTACCTATATTTCCATCACGCTGATACTCCTCAACTACGGCCTGCATATCGATGAAGGCCTTGTTGAACTCCTGGAAAATGTGGTTTTTGGATACAAAATTGCGGTACTGATCTAAAAGTTGAATGACTTTATCTACGTGTCCATATTTGATCGTCCACCCTCTAAGCTTGGTTTCCGTCAGTTGCAAAAAGGCAATAAGGCAGCACTAAAATTACACGCGATTAGATGCCAGTTCGTCAACTGTATACTACTCACCTTGTGTTCAAGGAATTTAAGTCTAATACGTCTTTGAGCAGCTTTGGGTCCAATTTCGTTCAGTCTCAAACTCATATTTTCTAATTGGGCAGAAGGCACTTCTTTCGCTAGTGGACCGTTGCAAGCTTGCTCAAATCTCGTTTGTATATTAGGTAGTTCGGCAAAAAACGCTTTATGTTCCTCTAACTTTCTACTAATAATAGTTGCAGTCTCTTCGTTCATAGCGGTGGGTATATCGTCGGTGTAGATCAGCCTTTCGGCATTCGCTAACCATTCGCCGACGTATTTGAAATCACCGGGCAATTTGGAATCTAGTAACCACAGCCAATAACGCATTTGCATCTCTAGTTGATTCCACAGCCTGCTAACGTCCAACCACGACTCTTTGGTAATCGAGAGGATGCTCTGAGCTTCTACGAGCAATCTGAGTTTGTTGTATACGATCGCCTTATTCTCCACTTCTTCTTTAAATTTCGTATATTCGTTGTAGTCGAGCGGCAGAGAGTTCGTCTGCTGCAGGTGCTCCAAATACTGGGTCTTCTTTAATAGCCAAGACACCAAGTCGTTAAATTCGTCCTGAATGGCAGCGATAGCGTCCGGTCCCGTGCTTTTCGGTTCGGGATACTTGTGAAGAAATTGCGCGACGTACGTCATGATACTTTTCTCGTCCGGTTTCGGCACGTCCACATCTTCCGGATCCAGCAGCTTCGTTATACCCAGATCCTTTTCGGCGACGTCGAACGCCGTCTCCAGACGCACCTTATTCGTCTCCTTGCGAAGTTCCGCCAGGTTAATTAGGTTCGCCTTGATGGCGTCGATTATGGCTAGGAAGGCCACTCCGTCTCTCCAGCTTGCGCCGAAGTCTCTTATTTCAATTCCGGCGTCGCTGCAAAGAACAATAATTATACATTACACTAAAATTAGTTTGGCACATAATTCAGGCAGTAAGCGCATCGAACCAAATAGTTTGAAACTATTTAAAGACACGGTGCCTTAATTCTGGACAAGGATTTATGGTCTACTGCTTGCAATAATATACAACACCGATCGAGCTACATGTTTATTTTACGGAAGTACAGAAGATATTCAATTACACTTAGTTTAGGAATCTCAAGAAACATATATTGCACATTTTTGAAAATATCGTAACAAGGTGTTTATGACTGATGTATAAAGGTATACTACGTGAATTCAAAGTACAGAAAGAAAACATTTTCTGTGCATCCGCATTTATTTAATACGATAAGGGCAATTATTAATTATTTACATAAAAGTCAGGAAAATGATTACTTGTGAGGAAATATTGAAGTACGAGGCCCCTTAGTCTAGGCGATAGAGACTGTAAAATTGGCAAACTGGACATTTTGAGGTGGAAAAGAAAAAAATGGTGGGATATGTTCAGTTAGGTGTCAAAACAACATATTAAAAATCCCACCCTCCAGACCCTGTGCTAAAGGCTCCAGCCACCCCACCATCCCCCAAAAACCGTGTTTTCGCTCTTTTTGGCTGATATCTCGCGATCTATGAGGTCTATATGAAATATTTTTAGCTGAAAATATTTCTCGGGAAATTTCATACAAGGTAGATACTTAGAAGTTAGCCTAGGTGTACCTCTTAGCCTAGGAAATTCATAAAAGCCGCGGGGCTAAAAAAAAGGCAGTGTATAACCTTCCTTTTTTACCAAAAATCGACTACACCAAAATTTCTCGGGAAAACACTTTTTCTTATTAATTTGTGTGCGTAGAATCCAAATCAATTCGTACTTTTTCGATCAGACTTCTCAATCAAAAGTTATAGACTAGAAACCAATTTGAAAAAAAATTCAAAGGGCTGTAACTTTTGAACTAGTAGCCCAATCTTGGAACTGTTTGAAATTATTGATTCTACAGGCCACATTCTATAAGAAAATTTTTTTTCCGGGTCGATCTGAGACAATTTTTTCTTCGGGGCTCAAAAAAAGGCAGTGTATAACCTTCCCTTTTTACCAAAAATCGACTACACCAAAATTTCTCGGGAAAACACTTTTTCTTATTAATTTTGGTGCGTAGAATCCAAAACATTTCGTACTTTTTCGATCAGACTTCTCAATCAAAAGTTATAGACTAGAAACCAATTTCGAAAAAAAATTCAAAGGGCTGTAACCTTTGAACTAGTAGCCCAATCTTGGAACTGTTTGAAATTATGGATTCTACAGGCCACATTCTATAAGAAAAATTTTTTTCCGGGTCAATCTGAGACAATTTTTTTTCGGGGCTCAAAAAAGGGCAGTGTATAACCTTCCCTTTTTACCAAAAATCGACTACACCAAAATTTCTCGGGAAAACACTTATTTTTATTAATTTGGGTGCGTAGAATCCAAATCAATTCGTATTTCGTACTTTTTCGATCAGACTTCTCAATCAAAAGTTATAGACTAGAAACCAATTTCGAAAAAAAATTCAAACGGCTGTAACTTTTGAACTAGTAGCCCAATCTTGGAACTGTATGAAATTATGGATTCTACAGGCCACATTCTATAAGAAAATTTTTTTTCCGGGTCGATCTGAGACAATTTTTTTTTCGGGGCTCAAAAAAGGGCAGTGTATAACCTTCCTTTTTTACCAAAAATCGACTACACCAAAATTTCTTGGGAAAACACTTTTTCTTATTAATTTGGGTGCGTAGAATCCAAATCAATTCGTACTTTTTCGATCAGACTTCTCAATCAAAAGTTATAGACTAGAAGAGTATCAAATACAATTTTCATTTTCATGTCGCGATGTGGGAAATTAAATGTAAGTAGGTACAACTTGTTTTACTTCCGACTCAAATTGTATAATTAGTGCCAAACTATGGGCGTACATGGGCAGATAGTTTTTGTCACGGACGCGCCCTTAAAAATGATAGTATGTGCATTTTAAAATTGATCAACATAAAGCATCTTTTGCATAACTTGGTGTAGACCTTGGATGCGGGTACAGTGCGAAATTTGTACCCACGCAACATACGAGCAATTTTTTTTTTGCTAAAGCAATGCAATAATTTCGCACGAAAATAGGAATAGACGAATTGTAAAAGTGGTTTACCTTAAAATATTCGAACTTGTTTTCAAAGACTCGGATTATATAAATTTATAATGGCCGTAGCATGTCATCATCTCATTAATTATTCAACAGATGCTATAAAGTCTGGTATTGCATAAATGCGTAAAATACGAGTGTGACGAAATGGAAGACCGAAAAGTGTGATTCACCCCGCGAACTATCGATCGGTGTATTTGGGTTAGCGAGACTTTATTTGCGACTAACCTTGGAAGCGCGTTAGCAACCCATTGCAGCAGCGTCTTTCTGGCACCCTGCTTCCATCTTTCTTTCGTGGCCGAAGACGTGGTTCCGGCGCTCTCCAAGCTGCTTGTGCTTTCCCACTGACCTAGGTATTCCAAGGCTCTGCTGTTTTCCTCAATCTACAGAAAGACAAAGAGGTGAGCGTATAATAAACACACAGGCGCAAGCATGAGGGTTGCCGCTTACCCCAAAATCCTTATTGCGTAGCTTTAAAATTTGGCAGTTTAATTTACGTAGCTCATTAAAAACACCTCCACTTACCTGGAAGTATAAAATGATGGTCCAAATGAGTCCAAGAACGACGGGTGGACGTCCATCCACCAAGTCCGTCGCATTTATGTTCACCAACTTGATCCTTTTGCTGGCGAGGAATTGCAGCGCCGTATTCGCGTTGCTAAGAAAATGGGGCCGACGCAGAACTCTGCCTCTCTCCATAGGCTGAAGGATTAAAAAAATTCTCAAAGGTCGATTAACGCGCGTCATGAAGAAAACGTACCAGTTTCTCGCCGGATAATACTTCAAGCAACGCAAGTAGTTTCGTTCCATCCTTCAGGTCTTCGATTAAGTCTTCTACCCTAAGCGGCGGAACACGCTGTAACAGACAAAAAAAAAGGATCAGATCGATGTCGGGCAATTAACTCGCGAGCGTGCTAGGCACCGTCATTGGTGTAACACCACAAAGTAATCAAGATGGGGGCTACTGTTGTGGTGAGAAATATGCGCGAGTTGTAGTAAGAGTTTGGGTTTTTATCTCCTTGTCACTCAATAAGTGAAAATCAAAAGAAATTGTTGAGCATTTTTTGTCTCTAATTTTACTGGTTATTATTTGAAAGTGCGGGGTTTTCAAAATGACAGAGGAATGTTTTGTGAGATCAACAGCCAAGCACCGAATGGTTTATTCTTCACGGAAAATCGCTCCCAAGTAAACTGTTCTGCGTAGAATATACCTATCAGCCAGAAGACATTCTCTGACAATATTCGTCTGTAAAAAATCCACTCAAGAATCCCCGTTCTTAAACCAAATAGGCGTTCTAAGGGCGAGACAGCTTGCAGTTGTTTCTTTTAAAGGATATACGTGATTTTCTACGAGTCGAGTTTGCTCTCCCTCTTGGAGACGAGTTTTTTTTGGCGAATACATCTGGGTAAAATTTTACTAGCTATACAGGGCCCTCAAAATTATGTCGGTGCCATTGCTAACTTATTGTGAGAGATACAAGAACGGTTCAATTAGAGAACTGGTGTGTTTTCTTTTTGCTAATTATAATGGCGGAAACAGAAAAAACAATTGACAATCGCATTTTCAAAATATCGCCAAAAACGCACTTTTTTCGAATGGAACACCCTGTATTCCTGTAACGATACCCTCAATGAGCGCGGTCATAAGTAAGCATAAGAAATGCCAGCTGAGTAAATGGCGTGTAGCTGCTGGAAGAAAGCAGATTATTCGTTCAGTAGATTTGCTGCATTAAAAACTTAGCCACTAATGTCCGCTGACCATGCCCATATGGTTAACAAAACTTGTTATATGTCATATCGTTCTAAAGTAACTGAACTACATTCCAATGACACCCTGTGAGCGCGGGGCAGCACAATAACCACCCTCACACATGCGCGATTCTGCCCTTTTATGTCTAAGAATTACCTCCTAGTGTGTCAAAACGTGTATTTCCGTCAAAAAAGTGGAACACCCTGTATATTTTTACATTTTTGGATTTCTGAGACAATTCTGGATCAGAATGTGACCTTTTGAAAAGTTGTTACGCCTACTTGATTTTGTTAGATCCACTTTTAATATTGCATCTAGGTGGCCATAATCGGGCCCATGTCCACTTTTTCATTACATACATTTTGACAAAAAATTAAACTGAAATTTAAGGACCTTCTATCCATGGCACACTTGACAACAGTAAATAAATTATTATCCAGTATTTTGCTTAGTAATATTTGACTAATGTTCTTGTTTTTAATCCAATCGCAAATAAATTAGTATCGGTAGATTCGTCAAAAAATCCTTTTTTTCGGAAAGTGCTTTTCAAAAAAGGGTTGCCGTTTGAAAATACTAGTTAGAACACGAAAATGTAATTCTGCCAAATTGTTTTATTTCTGTCTCTCATATTAGCCACTAAAACTTTGCGATTGTAATTTTCTGAGGTTCTTAAATTAGTTTGGGTCTGATCATGGCCACCTAGATGCAATATTAAAAGTGGCTCTAAATACATCAAGTGAGCGTAAACACTTTTGAAAAAGTTACATTCTGATTCAGAATTGTCTCAGAAATCCAAAAATGTAAAAATACAATTTAAAAATTCAAAACCATTTCCGGCGAAACTCTCCTCTTCACGTACCATTTACCTGTAAAAACCTCATTTTGATACACCTAATACCTAATTGCTTGTCTAATAGATTCGTTGACACCCTCTATATGAGAATATGTTTTTCTTTGGTGTACTGCCAAAGACTGAAACAAACGTCAAAATTTGGGCAAAAAGTACCAAAAAAACTAAGGTCCGGGCCAAATATTTGCCTGCAAACTTCAAATTCGTATTCAGCGACTGTCCCACTCAAAAATAAAGGCAAACACAAAATTGTTTTTCTGGTATTACCATTGTAATCAGCTAGTTTCTAACTTAACGACCTTGTATCTGTTATAATTACCAAGTTAGCAATAGTGCTAACTTTGAAAGCCCTGTATAATGTTCCTTGCCCAGATTTTTCTAGGCAGAATTAAATTTATTTTGTTGAATTAGCTTTTAATTCCTTCAAATATTCCATGTAAATAGTGTTATTATGCTTTCTCTGTTAGTTAAAATGTCATAAAGATAAATATATGTACGTGCCTTTTCTTTTATTACTGGTATGTTACCTCGATGTATACAATGTGGGTATCTAGGTATATGAGTATTTTCCCAGAAATTTAGTGCTACTAGCCATTAATATTTTTTTTAATGTCCTTTATACAATGAAATGGAAACGCACAAAGGACGAAGTATGAATTCCATATAAGAATGTCGGTGTAATTATAATTGTAGTACTAATTTTAGATTCGTTATTGACTCCAGATATCAAATTTCTTCAAGATAAGAACTTTTTACACTCAAAACTTTTAAAATCGGAAATGGTATACCAGAAAAACTAGGTATTCTTTGTGTTTTTTGGTTGCTCACAAGCATTCCCCAAAGTTTATCGCAATCGGACGAACAATTTGGGCAGGCATAAGACATACGTACATATAATAATAATAATAATAATAATAATAATGTCTTTTATTAGTTACATCTTGCAACAAAATGTATAATAGATTAAAATAAAAATTATATATTTTCGTGTAACTAAATTGGGCGAAGTTCAGATGACAGTGGTGAAACCCACTGCCTCTGCTCTTCCACTTAACCCAGTATATTACTTACATTATAAAGGGATGACACATGGCTTCTAATTGTAAATAATAAAAACTAAACAATGAAAATTATTGTTGACCAGTGCGGTACAAAAATTATGAATGGACGTAGCGAGAATGATATTAAATATAATTACTGTTATTATACATATATATGTTCCTAATCAGGTGTTCATTGGTTACGGATCTGGCGGTCAAGTATGAAACGTTGGACATGTAAATTAAATTGTTTAGGGCTAAGCTTTTTAAATGAATTTGGTAGAGAATTGTATAGATAGATGGGTAATGTTGTAACTATAGGAACGCTCATAAAATACCGTTTTATGCATCGGCGGAGTGATCAGCATCGAAAACCTGGTATTGGTACTGAAATTGATTTTCTCATACAAACACTGTGGAGATTTATTCAGAATTATTTTGTGGTATAAGGAGGCAGCGTGCACAAGTCTCCTGTTCTCCATATTTAACCAATTTAGTTCATTTAATTTGTGGGAGACATGTGCATATCGCCTTAAACCATAAATTAATCGAATGCATGAATTTTGATTTTTTTGAATCTTGTATTTGTCAGCAGCATCTAAACATGATCCATAAAGAGTATCACAATAAGTGAATTTAGTGAATTGCGATAGAACCAGTGACTCACAAAGCATAATTTTAAGGTGTTTACTAAGATAGAACCCATTATTGAATATTAATTTTAAATTTAAGTAGGCTTTCCTCACCATTTCAGATACGTGCTTTTTAAATCTGAGATCAGAATCTAGAACCACTCCAAGATTTTTTACTTTGTCTTGAACATGTAACGCAGTGCCCTTAACATAAATTTCTACAGCATCCTTATACCTACTTCTAATATTGCTTTTTCCAAACAACATCGCTAGCGACTTTGAAGGATTAATGTATAATCAATGTTCTTCAGACGTACGAACAATTCTGTAAATATCACAATTCATGTGCTCAATAGCCTGAGCGATGTTGTCGTGGGGAAAGTCATAATGAAGTTGCGTGTCATCTGCATATTGATGAAACTTGGCGTGTTGTAGACATTTGTAAAAATTGGACGTGTATAATGTGAATAATAGAGGACCTAGAATAGAGCCTTGTGGGACCCCACAGCAAATCGGTAGTGCATCAGATTTAGTATTATTTACTAGTACCAGTTGCTTACGATCTTTAAGATATCTTCCCATCAATGTACTTGCATGCGAGCCTAGGCCAACATAATGTAATAAACTTATTAAAATTTCATGACTAATTGTGTCAAAGGCCTTGGAAAAGTCAAGCGTTACTAATATGGAGAGTTTATTTTTATCATATAAACATTCATTTTTATTTGCATACAGTGTGTCCATGGATTGAGTGCACATGTGACATGATGTGCATATGACACATTCTTTTAGAGTTGGATCTTCTGAGGATCCTCCCCGCTTAGTCTCAAACTAAGATATTGAAAAAATGAGCCCAATCAATTAAAATACAGGGTGTTTTTTTGCGAATTGTAAAAATTAGTGACGAGTAAGGTGTCTATATTTTAACTGATATAACAAAAATGTATAGGTATTAAAAAAAGTGGTTTAGAAATTCAATTTTTATACAAATCAACGTGCTTTGATCTTTGTTACAAACATGCGTTCAAAAGCATTGGATGCTCATGAAAAAATCAAAGTGGGCTGGATTCTTATAAAAATTGAAGGTCTTCTATAACTCTGACTTCAAAACAACTTTATGTACGACTGCTTGATAATGCGGTGATTACAGTCGCAATTAGATAAAGTACGTGTTAGGGAATTCAAAAACGTCACTTGCATGTACCTACTGACGATAGATAAACTTCGTTTTAAAGATTTTAAAGTTTATTACCTCCTATTGGATCATAATGAGCAACGTTGATTTATTTATTACCGGAAGAGTTCTCCGCAAAAGACCATTTTCTTTCATCCAGGAAACGAGCTGTTGCGGAAGCATGTGCCATAATCATTAAGGCGTCAGTTTGATGGAAGTTGTTCATTAACGAATTGTAAAATAACTAAATGGGATTTTTTCACTAACAAAACATGCCAATCAGTTTGTACTCTACCTTCATACAAGAATTTGCTAACATCATATGTACAATTAAAACGAATGTTTGTTCTTCTTTACAAAAATTTCGAAATGAAAACATATTATATACTTAATTGTTCCACTGTGTATATTACATTGTGTATATAGGCGCATGACAAATGCAAAGTTAACTTACCTTGGCTAAATAAGAATTAATCCAATTGACAAAGGTCTTCTTTTGAACTCTTTCCTGTTCATCTGTCAACAAGAGAAAACAATTATAATTTAAGTGAAACTATAGTTACGTAATTATATTCATTAGCACCTTATTTTATGCGAAACTCAGTTTGCGACATAACTCAATTTAGAGTTTACTGATGGAGCATTGAATAATTTTTTATGTTATTTTTCAAATGATGCACGCATTTCTTATATCACCGTGTCACGCAAAGTTTCGGCACGTGGCACGTCCTACTTTGCGAGAAATATTTCATTTTTGATTCGTTATCGATATCGTCGAAACGTTTGCCAAAAAGCGAAATTCAGTTTTCCTGACAGATTGCCGGTAATCCGTTAATTGGTTGTTGGCGTTTTTTTATGTGCGAAATAATTGTCAAGGTTTGCGTAATTAAAAGTGTGACGACATTTTTATTGTTTCAACTCATAATGGGAATCGCACCTCGACTGATCTTTTAGATTTTCTAGCTTTTTAAATCCAAAATTCTTCTATCCCACGAACTTGTAAAGTCAAAAATTGTTGATCTTTATTAAAGTATTTTACCTATAACAAGATTCTATGGTAACTTTCAAAATGTCAGTGGTTGGGGTTAAAAATTTTGAATTCTGCTTTTGTTCATTACAAAAAGTGTATCAGCTGCAGATTTTTTTCTGCTGGTGTGAGGTGGTTTTTCACTCGCATTGTTCGTGCGATTTCAATAATTTTTACCCCCCCGATACAGGTGGTAATAAATTACGTTGCAGTAAGTACTTAAAACTTCATTAATTTCCTTCACACTGAAAGACCTACAAAAGTATTAATTTCCTTCCAGTGCCTTAATCAATAAACCACAATGGGCAGAATCGATTACGCGCTTAGCTTCTTGAATAGAATAGATTACCTATTCTCTTTCATTATACGTAAAATTGCTAAAATCCAGGTGACTTAATTTACTTGACATCTACATGTCTTTTTTAAAATCCCTCGCACGCGACGAGGTCTTTCGAAATGTTCGATAAATTCGCGATTAGTAAAAAGCATCGAGGAATTTTATGCCAGGCCAAGAAACACAGAGACGTCCGTGTCAACCGTTCCAAAGTTGGCATTCCGTGAACGTTTCTTTTGGATGTCGCGTTGTAAAATTTTAAACTAGAATTAATTGCATTTTGTAAACGGTTAATTTGTAGCTTGTCGCAAACGTCTAGTTTTCTTAATAAGGCAGTTTTATCGATACATTTAAGTAAGTAATAGACGACTGAATGTGTACATATAGGATTGACTAACTAGGTTAACATGATATTGCGGTAACAGCTGTTCATGTTTTTTTGAAACGATGTCTTTCGGTTTGAAAGGTACTGTATATGTATAAGAAATTGGGACAAACATGGGTGATCAAAAAATATGTTTTCCAAATTAACCGAGGACCCAATGTTGAGCTCTAGGTTGAGCTACCATCAAAAAAGAGTGCATTTCTACTTTAACTTATTCTCTACAGCTACAAACATGGTACTTTGGATACGTTTTTAGCCATGCCCTTTCAGACTTTACAGAAATTTGTTTAAAATTCGTACCACCCCATTTCGACCAAATTTGGTGTATGGGAGTTTTGGAGCATAAAAATCGTGAATCTTAAATTCTAACTAAAGACTCAACTAAATTCTCATGTAGAAAATGTTCAAAATAACATGTACCTACAGGACATTCGCGGATAATTTTCCAGATAACGAAGATAACGAATTTTTTTCATTTTAGCAACGCCAACGAAATACGAAAACAATGCAGAGGACGGGGGAAATTGAAACAACACTGTTTCGCATATTCCACTTCGCCATTTTCATTTTCAATATGTCCACTTGAACCACGTCCAAAAGAAGGATTTTCGGTTAAATTGTTTTTCCAAAATGTTAGTCTGATGCTATTCAATAAAAATTAATTTATTATTGCTATTATTTCTTCTCGCATCCTCCCCCCCCCCCTCCTTCTCCCAGGATAGCAATCACGAAATTCGAAATTTGTAGCTTCTTTCAAAACGACATTCAAAAAGTTGATGGGGTTGAATAGTTTAAGGAATGACTTTCCTAAACTTTATCATTCAATATTTTACGGTAAAAAGTTCCTTCTGTAAAAGTTGGGGTGGATGACTTTTCCTTTTTTCTCAGAGGCTAAGGTAGAGTAGATTTAAAAATTGCATTTGAATTTTGTTCTAAATTGTGATTCTCCATATTAAAAATGGATAAACTGCACAGAGGTAAGTTATAAGAAACTATACATACCTATTTAGTTTTTTAGGTATCTAAATGGGGGTTTACAGTATAGTTGAATTCCGCAGTTCTAATTTAATAAGCGTGTACCTACCTGAAACCATAAAATATTTTTTTGGACAGTAAAAGTTTATTTAAAAATAGAGGCTGATTAGCAAAAAAATAATGAACATGTGCGGTTTTAAAGGTTTATTCAAAACGATATGATTGTGGCGGGCTCTGTGACGTAATAAGCCCGACCAATCAGCTCCTAGAACCATTCAGATGACATAACGACTTGGCAATATTGCAGGAGAATGGCATTTATAACTTGCGTCATCTGTCACAGGCACTTGTCACTTTCGTGCTAGATGCAGTTAAACATCCCTCTCAAAACGTCAAATGTGCCAAACGTCAGACCCTCGCGTAAGGTTGCCAGCTCACTTCTACGTGATTGGTTGTAGGTTTGTGACGTGTTTAGTCTGAAGCGTTTCAAATTCGGACTAAAAACACAGCTTTTCAATAATTTATTTTGGGTTTATTTTACTCGCAAATAAAAATTGAGGACACACGGGTCTTTTTATTTTTAATGTACTTTGTGGATCAGAAATCAAAAATGAAGGCGGGATGACCCCGTGACTCTCAAAGTTTGCATATTTACTGCTAAATATGCAAATTTTTTCGCGATACTGTGCGATGGATTGGCTCAAATAATGACAGATATGCAGAAAAAAAAATGTCACATTCATTTTAAGAAGAGAAATTTTGTACCTACGTTATGGGTTGCACCGACTCGGATATACTATCGGGTTATCCACGCACTAATTCTTATAGACTAAAAGTGGTATTAGTTTTCATTAGATCCGACCGTGACATATACAAATATTTAAATAATGACCTACTTTTGTCCTCCGTTTCCAATGAGGTAAACAGCATAGGTGCTAAATAATTGATGGATTCGGTCTTAAAGACATAAACCTTTTTACAAGTTGAAATGCTTATACGCTAAATTGCATAATGTGTTTATAAGCAATTACTGAATATTTATGACGTACCGCTTTTTTGTATGCAAGAATTTATGCGCCACTAACGCGTTAATTTCGTAGTGTGTTTTCGGTATAAGGTCAACCTTGTTATGTTATGAATGACTTCACTTCGCCCAAATATGTCTGTCGAGACAGTGGGATCAGTCAAACCATATGAAAAAATAGAAAGGGAATTGAATATGTGGAGAAGCACCATCTTGTTGAAAGACTATTGTGGCAATTTTGTAAAATAAAATTACATTTCTGAACTAGAAAAAGCTCAGCTGAAAAATTCATCTGTTACTAAACTCTTCTTGTACGCATCTACAGCGGATGAATTTCCAGACCGTTGGTGCACCAGAGTGCAATAAAACATTAAGATCAATGTACTTGAAATTGAAACGAGTGTGAACATAAAAGGACGCTGTAGATATAATAAAAGATGCCATTTCGAGTATATTGTACTAACTGCGCGTAATACTAATACTGGCACAACAATAACGTAAATTAAAATTCTTAATGTTTATGGCGTGAGTCTGCAGTTTGAATTTATGGACCATCTTTTACTTTTGTTCCAGCAAGTTTTATAGTTCTTATACAATTAAAGCGTGCATTATTAAAAATGATTAATATAATTTGTGACTTTTACGATGGCCGCAATTGTAATGTCGAAGGAAGTCGAGAGACTTTTGCACTTTCTTTTACTTTAATGGCCACAAGACGTCCAGTTTCAGGTGTTATGTACTAATTCTAAAGTTTATGTGACGAGATTCTTGCGAAAACTTGCTCACATCCAGGTAAATTCGCGCGTCGGAATATTTGGTCACCAGCAATTTCTAAGAGAGTTCGTTTTTAAAGGATGGACTAATTCAATTTACCGAAACCGCACATACAAAATTCACTAAAAATATGCTATTGCTTGCGATTTTTCTGTGCGTCTGTCCGTCCGTCGGACCCACTTCTGCGGTGGGTTGGACATTGGTTTTACCTTTCATGGCATTCTAATTAAAGGTCTCAATTAAATGAACTGTTTTCTACCCACTACCGTCCTTCTCCTTTGCCTCTTATCAAAATCGGGGGGGTTGGTTTTATCCTTCATGGTACTCTAATTTAAGGATTAAACGAAAGGAATTAATTTCTACCAACCACAGTCCTCCTTCTCGACCTCTTATTGTGATCGGTTATAATTCCCCACATCTCAAGACCAGAGGGTCGGAGGAGCGTACTCACAAAGGTGACAAAGGGCAAGTGAGACGTCTGGATCCTTTGGCGATCACAAAACTTTAAGACCAAATAAACTCGAAAACGGTGTATCGGAGGAAAGTACAGAATTAATCGTTTGGACGAGACGAAACGAATATCCCGAAAACGAAGTGTCGGAAGAGGTACTCACAGAGGGCAAATGGAACGTCTGGAAGGCACATAGGTATCTTTTGGTGATGTCGAACCTTTCAGTGCAAATATCTGTAGAGCGGAGTATCGGAGGAGGGTGCTCTCTAAGGGGTTGATTTTTCTTGAATTATATTCGGTAGGTTTTACTGTGTGCCTTTAAATGTTTACGTCTAAAAAGCTCACTTCCCATTAATCACCCTTATAACCCAATTATTTACTAAGCTATTTCGGTTTTTAAAAAATGTACTTTTTCTGCACTCCTTGATGAGTTAGAAAGAGGGGGTTTTAGGTACTAAATTGGGAAGAATTATTCTGTTGAAAAGCTAGAAATTCGACGTGACTAAAAAAAGGTGCGGATTGAGTAGGTACGTAAACGCGTTTTGGTCTCGTAATTAAATTCGGCGAGATCGATATAAATTTTCAGTCTGAAAGCTCGATTGCGAGTAAGTAATGCGTTGGGAACTTTCGTGAAACTGCATTGGAAATGCTGCAGTCTGTGTGAGAAATTTTGTTGAAAGTTAGTCTTCTTTCTTTTATTTCACCTGTCGTCGGCTTTATGCAAATTTAATTGATCAATGTCTAGCTTGTTCCACACCGAACTCTGCATAATCTAAAATTTCGAACCAACAATTCCTCTTTGGTTAAAATTTGCATGGCTTCTTTTTTTTGAAATATTGTAGTTTGAGTCGTAAATATAATTCGAAAATCAATACATTTAAGACACATGCGTACGGTTTTCGATTGGAAAATCCATATGTCTTAAAAGTTCTAACACGCCGGCTACTGAAGATAATTAAACTAAGCTAATCGTAAGTAAATATAAATGCTGACCTCTGATAACCGCAATATGGTTGTCATACTGTGACCGGCTTCTGACATACTCCAACTTTGACGAGCCACTTTGGAAGCTCTGATTTCTGTACTCGTTGTACCATTCTGCCGACGAGGTTGTGTGCTTGCTGCTGTTGCTTCCGGAATCCCAATCGTCTTTCAACGCCTCTTTGGATGGCGTTCTCCTAAGGCTCTCCTCCGAAGGAAAACGCCCAGACAAAGAAGTAACGCTGGACGATTTGGAATGCGACGTTCCATTTTGAGTTTGGTAAGCGGAATCTTCGAAATTCCTTCCTTCCGATTCGGACGGCGTTCTGCTAGTCGTTCGAATAGTTCTGACTTGTTGCACGGTTTTTCGCACGGTCACCTTTTCGAATTTGACACTTTTGAAACTGGAGGCCAGATCGCCTTCTTCCTCAGTCTTAAACACGCTTTCCTCGAAGGAGCCATCGGGGAAGAAATGCTGACGTAGTTCGGTCGCTTGGCGCGGCGAACTTTGCGGTGTATGCCTGAGGGTTACCTGCTCTAATTGTGCCGAAGGGACGTTTTTTCGCCCTTCCTCGATTAACCGTTCGAGTTCACCCACATTCAGCGTGTCCTGATCTTCGAGCGAGCCGCTGGCACTGGTGCCGGTCCACACTTTTTCGAAAAAGCTGACCCGATCCTTTAAACGTTTGGCACTTCCAGAAGGGCTCTCAGGGGGACGTTTCGAATTCTCCCCCTGACCTTTGTTCGCGTCACTCATAATTAAAATGCTCGTTGCGATCGCGCTTCATCATTCCACCGGTTTTTACGTTTCGCGGTATCGTTCAATACTAGACATGAGCGTAGATGAAAGGCGGCGAAACGAGGCTACAATCAATGACGAGATTACTTCGAGTAGTGTCGAGTTTCATTGTTTGTAACTGAAAAAGCTACCGAGCGGCCGCTGTTTGAACAACCTTGCGTTTCTACATGGCGATGATGTCAACTGTTTTCGACCGGCTTAAAGGTGCGCCCCAATCGAAATCTCCGAAATTAATACCCCAATTACGTAATTAGCATCTCCACCGAAAACCGATCTTTCGCCCTTATTTCAAGTTCGAGGATCTTGCGCAGACTTCGCGGTAATTTCATACAATCGACGTTCGACAATCGAAAAGTGAAATCGTATGTGCAATGTTCACCGCGCCCACCTACGACGAAATTTAAATTCTCCATCACATACAAAAAGAAATGCGGCGAGATGAAATTATGTCAGATAAAGTTATCTAAATTAAGTAGATAAATTCATGGGAATGGGTTCACTTAAAAATTTCGTTTCTTAGTGTCACTTTTTCTACCAAAAATACCTGCCATACGTTATGCAAAATACGATTTAGCCATTCGCGCGAGTGCAATGGATTTATTAATTATTTTATTTCCGCATATCGAAATATTCGCGTGGACGATCACAAAAATTAGTAAAGTAGGCAATATAGATGGAAAGATGCAAGTTAACAGTGCAATCCATTTTTTTAACGTAATTCGTTGGAGAAATGCCTTCGATTTAATTAACTACTTATAATAGGTACAATTCCTGTTCCTCGTACGAAATCGAAGGGACTTCAACGCATTTTTATATGGCAGGTCGGTATTCTTTGACTCCACCATCAATTAGATCTTGTCGGGGGCGACCACATTCCTATCTAAAACAATTCGTACTTTTTCGATCGGACTTTTCAATCAAAAGTTATGGACTAGAAACCAATTTCGAAAGAAAATTCAAAGGGCTGTAACTTTTGAACTAGAAGCCCAATTTTGGAACTGTTTGAAATTATGGATTCTACAGGCCACATTCTATAAGAAAATTGTTTCCGGGTCGAGCTGAGACAATTTTTTTTTCGGAGCTCAAAAAAAGGCAGTGTATAACCTTCCTTTTTTACCAAAAATCGACTGCACCAAAATTTCTCGAAAAAACACTTTTTCTTATTAATTTTGGTGCGTAGAATCCAAAACAATTCGTACTTTTTCGATCGGACGTCTCAATCAAAAGTTATGGACTAGAAAGAGGGGCGGACTGGCCCGGGGAGGCGGGTGGCGATTGCCACCTGTCCTGTACGTCATAATGGCCCGTTGGAAATTGATAAGTATGTGCTGTATTTAGTTTCTTGCACTATTAATAAATTATTAACACGTTTCTCTAATTGGGGTTGATGTTAGGTTGCTAAAAAATTAAAAAATTCTGTTTTAATTGAAGTGTTTTACAATGAATTTATCATTTTTTGTCGTAGCATGAAAGTGCTGAAATACAATGATAGGTGACGCGCCTCGTTTGGATTGTATATTTTGTTACTTTTAATTATCAGCTGCAATTAAAAAAAAACTGTATTGTAATTGATTTCCGAAAAAGGAGTACTAAAATGAAGCAAAAAAATGTTTTTGTGGTGCACCGCAGAGCACCCCCCCCCACCCCCGCACCCTTCATTACTACACTGATACTTTAATGGCCCGTAACCTATGCAATTCCACCTGGCTCGTAAGTACCCAGTCCGCCCCTGCTTGTCGGTATCAATCAGATTCCCATTATCGGTACCCAATTCCGCCGTCCCGGTCCCGTTGTCCCCTTCATCCGCAGCTCGCGTTTTAAGTTTTGACTCCACCATCAGTAAGATTTTGTCAGAGGCAACCACATTCCGTTTGTCGCTACCCGCTTCCTACGTCCCCTTCGCTCGCAGTTTGCATTTTGGGGGCACTTCTCATAGCTCAAGCTTCTATTGGCGACACGGGAAAGAGAGACCGCGATTCGAGCTCTAATAAAACTTTTGGGCGCCCAAAGTCGACTACCCCTCGAAGATGCGTGCCGTGCAAAAGGTGGTTAATTGGGCCTCTTGAAGAAAAAACCAAAATTCCGACATGCAGGAGTTGTACGCGTTTATAAGGTCTTTCCGACGACGCCAATTTGAAAACAGTTGGACGAATATTGTAGAAAATAGGAAAAAACTCAAACATTACCACGTTAGTATAACACGCTCGGAGATGGCTCCCAGATTTTGCCGACCTCAGCCCTAAAGTTGTTAACTACACAGCAGCGGTAGGTACATGTACTATGTACACTCCTCCTCTTTCTACAAGCGTCCTTCTACAGGCACGCATTTGCTGCGAACCAGCCAGCCGGCCAAATAAATTTGTAAAAATGCGCCAAAAAATGCTGGTGGCCAGTACAGATATCACCTGCACGATGCAATAGTAATATGGAAAAAAATGAGCTTTTTTCTGCCTTTTATGTGTACCAAATTTGGTTCCAATCGGTTCTGCCGAGGCCTACGGTTCTGCCATTTAGTCGGAAATGAGAGTACAGACAGACTGACCGACATCATCGAGATTTTGTTTGATTGGGATTCCTGGTGCTTCAAACGTGTATTTCCGTCAAAAAAGTGGGTGGTTATTTTATACCACAGTACAATACCTCCCTTACTAGTTACTGTGCGGGTGGAAAAAGTAAGTGTGAGTGTTTTAGAGCGAATCGCCTTCTTTTAATGTGTTTAATCACCCCTTAAAAATGAAATCGCAAGACTGTTAACACTAACACCCTATATAGGTACGTCCTTCCTGCTGCATGCTCTATATAAACCTCTCGCCAGGAAAGATTGCCGGTCACAGAACACTTGATCCCGATCTACGATCTATGTTTTTCTAAAGATGTAAGCGATTTCCGGGATAGTATCGAGTCAATGTTGAACAAAAAGACTTTCCGCTCAACATTAGCATGATCCTATTCTGGAAGTCGCTCACATTAAGAAAAACATAGATTGTAGATCGACACAAGGTGTGCTGTGACCGGCAATCTTTCCTGGCGAGAGTTATAGTTTTATTGTGTTTTTAATGCCATATTTGATGAATGAAATAAACGACTCAATTCTTCAAAACCTTCCCCATGGATATTTAATTGTTGACAGACAGATATATTGTGAAATGTTACGACATGTTTCGATTGTTAATCATCTTCAGGTAACAAACTAAAATATTTAAAATTAAATTATTAATTAAATAATTTTTCTCACCGTACTTATAAGTAAGTGTTTTTAATAGCTATCTAGTCAACGGTTTAACTTTAAATATTTTAGTTTGTTACCTGAAGATGATTAACAATCGAAACATGTCGTAACATTTCACAATGTCAACAATTAAATATCCATGGGGAAGGTTTTGAGGAATTGAGTCGTTTATTTCATTCATGGTTCATCACCCCATTTTGAGCATGGATCAACCACAACCAATAGCTTTTTCTGGCCATATTTGATGTTATGTGTTATGGAGTTTTGCTTGTTTGTTTAATCTAATTCCACTGTTGTCATCTTACAAGTAATAATTAATTAATCGCCGCTGTTTGTTGTGATTTAAAAATCAGGTCGCGATGAGAGATGTGTGAAGCTGTGCCTGCATATGATGCAATTCTTTAATATTTGGCCGTTTTCTCGTAAATACAACGAAAAAAGCACTTGACTCATTTGCATCGAAAACACCAAGTTTAATAATCATTATTTATATATAGAAGTGGCATAAGCTAACGGAAAATAAGTATGACCGAACAATTCTAAAAATTTGTTACCATTACCTACAATTTGCATTACTTAAAAGTGAACGAACTTTCTTCAAGTCAAAACGTGTTCCTCCTACATGCATGGCAATTGTTTATAGTTTTGTAGTGAGAAGTAACTGAATCGAATACGGTACATGATCTCGTTTCGAAAACTTTCACGACTATACGAGATCAAATGGTTTGCAAAATGTATTTTGATGTACTCAGTTTAGATTCTAAAATTAGACGTTACGTGCCTTGTTTGACGAGTAAATGTTTAATTAGGTTATTCATTAGCTATTTATCGTTACGTCGCGTTTACCTTTGAAATTTAACTTTTGGATTAGAAAGAAACAAAGCCTACGTGGCTAGATTGACTGGCTTCCTTTTGCATTAATCAAACTGTCGATAGATAATGGAATTACACCTTCGCCCTCGCGGAGTTCTGGTGGCCGAACAAGTTCCTTTAACCAAAGATACCAGAGTAATGATTAAATATTGACATTAAAGTGATAGATTTCGATTACTAGCAAAGGCCATTGTTCTACCAGTAAAAATTATGCGCTTATATAGACTAAGCGTGATATATTGATTGTAGGTATAAATAAGGGTGCACCATAAATAAGTTATTGGCGTTGTTCAGATATAGGCGAATTTTCGTTTTCTCCAATAAGCAAGTTTTCGTACAGTAGTCCAAAATCGCCATACAAGCAAACAAATAAACAAAATGTAGCCCGTTTTTGAGTTTCCTAAAATTACCATAAGGGCCTTATGGTAACGGGCAATCAAAAATGAGTTGCTGTCGAGTCGCCTTTGGAAGTTCAAGTGAAACACGGTGTAAACAAAAATTCCAAAGGTAACTCGACAGCAACTCATTTTTGATCGCATAGTTACATAGTATAAAGCTGGATTCACGTGAATACGAAATCCGACGATACGGTCATCCGAAATGCTGATGATTGGTCAATAATTTGAAATGTGCTTGGCATTTCAAACTTTGAGGGCACCACAAAAACATTACCATACAGTTTTTTTATATTGCAGCTGATAATTAAAAGTAACAAAATATACAATCCACACGAGGTGCGTCGCAATGGGTACGTTCAACGAACATAGCAAAAGTTAGCAGCTGATTTAATTTTGCGGTCAGCAAATGTAGTGTGTTGAACGCTTCTAAATTTGACATTTTTAATTCAAAATTCAACATAACCTTATTATACTTATATGTGTACGTGATGGATCAAATATTATTTACTTAATTTCTTGATAGCGCTAATA